AATCAATGTTTTCAGATTATTTTCATAATGCATAGTCTCCCCCCCCCCCCTCTCCTCATTTGAGAATCTGCTGGGAAAGCACTTGATTCTGACAGAGTTAACTAGCACTGCTAGCTCATGTCATTCTGTTGTAGATCATGACCATCGTATATATGCAGTCTAATACCATAAGGTAAATGAAAGTGTACGGTCATATCATTCTGAGTTAACACCATGACGGCAAATACCATCATGTCATTGTCATGTTAAATTAAATATTATCATATCACCATATTACTGTAATATCATGATATGAATTCAGAAAAAACACATCAGATCATGTTCCTGCAGGCCTAGGCTGTTTAGCAGGCAAACGCCACCAACCAGCTGAAAGCTTACAAACATTGTCACTATAAGCTGACTGCCAGCATAGCTGAAGTCAATCATCTGGACTTGGCTTTTTGGTCAGCATCACTACTGTAGCTGTCTTACCTGGCACATTTTGAATTCAACATTGTTTGTTACAGTGACAAAACATTCATTCCAAGCAATGATAAACACATGCTTTACCTTTTTGTCAATATGTCACTAAGTGTGATAGTGACACAAACAACCTGACACTCTAATTCAAGACAAACACGAGAGATATTGTGTAAATATTTCAATAATGAAGAAAATAGTAGTTTTCAACAGACCTATAGTATTTTCTGTGTGCAAGGTCATCTGTTTTCCCAAATATTTCAACTTTAAAACTTGGGGTTGTTTTATATACAGAGTGTGATTAAAATAGGTATTTCTTTATTCTAGGTTTAAAAAAAAAAAGGGGGGGGGGGGAATTATCTTATACACTGAAAATAAAGTAAGCTACTAACTTTCCAATTCTTCAGGTACTGATCAATGTTTGTCCAATTATTAATCCATACTTATTCAGTACATTTTTGTTCTGATTTGACCCAAAAAAATATTATCTCCCCAACAATCCCTAATCTCAGAAGGGAATGTTCTAATGAAACAGTCAAGCCACTCTGATACTTACGCAAAATGGTGATGTAAGCTGAGCTCACACATCTGCCAACTTCATTTGTCAGTTCCACTTTATATTCTCCCTCATCGTCTGAGTAGACTTCTGAGATGGTCAGCACAGATCGATTGGACTCAGTGACAATCTCCAGATCATCCGCTGGCACTAGCTCCTCGTCATCTACGAACCAGACAACAGTGGGAGCCGGACGGCCAGTGAAGACCACTTCAAGAACCAGCCTGCTGTTCTCCATAACGGTGATCTCTCGCAGCGTTGTAATGAATCTTGGAGCTTCAGGCTGTTCTATCCTTTCTTCCAGTGTCTCCGAGATGATCTCTGTCTCCTTTACAGTGACAGTCTGTAAAAGACAGGTAATGCTTACTGTAATTTATGAAGACCTGCAAATGTTACATTCAACTATTAGTATAATGTGCATTTGTTTTTGTTTTTATAAAAGCAATATTTATACCAAGTTGTTCTTTATGTTTAGGCTCCATACAGCAGTACTGATTTGACAGAATTAAAACCCTGTTTATTTATCATCAGCATCATCATCATCTAGCCGGGCCTTTGAAGAACATGGCTTTCATCACGGCCTGCCTAAAAGAAACTCAGTCTCTTGCCAGTCACTTATATCCTGTGCCCATCTTCATGTTAATCAGCCCCTGCCCCTCCTTCCTGGTACCATGCCTTCTGCTATGATTTTTATCCAATCCACCGTGGTGCTTGATATGGCCAAAATATTTCAGCTTCAAACAAGTTTCACTTTTCTTTGACTTCCACAAATCTCTAGAGATATGTTTTATAATAAGAGACAATCTGTAGCTAAAATGTTCGGTACTAATCCCTGAATTCACCCCATTTTGCTCACACGTGAGATTTTGTGGCCCATCCCATGGGCTATCCTATGTTCTAGGGGGGATATTAAATGCCTTCCTTCCCCATGTAGACATACCATGACGAAAACTGACTCACGTTCGTTCGACACGGTCAACACACTGTCTCCCAGATGAAACTTTGCAGTTTTCTTGTCTCAACTGTCTTATCTGTGAATGACTGTTGGTTCTCAAATGTGTTGTTGTTGTGAATAGCTTAAGCCCGCAGGCACCTGTATACAAGGAAGAAGTGCTGCAGGGGGTAGAACAAACGCATGACAGTTTGTGAGTATCGAACCACTGATGTTGTTATATTTCTACGCTTGTTGATGGTGGCTGTCAACAGTGGTGGATGTGCTTAACATGTTTAAAACAAGCAACACCTGACAACCCAAGAACATAGGACAGTCAATGGGAATGAATACAAAATCATGCAGCCAAGTGAGATGGGGGTGAGATTCGTGAGTTGTCCTAGATTTTCTGAGGAAGAACTGGCCTCATGCTCTTCCCACACCTCTTATATCATACTTGCTAAGTGTATACTTTAGTTCCCTTTGAGAAAAAAAAAGGTCTGAGCTGCATCAGAGATCAAGGATACAACAATTAAATCAACAGGAAAGTGGAGCTGGTCAGTTTTGCAAAAGCTAAATCACAACTGATAGAATGGAAATTATAGCTAAAATTGTTTCCTCCACATAGAAAAACAAAGAACTTGAAATAACTACCAACACAAAATATACAAATGGTCCCTTAGCTGTAAAGTATGTGTCCTTGAGATGTGTTAATCACTGGACATGAAAAGTAAGTTTGATTTTTATAAGCCTGTTCATGTGTCATGTCGGCTCTGTGGCTAAGTCGATGCGAACGCTTCGTAATGCCAGGGTGCTGTGTTCAATCCCAGCTGTGGGCCATGTGCCTTGCATTGGTTTCGACAGTGGTATCAGGGGGCCGACTGTCCAGAAAGCAAAAGCAAACTACTGGACGTAAATTTGCCTTGAGAAACCACACAACAGCCAGGGGCTGCTGGGGTTGGTTCTGCAACGTCCTGTAAAGGATACACAACTAACCGTCATGTGTCATGATTAGAGATATGGATATGGCTTATACATCACAACTATATATCTGACGAGATCAGGCTGACCACCAGGGTTGTATATGTAAGGAAAGGGAAAGGTAGGAGAACATTGACTTTACAATGTTAATTTAAAATTCCCATATTTGTTTTCTAAGAAACACAGCTGTTATACTAACCTCATCAAGTGGTTTTTCCTCTACAGTGATGTCAATCTGAGATCTCTCACTGACTGCCCTGGTTTCAACAGTGACACTTGAAATGATGGTAGCTTCCGTCTCTTTGACAATATCACGAGAGAATTCAGAGACAAACAGTTTAGGCTTCTCTTCAGGCACTTCTGGTTGTGCCTCTTCTAAAGCTGGAACTTCTTCGTGGGTAACTGGTTCCTCTTGAGGCTGAAGTTCTCTAACATCTGCAATGATTTTTTTAACAAACTCTTCAGCGAACACCTCAAAGATTTCTGTGACCACTCGACTGTCTACTTGATCTATCTCAGAAACGTCAGGATGCTCCAGTACCTCTTCAACTACTTCTGTAACTGTTTCTTTAGGTCTGGCTTCTTCAGTTTTCTCACGCTCAGTAGGGATTTCTTGTTCTTCAATGGTTTCAGTTATTTCAGCTCCAATAGCAGAAATTGTAATCTCTTTACCCACCTCCTCCACCACATCAGTCTTAAATGTTACAGGTTTTTCTTCTGAAGGTTTCTCAAATTCCACAACAATTTCTGATGGTTGAAACTCTTCTTGTGGAGCTTCTGTAACTTCACTGACTTCAGGTTGTATTACAAGCTCTTCAGTGATTTCTGTTTTGTATGTTTCAGTTACTTCTTCTGAAGGTTTTTCAAACTCAACAACAATTTCTGATGGTTGGACCTTTTCTTGTGGAGCTTCTGTAACGTCACTGACTTCAGGTTGTATTACAAGCTCTTCAAAGATTTCTGTCTTGTATGTTTCAGTTACTTCTTCTGAAGGTTTTTCAAACTCAACAACAATTTCTGATGGTTGGACCTTTTCTTGTGGAGCTTCTGTAACGTCACTGACTTCAGGTTGTGTTACAAGCTCTTCAAAGATTTCTGTCTTGTATGTTTCAGTTACTTCTTCTGAAGGTTTTTCAAACTCAACAACTATTTCTAATGGTTGGACATCCTCCTGTGGAGTTTCTGTAACGTCACTGACTTCAGGTTGTGTTACAAGCTCTTCAATGATTTCTGTCTTGTATGTTTCAGTTACTTCTTCTGAAGGTTTTTCAAACTCCACAATGATTTCTGATGGTTGGACCTCCTCTTGCGGAGTTTCTGTAACTTCACTGACTTCAGGTTGTGTTACAACCTCCTCAGTGACCTCAGTCTTGTATGTTTCTGTTACTTCTTCTGAAGGTTTCTCAAACTCCACAACAATTTCTAATGGTTGGACATCCTCCTGTGGAGTTTCTGTAACGTCACTGACTTCAGGTTGTGTTACAAGCTCTTCAGTGATTTCTGTTTTGTATGTTTCAGTTACTTCTTCTGAAGGTTTTTCAAACTCCACAACAATTTCTGATGGTTGGACCTCTTCTTGTGGAGTTTCTGTAACTTCACTGACTTCTGGTTGTGTTACAAGCTCTTCAAAGATTTCTGTCTTGTATGTTTTATTTACTTCTTCTGAAGGTTTTTCAAACTCCACAATGATTTCTGATGGTTGGACCTCCTCTTGCGGAGTTTCTGTAACTTCACTGACTTCAGGTTGTGTTACAACCTCCTCAGTGACCTCAGTCTTGTATGTTTCAGTTACTTCTTCTGAAGGTTTCTCAAACTCCACAACAATTTCTAATGGTTGGACATCCTCCTGTGGAGTTTCTGTAAATTCACTGACTTCAGGTTGTGTTACAAGCTCTTCAAAGATTTCTGTCTTGTATGTTTCAGTTACTTCTTCTGAAGGTTTTTCAAACTCAACAACTATTTCTAATGGTTGGACATCCTCCTGTGGAGTTTCTGTAACGTCACTGACTTCAGGTTGTGTTACAAGCTCTTCAATGATTTCTGTCTTGTATGTTTTATTTACTTCTTCTGAAGGTTTTTCAAACTCCACAATGATTTCTGATGGTTGGACCTCCTCTTGCGGAGTTTCTGTAACTTCACTGACTTCAGGTTGTGTTACAACCTCCTCAGTGACCTCAGTCTTGTATGTTTCAGTTACTTCTTCTGAAGGTTTCTCAAACTCCACAACAATTTCTAATGGTTGGACATCCTCCTGTGGAGTTTCTGTAACGTCACTGACTTCAGGTTGTGTTACAAGCTCTTCAGTGATTTCTGTTTTGTATGTTTCAGTTACTTCTTCTGAAGGTTTCTCAAACTCAACAACAATTACTGATGGTTGGACCTCTTCTTGTGGAGCTTCTGTGACCTCAGTGACTTCAGGTTGTGTTACAATCTCCTCAATTATTTCAGTCTGATATGTTTCAGTTACTTTTTCTGAAGGCTTCTCAAACTCAACAACAATTTCTGATGGTTGGACCTCTTCTTGTAGAGCTTCTGTAACTTCACTGACTTCAGGTTGTGTTACAACTTCCTCAGTGACTTCAGTCTTGTATGTTTCAGTTACTTCTTCTGAAGGTTTCTCAAACTCCACAACTATTTCTATTTGTTGGACATCCTCCTGTGGAGTTTCTGTAACTTTACTGACTTCAGGTTGTGTTACAACCTCTTCAATGATTTCTGTCTTATATGTTTCAGTCACTTCCTCTGAAGGCTTCTCAAACTCCATAATGATCTCTGACGGTTGGACCTCTTCTTGTAGAGCTTCTGTAACTTCACTGACTTCAGGTTGTGTTACAACCTCCTCAGTGATTTCTGTCTTGTATGTTTCAGTTACTTCCTCTAAAGGCTTCTCAAACTCTAAAATGATTTCTGATGGTTGGACCTCTTCTTGTAGAGCTTCTGTAACTTCACTGACTTCAGGTTGTGTTACAACCTCCTCAGTGATTTCTGTCTTGTATGTTTCAGTTACTTCCTCTAAAGGTTTCTCAAACTCCACAACAATTTCTAATGGTTGGACATCCTCCTGTGGAGTTTCTGTAACCTCAGTGACTTCAGGTTGTGTTACAAGCTCTTCAGTGATTTCTGTTTTGTATGTTTCAGTTACTTCTTCTGAAGGCTTCTCAAACTCCACAACAATTTCTGATGGTTGGACCTCTTCTTGTGGAGCTTCTGTAACTTCACTGACTTCTGGTTGTGTTACAACCTCCTCAGTGATTTCTGTCTTGTATGTTTCAGTGACTTCCTCTGAAGGCTTCTCAAACTCCACAACAATTTCTGATGGTTGGACATCCTCCTGTGGAGTTTCTGTAACCTCAGTGACTTCAGGTTGTGTTACAACCTCCTCAGTGATTTCTGTTTTGTATGTTTCAGTTACTTCTTCTGAAGGCTTCTCAAACTCCACAACGATTTCTGACGGTTGGACCTCTTCTTGTGGAGCTTCTGTAACTTCACTGACTTCTGGTTGTGTTACAAGCTCCTCAGTGATTTCTGTCTTGTATGTTTCAGTGACTTCCTCTGAAGGCTTCTCAAACTCCACAATGATTTCTGACGGTTGGACCTCTTCTTGTGGAGCTTCTGTAACTTCACTGACTTCAGGCTGTGAGACAACTTCCTCAATTACTTCTGTCTTATAAATATCTTGCAACTCTTCTGATGGTGTTTCCAGCTGTTGTGGGATCACCTGCTCATGAATTTCATGAAACTTAACACTGACTTCAGTTTCATCTGTGGTTTCTTCATGCGGTGCTTCTTCCACAGCTTCAGCCTGAAACTCAGTGCCCTCAATGATGGCCTCTTCAGGAAAAGCACTTTCTGGGGCCACTTCTATGGCAGAATCACTGGTTTCCTCAATAAATTCGGTGACCTGCTCAAGATCTGGCTGCTGCTCTACTTCGGCTTCTACCACAGGGTGAGTCTCTACCAGCTCAAGTTTAGGGGCCTCCTCATCAGTTTCTGTCAGCTCGGCAAATTTCTCCTGAAGTTTCTGAACTTCTTCAACAAACTCTTTAGAATGCGAAATGGCTTCAGTGTCAGAGTCTGCGGTTGTTGGTTTGGGTGAGGAAGGTTCCAGTGATGACATCATGGAATCTGATGCTTCCTCTGTGTCTGCCATGTACTCATAGGCTGAAACAGATTAAATCCAATGTTATAGAATAAACGTTTAAAAAAATCAATAATTTTATTATTATAGTTCAATAAATGTTATATTTATTTTCAGGATCCTCGTCGGTGCTACCGAGTTCGTGCACTGTGCTGAGAATCTTTGTACTCAGGCTTGAGTCAGAAGTAAAACGGAGCCCTTATGGGTTACTACCCTTGTGCCATGATGTTGATCCATTGTCTAAACCAAACCAGACTTTATTTATTTACAGTGGGAAATATATATATTAAACTAACAATCTATGTACCTGCACTATTTTACAGTTAACACATAATAATCTATGCAAGATTAAATAACCACTTTTACAAAGGTTACTAATTTGTGTGGTAGTTTCATTTATCTACCTTTCTTATTTTTTTTTTTAATGGAGATACAGGAGCGGGGGGAGAGAACATATAAAGATATACAAATAAAGTGATCAACTGACTGAACAGAGTCAAGCATTAAATGGAATACACTGCTTGTAGTCTAACAAACAAATTTGAAAATTATGTGTTGGGTGACTAGTGCTGTGACTCCCATTTGTATTCTCCAGCATCCTGGGGGAAGACTTCAGCAATCAGCAGCGTACAGGAGCCAGACTGAATGTCATATGTCAAATTGAAATCCTGGTTCTCTGTGATAATCTTGTCATCATGAAACCATGAGATCTCTGGCATGGGTGATCCTGTCACCTGGAAGGAAATTATATAATTTGATGAGAATGTTAATACGAGAGGCCTGATATGCTGGAGTGGATCTCACTCATGATACTGAAAGAATAAAATGGAGGAAGTGATTGTGAGCCTTACATGATGTTTACATGGCACAACGTAAATGGCACAGTGACAAAACAGCATCAAAATGACATATTATTTTGACTCAGTGATCTTCTTCTTCTTCATGCACCCTCAGATGTTAGGCTGAGTATGTTTACAGTAAGCACCAGCAAGGCTTGACATATCCAGAGAGTTTGTCCTCAACTACAGTGAATGCAGACCCTGTCAGTGTTGCAAATATTTTATACTTGCAGCAAAATCCCTCATGTTACCAAATCTGTAGTTTCAGTCTTCTCTTTTTGTACATGCTTCTTGACAAACCAGGTCAAAATTTATTGATGTTAATTTCTAGTCAGCTTCAAGAGACCATTGTATTAGCACATAAATTAGCTTATTATAAATATATTGATAAATGGTTTGTCAGAGAAAGGCTACAGAAGATAGAAAAATCAGGAATTAAGTCACAAGAGAAAATGCAGGCACAGAACCAGTATTAAATTATATGCAAAGAGCAAATAAAATGGTATGCCCACTTAGAGAGAATGCCTTGTAATGCTGCATCAGACAAGGCATGTAGCAAAGAAATACAGGCATGTAAAGAATAAAACAGATAAAGAAAAAGAAAGAAAGATATTAAAGAAACTCTACAACAGTACGATGTGTATGGCTGAGGCAGGGAAAAGCACAAACCTTACATCTTCTTTTACATATACAGTGATAAAAGAGAAAGTGAAGAAAGAGAAGAAAAAGATGCATGGTTTGTACTAACTTTTAAAACAGTATGATTGCCATCCCCTTTATTCTTTCAGGCCTGAGCAGCACTGTGTGTGTCGATTTAGAAGTTCTGATTTGACCAAGCTACACAGTTTGTGTTGCTTGTATGTCCCCATACGTACTAATTCAAATACTGCTCCATATTAGCTTTTAATGTTCAGATCTACTATTAAAAGATTCAGGGAAGGTTACTCTAATGTTTTTGTTTGTTTACAAGCCTTTGTGTGTACATTTAGATGCACAATTGTCAAATTTACTGTGAGCATTTGAGTGATAAACTAACCCAGTAACTTATAACTTTTGAATTTGTATACAAACTGAACAAACTTTAAAGTTTCATTCTCAAATTTGGATATTCACTGCACTTGTGGTTGCAAAACCAAGGTAAGTAAAGAATTGGGGGGGGGGGGGGGGGGGGGGGGGGTTTAAATGTTTTTTTAATGTAACACTTGCTGAATTCCATTTTTTTTTTACTTTTTCTACTAACTATTACAGCATTAAACAAAAACATCATCATATTCAAAATGTACATTCATTCATCATTAAAAAATATAAAAACTTTTTATAGGGAATAGAAATAAATTATATTCTCAAATGCATTACGTTTTTTTTTTATACCAAGCCTTCTGCAATTTTTGAAAAATTGAAATTAATTTGAGCCAAATCTATGAAAATTCATGGGCCTGAAAGAGTTAAGATAGCAGTAGCAAATGCATCCCTTGTTCCTTGACTCCTTCAAGTGATAATGAATGACAGCGTGTGTAAATCTGTGTGTGTTTTCATGTTAAAAAACATGTTGACTTACCTCACACCTAAACTTCACCTCTTCACCATCCATCACCTTCAATGACATCAAGCCCCAGGTAAACTCAGGTGCTTTACCCTGGGATTCTTCAACTGCTGGCAAAAACTGAAATAGAAACAAATTTCAAATCAGCTTGTAAAATTATACACAGAGGTGATATAGCAACACTTAATGTATACAAGAAGAAGGATTTGCCACTGCTTTGTTGTTGTTGTTGTTGTTGCTGTGACTACACTGGTGGAATGATTATAACCACTGCCACTATAGTGTGATCCTCTGCCCATCATCTGGCAACCTGAGACCAAGACCAACAGCTATTGGTGGTACTTCTCAAGCTTCACCCACTACCTGCTCACAAGATTCCACATTACCTTTATAATGTGAGAGGTCTGATAGTGATAGTGGGAGAGATGTTAAACAGGTATTTCATGTAGCCAAGGATGTCTTATAGGTTTTAGGGATCCCAAAGGAAAAAAAAATACAGCAGGATAATATAAATGTCAAGTCAACATTGAAAATGTAGACGGATGTGTTAGATGAAATTAGCATAAAGTTTGTTTCATTTCCTTTACACGATATTGCAAACCAACCCCAACATGATTTTGTTGTTTGTTGTTTTATTCTAGACAATTTAAGGTTCCGTAGTTTGCCATGGCTTTCTAAATGGTCAGAGCTCCATACCATTGTCAATATCAACGCAAAGCAGTCTGGAGTTGCAAATAAAGTTTGCAACACTTAAGCCACAAACACTAACCTTATCCATAACAGCATTCTAATAAGAGAACACAACAAAGAAACAAGCACTGCCAGTAATGCTTACCCGCTCTGTGGTTTCTGTCTCAACCACAGTTACTTCCTCCTCCTGAGGCTTTTTCTCGCCCACTTGTAGGGTCAAAGTTACCTCGCCAAGTTTCTGGGGCTTGCCCTGGATCTGGAAGCTAAGCTCTTCTCTATGGATCTGTTCCACTTCCACAGTCTCCTCCTTGGTGGTATCCACTTCAGAGACAAATGTTTCAACTTGCATAGCCTCTTCCTGGGCCACTGTAATCTCTTCAATGTATTTTGGTTGCTCTGGTTGCAGCTGGACAGAGAGTTGAACTTCTTCAAACTGCTTGGGTTGCCTTGAAATCTGAAGTTCAATTTCTTCACGGTGGGTCTCCAAAACTTGTTCTGTTTCTGTTGTAACTTGTTCAGTTTCTGTTGGAATTTCTTCAGGCTTGATGCCTTCCTCTTCAACCATCTGTACTTCAATTGTGATGTCTTCTCTGGTCTCTTCAGTCGTCTCTGTCACTTCAGCCTCAGTTACTTCCATGGTCAATGTGGATTCCTCTGTGATGGCTTCCTCCAGTGGTTGAATCTGGGATTCTTCCTCGAGTGTTGGGGCTTGTGTTTCAAAAGTAACTACAGTTATACCTTCAGAAACTGTTGTCTGTTCATCAGAAAGTCTAGCTTCAACAGCTTCCTCCTTCTCTTCTTCTTTAAGGATTTCTACTTCTGTAGGTAACTCAGGTACTTTTTCAGCTTCTATATCCAATGGAGATACCACAATGATTTCACCTGTTTCATGTGTCTCTTCCTCTAAAGGTCTGCCCAGTTCTTGTGGTTTTTCTTCTACAACTTCAACCACTTCTGAGGGAACCTGGATCAACATTTCCACTTCTTCAGTATCTACCCTAGAAATTGTTTCTGCTGGCTGTTCAACAGGGATCACTGGTTCAGCATGTTCAATTTCTTCTGGTTTCTCCTTAGTTGCAGTTACTTCTACTTTTGTGGTTGTAACTGTGGTCTTTGTGACTTCAGTAATTCTTTCTGCAACAGACTCAGAAGGAGCCTCTGGTTTTTCTATACCAATGTAAATTTCAGCAATTTCGGTTTTGTCCTCTGATAGCTCCTCCGCCTCTGTGGTGGTAACTGTCATCTCCACAGTCTCTCTTTGAGTCTCTATGACTTCCTCAACTGGAGCTTTCACCTCTACCTCTTTCATCTCAACTTCAACTTCAGTGGGTTCAGCAGTCTCTACTGGTGCCTCCTCAACTTCTGAAGGGATGATAGTTTTTTCTATGGTTTCCTTTTCTGGTTGGATGACTTCCTCTACAGGAGCTTTCACTTCAGTTTCTTCAATGCTCTTCACTTCCTCAGGCAGTGGTCCAGAAACCGGAAATATCACCTGAATCTCCTCTCTCTGAGGCTTCTGTGTAATCTCAATCACCTTAGTCTCTTTGGTGATTGTGCTGCGAGTTTCCTCAATTTTTTCCTCAGTAGGTCTCAACGATTCAGTCAACTTTTCCCTCTCGTTGATTTCGATGTCAACTCGACTAACTTTACCAATAGGAATTTGTAGTTCTTGTGCTTGTGGCTGTCTCTGCAGTGTTGTCTCATGAATTTCCACTTCAATTCTCTGAGCTGTCGTTCTAGAAGCCTCCACTGTTTGAGTTACCTCAGTTGTGGCGGTGGAAGATATTGTAATAGGGATTTTCTCCGGAACCTTCTGAGTGATCTCAATGGTCTCTGTGTGAGTTTCACAGGGCAATGAAGTGTCAGTGATGGGGACAGACTTGACTTCCTGTGTGACTGTACGAGTGGCCTCGGTGAGACTGTCCACAAATTCTTCAGTCTGCTGGACTGGGATTTGAACTCGCAGCTCAACAGGAGCCAATTGTTCTCCTTTACTCATGCTAACAGTGGTTATCTGAGTTGTGGTTCCCTCAGTGACGGTGGGTAAGTCTTCCATGAATTCCTTGGTAACCTGGGTGTAGGTGGTGGTTTCCTGGATGACTGTTGTAGAGGTTGTGGTGGGTTGGTTCACCCCAATCTGGATCTGAAAGGTCTGGGGTTGAGGCTGAGGCTGTAGCTTGGCCAAAGTTTCTATATCAATGACCTCCCTAACTTTAGTCTTTTCTGGGCCTTCCAAAACCTGATCCCGGGTGTGATCAATTTCAATTGTCTCTGTGTGAATCTCATCAGTGATGATTGTCTCCTCAGCTGCAGAGATAGAAATGCCATTATCAGGATAATATACCACACATTATAAAACATTTGCAAAGTCTGAATGTAAACATGTTTACATACATTTCTGAAGGAGAATTGTTTCAGAATGAACAATAAATCAAAAATTCTCTGTTATCCATGTGATGTAATTTTAACATCAACAAAAAACAATGAGGTGCCATCTCCAATAAGATGGTTGGCTGCATTGGATCCATTTTCGGGTAATTTCCTAATCTGCCGCTAACCTGCTGTACCTAATTGTCGGTACTTTGCGTACTATGTACAAAAATGCGTCACAAACTAAAAATAATCAACCAATCACTGTCAAACCTCATGATTAGTCATAATAAATGGCTGCCCCTATGTGTTTGGATTTACTTTGTGTGGTTAAATGTTAAAAAAAAAATTCTGAAAATTCACAATGAAACGAGTGGGTGATAAACCAAGCACTTCGACAGGAAAGTAAAGTAGGTCTAGGCTTTCACAGTCCAGTAGGTGATCGATACTTTGGTTGATTCAGACGCTGAGGAGGTCTGTATTTCATCAAGAATATGTTCCCAGTTCAAGTGACAAAGACAGTAAGAGCTCGAGTGATGAGGAGAATCTAGAAACTTATACGTCTAGAACTAGATTGATGGTAAGAGAAGGGGTCACGTCCCTCAAACAGAAACAACTGGTGCTCACTTTGTGAAACAAAGCTTATCCTGCTGGGTGGATTGGCAGAAAAAGGCGGAACACTGATGCTAGATGAAAGGTTAACCTATTTTCTACATTGTCTCCAAGTTTCATTCTGACTATTTGTTTGCATGTAAATAATGTTTATGTATATCATGCTGGTTTTTCGCATTAATGCCCAGGAGCTCAGGTATAGTGGACAGTTAGGTTCAGGGCCTCAGGTCTAGTAGGTTAAGATTCATATTAATCAACATATTAGATAATGCTGATATACAAGACAGCACTTACTAATGACAGTCAGACGACAGGTTGTGATGGACTCTCCGAATGGGTTGACAGCAATACAGGTGTATTCACCCTCATCTTCTGGAAATACCTCTACAATAATCAAAGTACTCTCCCCTCTCTCCACATCAATGGTAATCTGGAAGTCTGAACTGGGCAAGATAGGGCTGCCATCGAAGTACCAGGTGATGGTAGGAGATGGGACACCAGTGTATCGAACTGTGAGTTCAACTCGCTGTGTATCTCTGACGGTCAGAGGCTGCAGAAGCTGGGTGAATCGTGGTGGTTGTCCCTCCAGACCTTCTTCTGGGGCTACAGTCTCTTGGGGCACTTGCTTGGGTGCTTCCTCTGTGGGCTTGGGTTCTTCAGGTGCAATCTCACGTTTGGGTTCAGTTGCTGGTTGCTCTCTTGGCATTTCTTCAGGCTGAATTTCAATCTCCATACGCTGAAGAGCTGAAAATGCAGTATTATATATAAATTATTTTTGTGGGTATACTGTGCAGCTTCAAGTAAAGTGAAATCCCCTTTACACACCAGTGGCCTATCAGGCATATGAGGCAAGACCCAGATTTAGATCAATTCGCCAACGATGGCTGATGTGGTCAACATCATACCAGCCACCTTTGTTTCCCAGGACTTTATCTGGTACCCATTCAAGGCTGGGTCAGCGTGGAAGCCAAGATCATGTTTGAAAAACAAAATCTGACCTTAGGATCTGCAGGCAAGCATGTAGCTGCTACACCACAGCAGCTTCCATGCAGCTTAAAAGCAGTGCTCAGTTATTATGAATCTTGTCCTTAAATTGAGTTGAGTTGAGTCGAGAATTGACATCACAGCACTCGGGGCATTCCCATGCATGCTCCGTCCTTATCTTCAGAAGCCAGTGCAGAGTTCCAATACTGATGGTACCGGTCACAATCTGGTTAAAAGTCCCACTTGCCTTTCATCTGAGTGTAGTGAGCTGGCCAGACCCTTTGGTTACACCCAGGTGCCTCATTCTCCCCAGGCCATAACAATCTTCTTTCTCTACTGATTCCGCTGCTTGTTCCCAAAGGGCCTTGACTACATCTGCTGTCGTGTATCAATTCACCATCAAGTGGTGTGGATCCAGCCAATCTGTCTGCCTGTTCATTACCCATCATGCCGGTATAGCCTGGATAAAAGATCCAAAGTATGCTCACCATCTGTGACCTTTCCAGTGAAGCTTGCCACTCTGCTCGAAGCATCCCTGCCTTCACCTTTTTCAGCATGCTTTCAGAGTCTGTTACAATTATGACAGGTGTATGCATCTTGTTCTCTAGCCACTGGAGAGCTGCAGTTACCGCCTCCACCTCCATTCTCATGCTAGATGTGGTGGTGTCATATGCTAGGCTGTCTTGCACTAAAGATGTTCCATTGGCTTCTGCTACAAACCCCCAGGCACTTCTCTTTCCTCTCGACACTGAACTGTCTGTATAGATAATCAGATCACCTGGGCGTGAATTGTCGTGAATCAACTATTAGACTTCAACCTCCGTAGCACCAGCTGACCACTCTCTGCACACCCGGCCCAATGTTATAAGTGTGACAGTAAATCTTGAATGTGAATAATCAAATATATTTCAGCTTGCAGACAGTGAAAATACAGTTTCTAAGGTAACTTGTGTGTATTCTTTAGACAGCCAGTTTAACACGATAGCCTGAAATAAGCTAACACAAATAGAAATGTGTATATAACTATGAGAAAGATCATGTAAAGAAAGGAAAGCTTTTAAAGAACATGATGATGGCTGGGAAGACAAAAAAACTGAAGACAGAGGGTCAAGAGGAATATGCTGGGTAGTCTAAGATCCATAATAACCATGTCGTAAAAAGCAAATTTGCCAAAATAAAATATTTTGGTCAAAATATGCAGATATTGCAGTCTAGCTGTAAACCACAACATGCCAACAACTTGTCAAGGGTGAACATAAGAAAAAGGAAGGAGGAGGAGAAGAATTGATCTAGAATACCAAAAACCAAGATTTATGGCAAGACCTAAAATTTGATACCACCTGGTAAGGCACATAGTGATGGTGATATATTTATCATCGACAAACTCAACATTCACCAGTAATTTACTCTTTCAAACAGTTGTTTCTTTGACTCCTTATATTCCAAGTAGTTGAGCTTAAAAGTAATAAACACTCAAGTTTGAAGAAGGTAAACAGAATTACTAAGGAACAGTAGCATTAATCTAAACACTCAGAAAAAAAATATAACAATGTCTGTAATAAAAGAGAGCAAGAACATCTTATTATCTTTAGACACACTATAAAAACACACTGCATGTTGCCTGGTTCTGAAAGAGTTGAAGAAATCACAAAGAAATTGACACTTACGATTAACTGTGAGTGTGGTTTTACACACTGTTCTGCCCACAATATTCTCAGCCTCACATATGTAGTCCCCAGAGTCCTCTGGTCGTACATCTGTGATGAGCAGGATGTGAACATTCTTCTCGCGGATCACCTCAACCCGTGGTGAATGGAAAATCTGAACTTCGTTCTTGTACCACTTCACTGTGGCTTCTGGTTCAGCCTCCACAATGACCTCAAATCTGAAAGAACAATGGTAGGTGAAACATAAATGTAATACTAATGGAATGTACTATGTAAGTTAACTGCAGAAATGTCCCCTGATAAACTATTATTTGCAGGAGTATTCAGATAGATTAAAATTTTTAAATGCTGAATTAAAGATTTGACTTCACAAACTCAGGACATTCTCTTAAGCAATCTATCCCCACCTTCAGCAGCAAGCACAGATTTCCAGTGTTGATGGTGTCAGTAACAGTCTGATTGTCCAAATAAACTAATGATGAGAAAGCATGTCTGAATCAACAAACTCTTTGATAACATAATGTAAATCTTATTCTGACTATTTTATTTCTATGTACACTGCTAACTTCACAATGGAGATCTGTTGCAGTGCACACGCTGATGTCTTTGGGAATATTAGTGGTGAGGTCCTAACCTATTCCATGGTGAACCTCTGGTATCAATGCCATGACAGCTATGAGAACACTCTTTTCAAAAGCAATATACTGCACACTTTATTGCCTGGCATATTTTGCTACATCTTGCCAGGTGCATTATTACAGAGTCAAACTAACATATGATAAAGCACCCCAAAAAAATAAACATTTTTTGCTGAAATACATAAATCCCATTGTCAAGTTAGGCTATACACGTCTCCACTGGCAATTCAAGGTCAGCCATGTGATTACTATGGTAACTTCAAATGTATCACATGCTATTTTTACTTACATAAAACAGGATATTTTCGTTTTATTGATTCAGCCTCTGCCAGTTTTAGCAAATGTATATTCAATGTGTGGTAAGTAATTCTAAAGGCACCGTCAACAATATTTATAGTACTAACTTTAGGATGTTGGATCTTCTTCAGATTTGAACTGGTCAAACAAAATAACACTGAAGTTAAAATGAACCCAGTCCAGTGTTTTAGCAGACAAGCTCACTAACTACCATATGAATCATATCTTTCATTGCATTTCTACATGCAGTACAAAAGCAGATGTGTTAACCAGAACACACAAAAAGACAGATTAACTTGTTAGATTTGGAAGCAAATCCCCAAGAATTATAAAATTCGGTACCCAAACTGAACACTGTGGGGTGGCTACTTAAGTAGCCAGATTTATAGAGTATGGTTTGACCAAAAGTAAGGCATAAGTAAAACACACACTATTCGTTGGTCATGACTCACGAGGAGTATAACATCACACTATGCATTGCCTGAAAGTGAAAGAGCCACCCATTAAAGGAAATTATTTTAAAAAGCCTTTTATAAGGGAACACATTAGCCATTATATAAGAGAACAGATTTACCAGCATAGAAAAAGAGACTTTACCAGAACAGAAGCTGATAGTTAACCAGTACAAAAGAGAATGGAAAATGGATGCAGACTACAAATGACAAAGTTGGTAGCCTACCTGACAGTTCCTCCTTCATCCACCTGTGTGTAAGGTTGCAGAGGTTTGCTGAAGTTGGGAGAGACTTCCAGTGTGGTTACATGCTTCTCCTCAATGACTTTGACCTCAGTCTCCTCTTCTATGCCTTCCTCCACTTGAAAACTGGTGGTGATGGTTTCCTCAGTGGTTGTCACCTCCGTCTCCTCAGTTTCTGGGAGCAGGAAGAAGATAAACATTCAGTCACAGAGAGTTTAATTTCTTTTTCATTCCTCATACTTGTAAATAAGTATACATTAGTAGTAATTTAAACAACAGTATTCTGTTCAACCCATCCAGGAATATACAGAGATTGTATTTCTAATATTGGATATTTATGCTTGTCAATTATTTAATGTATTTTTTAAACAACTAAGATCCACGTGTGGGTTTCAGGGCTCCATTGTGGGGGAAACAAGAATAGACCCACTGCCTGACCCAAAGCATGCCATAAGAGTCGACTAGCTGGTAGCTTCCTTCAAAATCAGAGTGCATATACCTGAGAGGCAAGGAACCAACAGTCTGCATGCAAATGAGTCAGACCTGTGAAACGGATGTGCACGCAACAGTTTCTGGAACAGGACTAGAGTTCAGAAGTGGACGGAAAACCAGAACTTTCTGCTGGAGTTTACAGCTGATGAATGCTAAGAAGAAGAAGAAGAAGAATTAACTAAAACAATCACATTGTGTAATCTATCATGAATGAATATTATACTTGGCTGAGTAACCTACCTTGTACAATTAAGGTTGCAGTTGTCATGGCCTCCCCAAACTGGTTCTGAGCTCGGCAGGTGATCTCTCCTGCATCATCAGGGAACACTTCAGTGACCTCTAGCACACACAGACCAGTCTCTGGCTCATAGTAAAGCCTGATGTCTGGCCCTGTGTTGATCTCTGTGGTATTCTTGTACCAGGTCACCACAGGTGTTGGCGAGCCAATCAGGCGGCAGGTCATTCTTAAACTGTCTCCATCACCGACCACCTGTAATGATACAAATCAATACCTTTCTTAACAGTTTTACTTGTTGTCTGTATTGACATCTTGGCACATCATACAACCCACTCATGCTCCATCCTCCAATGCAGCAGCCATCACAGTGTCTCCATCTTCAACATACCCAGTAGGAGGTGACTGACATATCTTCTTTCTATGCATGCTTGTCCTCATTCAGTACCCATTTCCAATAGGCGGTTCATTGTCTCTGACTCCTTTGTCTGAAGTGCTCTAGAATGCAGCACATTCAGTATAATAAGCAGGCAGACTGCGCAGTTACTAATCAAATCACTGCTTCATTTCAGAACATCACATCAGAAGGTATTATCTGTTTATATATTAATTATTCCTATAAAGAAATGAATGTCACTCCCCACTTGCTTTCAAGTGTAGAAGTCTTAGGAGTTTGTGACACTTATTATTTGCTTTATGAAATTATGGGAAGCACCATATGCCTGATGCCCAACTGACATGACAAGAGCCTTTTTTTTTTTATTTTTTTCATTAAACTGACTCAGTTTTAAATGATGATTTTCCCATGTGGGTTCTAGTGCCCCATTGTGTAAGTCCTAAGAGTCAACTAACTGGAGGCTTCCTTCGAAGTAGAAATGCATCTGCCGGAGAGGCAAGGGGCTGAGAGTCTACATACAAAAAAAGTCAATCTGTAAAACTGATGTGCATGTAACACTTAGGTTCTGAAACAATACTAAAGTCCAGCTGTGGATGAACAACCAGGACTTTCCACCGAAGTTTACAACTAGTGAATGCAAAAAAAAAAAAGGAGAATGATAATTATTGTGCAAGCAGGAGGAAATTACTCTTGAAAGGCTTAAAAAGAAGATTAAAGCCCTAATCCTAACTATAAAGATGTATGTGCCTAGCAAACAAATGGCTAAAAAGAAATACATTTTTGTAAAGGCAACACTTCAGCAAGGCTTCTTTTCTCATAAGAAATTTAATAAAGCAACATGAACACAGAGCTAAGAACCATCTGTACCTGAGGCTGCAGCATCTCTACAAACTCTGGTGCCACTTCATCAGGTGCCTGTTCTGGTATGATCTGCTGTGGAGGCTGTTCAAAGTCCTGCACCTCACCAATCACAGTCTGGATACTGGTCTCCTCTTCAAGAGGGCCAGCATCAGGTGGTGTGGGAATCCCTGAGTCGGTTACATCAATTTCCATCTTGGAAACCTGACAAATATAAATGCAGTAAAGAAGGAGTTTTTACAATGATTTCAAAGAGATGCAAGTTGGCTCATATTTGATGAGAGTAATGCAGCAAGTATCATATCTGACTTGGGGTTTTCCTAAAGAAATTACTGCCCTCATTTCTAAAGCCTACTTGTTCCCAGAGTATTAACTATTTGAGGCCCAAACAACGGTGTGAGCATTGTTTGAGTAGGTTCCGTTCTGCCCAAACAACGGTGTCATTGTCAATCGTGTGTCACTTACATTTTGCTTCGCACGCGGCTTCGTACTAGTTTCTAGTGTTAGGAGGTACGATTAAACTATTCAGGGAAAGTCACTCTGCCGAAATCCTTTTAGTTTCATTTCCTGGACTAAACAACAAGTGGATAATTTAGAGAAAAAACAGTGAAATTTTGTTTAGCAGTTCATTTTCTAAGTTCGTTTTTGAGTGCCATGAATACCAATTTTCCAACTACAAGTACAGGTCGCAGAATGCGTCTTTCTGCGGCTGAAGCTCTGAAATTGTTTCAGTCAGATTTTCTTAATTGTGATAATGATAATAAAAATTTAGATTTTTCGGAAAGTGATTCGGACTGTGAATTTTCACCAGTGAAGCTGAGCGATCAGCTGTTCGGAATCTAGCGATTCTGATCAGTTTATTACACAGACAATGTCCCATACTACCGTATTTATGGCGTAAGAGAAGGAAAGTGCTCTAAACAAAGAGACAGTACTATACTATGGCTAAGCTACACTAAAATCATTGCAGCTACAGTCTGTAAATAACTACAAAGTAAATAGTAAACAGTGTGTGTGTGTTATGGCTTATTTTTCTGCCATTTTTTCTCTGAAATTTTGCTCAGCACTCTGTGAGAACAAAGAGCTCCTTAGTGCTAAACTAACCCAGAAAGTTATTATAACTTTGGAATATGTTAGGAAATTAAACAAACTTTAAAGTGTTGTTCTCAAATTTGGATATTTACTGCTATTGTGACTGCAAAACTATGGTAAGTGAAGAATTTTTGTGTGAAATGTTGTCCTTGTGAAATTAACACCTGCTGAATTCTTCTTTTCCACTAACTATAAAAGAATTGAACAAACACTTATCATCAGATTCCAAATGTACATTCATTTGTCTTTTTAAAAATATATACTTTTATAGGGATTAGAAGTATATTACAATCTCTATAGCCTTTCTTGTGCACCCACCCCTCTGCCATTTTTGTAAAGGGAAATTAATTTGGGCCAAGTCTGTCAAAATAATGGGCCTGAAAGAGTTAAATATTAAGACAGTTCCTCTACTAGAGGGAAGTTAGCCTGAAGGGTTGGTAAGATGAAGTAGGTAAAAGTAAAGAACTCTTTTCAACGTCTTTCAGGTGTTTTTAGTATATAGAGCTAGACCTAAATTTTATAGACCAAACGGCACTTGGTCGGTGATGTGGTCATCATCACGCCGGCCGCCTTTACTTTCCAGCTCTTTACCTGGTACTCTCTCAATGTTGGGAGCCAAAGTCATTTTTGACAAATTCAGGAACGAAACCCACGACCTTCTGATCCGCAGGCAAGCATCTAGCCGCTAGACCACATAGGCTCCTGGTAAGATAAAGTGCTAACTAAAAAATATAGCTCTGCAGCCACAGCCGAAGTGCCATTTGAAGAAAATAGTGAGAGCTGACGTGAAGCAGCTGGCTGAATGGCTGAAAACAATGGGTTCTCATGTGGGATGCCCAGGGTCGAATCCTCTGTAAGACTATGGGTTTTTCTTTTGTAGATAAAAATAAGAACTAAAACCTGCAGTCCATGCCAACTGCATTAGCTATGCAGCTCCATATCCTCAGGCTCAAAAGACACTCCATCCCCCACCCCCTTTCCCCCCAACCCTTTTGCACTGCAAAAGTGTCAATGCAGAGAGTAACAGCATTTTTTTTATGGTGGGAGGGGGGGGGGGAACTTGAGAGTTAAGAGACACACTGGGTCCAGCACACCTACTGGATTCAAATTTTAACAGTGACACTTTGATTCAATGACTGCCAATCTTGTAGGCTGTACCCCAGAGGTGGGGGGGGGGGGGAATATCTATCACTAAAGAAGTTTAAGAAACAACTAGGAGTACAAGAGTGTCACAAGAAGTATAACAAATCCTCCAATACCTCTAGCGGTTCTTCTGGTAGAACTTGGATCTGCTCTGATGAGCCCTGCTCAATGATCAAAGTCACTTCCTCTTTCTCAACAGTTGGTACCTCAGCTGCAGGTTCTACTGGGAACGTGATCTCTGATATCTCAGGCTGTGGCACCACAGGGACAGTGATTTCTTTCACCTGTGTCACCTTCTCCAAGAATGCTTCCACAACCTGGATAAGACCAACATTCAGCATATGGTAAATATGAAGTACACATGAACCATATGGTAAGAAGACATCACATGGGCAAAAAAGTAGTAGATCTGATTCAGAATGGAATAGAGAAGGAAAAAACAAAGTCCATGCCAAGTTTGACACAAATGTTATACATACTAATTGTCTTCTATGCTGCCATTCCTTTTTAAAGAAATCTGTGGTCCCATTTTATGAGGCTGGACTGTCTGAGATTTTACTGGTATAGAAATTCAAGTGATTAGAAAAATATTCAACTGATCCACACAGCTTTTCTTTTTGGTATAAACAAATGCTCAGGCACCAAATGCAAGGGTTTTCCCCACACCAGGGAAGCATTTATTTGCAAATCTTGCAACAAAATTTATGCCACCATTTGCAAAATATGCAATGTCTATGTTGGGGAAAGTGATAAGGGATTAGCAGATCATTTCTTATCAGCTCATTCTGTGAATATCTTATGGATATTCACAATGAGGAACCTAAACCAGTCTCTTTCTAAATTTAATAGTTCTGATAACCAAGGCAAAACTGGCATATCTATTTCTGTTATAAAATCTTGTTCCAAGGATCAAAACCCACCTCTGCTGGGAAAACCATATAATTTACATAGGCATGAAAAGACAACATCAAGAAATGGAGAGGACTAAATTATCATACACTTATTCATCAAGCGGAATATAGAGAAAGATAGCAGATTTTATGTGCTAGTGCTTCCATCATTACACCTCCATGACCCTAAGGGTCAAGGGTTATGTTACATTATAGAAATATTCAGTCTTTCAGGGACCAATATCCAACAAATAAGCTCTCAACCACATTTTTCTCCACTGTTTATTCATAGCTTAATATTTTCCCAATTCTTCTTTCATGTTTCATACTCGGTAGCTTTTCCTGTCCTTTGTTTCCGTTTTATATAACATCTTTCTGTTCATTTGTTGTCACTTTACAGCTCCTGATGTTTTATTCACTGATAAATATTTTGGATGAAGCAGTCTGTTGTACTTGTGAGAGTTTTTCATCTCTTCCTTTTTTTCTCTGCATGTCAGGTGCAGGTCCGTCGTGATTTCCTATAGGTTGCTCTACACACTTTGCTCTAAGGGCCAGGTTTCTCTTCATAGCTGTAAGTATAGTAGGCAGGCCTGTAAAATGTCCTCATGTGTTTATGGTCCCATCTGACATACACACTGTGGGGATTGTACAGTCTTTATTTTATGCATGTGGTAGTTGAGTCTGCAGTGTCTTGTCCTTAGACTGAAAAAATATTGAATATTGTTTTCGGTTAAGTCTATTGATGGGTGTGAAGACTGATAGATGTTTACTTCAGAGGCGTTAGTATATAATCTTTCTGATGGCTTGGATGCTCTAGTTCCCACTTTATTCTACATGTGTTACTTATGAACCTTTTCATCAGAAACACATACTTCAGAAACAGCTTGAAAAAAGTCAGATGTGTCAGGTGAAGAGTAAAAATACTGCACCCATCCTGTCAATGGGCACAACACTGCTATGTCCTTAGGCTAAGAGAAAACAAGAACACTCTTCACTGGTTATCTCTGTAGCAGGTTGAAGTAGTCACCAACCTTCAATCTCAATTGGTGATTCTAATACAACAATCGGATTGCATGCTTCAAAACCAGGAAAGGAACTACAAATCTACTGGTCCACAACAGGGAGGCAAGCCAAAACTCAACCCCTCACCTCCTCTCTTGGTTCTTCTGGCTGTGGAGTTCGTTCCTCTTCAAAAAATTCATCAATTGTTATCTCCCTCTCTGGTGAAAATGAAATCTCTTCAGGAACAAGAGGCGTAAGTTTTGGTCTATCAATTGTTTTAGCCAGGAAGGAAGGTTCAATAATTTCCTCCTCAATTTCTTCTTGAGCTGTGTAGTAGGTGTCTGAAGAAGCTACAGAGGTGACCGAGTCAGGAATGGGAGAAAAGATAGGAGACTCTTGCATGGGCTCCTATCAGTGCAGGAGTTAAAGCAATAAATAATATATCTGAGTGCATCTGAGTCACAAATGACCACAAACATGCTGAAACCAGATTAAATCCCGCTGCTCAAAAAGGCTTACAAAAAAGAAAAGACAAATATACCTTGGGTCTGTCAATGACATCTGCCATGACGACATCCTCTGTCACCTCTGATGGTTGGGGTTTGGTTCTCAAGGGAGCTTCCTCTTGTGGTTTAATGATGAACTCAATTTTCTGTGGAACTGTTGTATCTATAGTGATGGTCTCCTCCTGAAAACAACACATACAGCCTTTCATTCAGCTACTGTCTAGCGGCATTTAAAAAAAACAACAGATCACTGTGAATAAAAACTACTGAACACAAGAACTTTGAGAAGAGAGAGAGAGAGAGAGAGAGAGAGAGAGAGAGAGAGAGAGAGAGAGAGAAAGAGAAGAGAGAGAGAGAGAGAGAGAGAGAGAGAGAGAGAGAGAGAGAGAGAGAGAGAGAGAGAAGTAGCACTACCAAATTTAGCTGTTTCTTAGAAAGAAAAAAATACACACAAATAAAAAACCACACACACAAACCCAGGCAACCCCCCCCCCCCCCCTTCTTCCCCCCCCCCCCCCCATTTAGGGGTGAACTGCAACCACACAGGGCAGAAGTGATCTCAAACCTGTGGGTAGTAAGGAGTGGATGTGGGCTCAGGGTACAACTCGAGACTCAGAGAGAAGTCAAGATGAGTAGTTAACCAGCTGACACACAGCCATCATTATGGAAACTGATTGCTGTCTGTTGAGAAGAGAGACTGGGTTAATATGGGCTCATCCTGAATGCTGTGATGCTGAATCTTCACCTAGATGAACCCACATAACATGTTCCAGTTTCCTTTTTCTTATAATATCACCCCCAAAAAAAGGATGATTGTCTCTTTCTGATGTTTGTGATAAGTTGCCTTTGAGGCCCCACCTCTTTCAAATCACCTCCATTGTTTTTTTTTTGTTGTTTTTTTCTGTTCACTATTACTGCTAAATAAAAAAAAAACTAGTATGTTGTTCTACCTGAGGTTGCTCAGCTTCCAGCTCCATGGTGATCTCCTTGGTTTCTTGAACTGACAGGTAGGCCGATGTTGTAGCCTGTCCTGCTGGGTTCCTGGCCACACAGATGTACTGACCCTGGTCTTCAGGGAACACCTCCACAATGATGAGACATACCTGTGTAACAGAAATACCACAAGTTAAGCATAATCTTTGACTGGCAATATGCAATAATAAATTAACCTAAATAATTTCTAACTGATTTAACATACAACATTAAGGAGTCAGCCACAAGCATAACAGTTATTTTTATTGACTCTAATTTTTATTTAAATGATTAAAGATTGATCAGAAACATTCTTCTACGTCTTCTTCTGGATTCACCTATAAATGGGTGATAAGCACATTGTGTTGTTTACAGCTAGACTTCAATTTCAGCAAACCTCAAATAAGTAACCTTGTTATTACATTCCTGTTATTGGGGCATTGGGTCTATCCCCATCACCCCCCCCCCCCCAATTATGGGACACCAGAAACCACATAGGGAGTTTTTCCATTATAAAAGATATACTCCAATCAGATAAACAAAGTAATAAATGCAGATAGTGTCAACTGCACATGATTCTACGATTAAGTGGTTCAGCTTAGAACTGAAATCACAACACCCATCATCCTCCTTTGTGTGCCGGATGTCACACAGGGCTTGTATTTGATTTCTCCACTCAGGCTATCAAGATAGCAACAGAGAAACTGCTAAATACCAATCTTGGCTCGCAGTATGTGGTAATGCTGACAAATGCAAAATCAGTACTTGAAGCACTCCAGTCTAGGAAACTACCAGAATTGCAAACACTGTTGACACAACTTAGCCTTCAGCAAAGAGTTGTAATGCAGTGGATACCATCACATTGTGGAGTGCCTGGCAATGAGAAAGCTGATCAACTGGCAGGAGAAGGTGCGACAAAAGTGCAGCTGAATGTACCAGTCACATACCACCAAAAGAAAAGAATCATTAAATCCATCAGGAAAACCACCAGCCCCAGCATAAGACGACTATTTTATTATGGACAGATCAGAACAAGTCATTATCCTCCACCTCAAAACAGGGCACAACTGATTACGTAACCACACATGTACACAAAATTCAAGATAGGCGTATCAGCCATGTGCACCTGTGGAAAAGTGCCCCAGACAGCAGAGCATGTATCCAGGACTCCACCGAATTTGACATATTAAGGCAAACCTTTTGGCCAGAAAGAACAACAGTGGAACGTAAACTCTATGGACCACTGAACGAATTAACAACAACAGTGAAATTTATACAAGAGACAAAATTGCTGATATAGACAACTTATTTCAGGTGAACGAAAGAAGAAGAAGATTTCTCCACTCCACTCTATTGCATCCAACTTTCTTTATTTCTGACATGGAGTTCAGCCATAATTTTTTGCCTCTCGCTCTCGTAATAATTTTCTTCTTAATGTTTCCCTTCGATGTCCTCTTTTTCTCAAATGTTTGTTTCCCATTTCAGTGCCTGTTTTGGAATTGTTTGCTTATTTCATCTCAGAGTGTGCCCAGTACATGCCCACCTTCTGTGTCTTATTGCAGTCGATACAGTATCTGTCCAGACATTTCTCATATTTCCTCACTCTTTTTGAATTCATCACAACATTTAGAACATTCCTAAACAACGCTCTGGCCCCCTATTCAGCAGCCAGTGGATACTAGCATTATTAATGGTGCCAGCTGTAGTCTCAATTATTGTCTGCTTAAAGTGTCTGTCTTGCTTGTTCTGTATTTTATGTGTCAGTCAGATCGACTGGTTACTCCCTCCTATAGAATTCTCTCCAGATTTGCTTTTCTGCAATGTTCATTTGTTTCCCCAAAGGAAGTAATTGAAGCACTTTCTTTGCCATACCATGAGATGGATTTGGTTATGTCACTAGGCCTACTTTATAGATGAATCTGCAAAATATAAAGGATCATGTGCCACAATATTACACTGGCTGCTTTTACTTCCCAGAATGTTTCTACTTTCTACAGGATGGGATGAAGGTCTTGGGTTCAAATCTGCATAGAGGCAGATTTGTTAATCTCCTAAACAGACCTTCAATCCCAGATGCTATCACTTAACTATGGGTACCAAGTAATGTCCTGGGAAGTAAAAGGTGACCAATGTGATGCAAATCTAATCCCCCATCGAGTGCTTATTAGTCCATAAACACAATATGAACCAGATTGTAACCAGTACCATCAGTATTGGAACTCTGCGCTGGCTGCTGAAAATGAGGACAGAGCAGGCATGTGAATGCCCTGAGTGCTGTGATGTCAACTCTTGACTCAACTCAAGTAAAAACAATATGAGTCTAGCACCATATGACCTATGTGCCACTAGCATACAAATCATCCTTTACCTTACTTTACCAAATAGGGTAGCCAAACTCAACCCTCCTTAGTTGCCTCTGATGACATGCTTGGAAGGTTGCAGTATTACTCCTCTCTGCTTCCCCCAAGGGCAATGGTACAAACTACAGATTATGATTCAACTCTTTGCTGCTTTCAAAATTCTGAATGCAGTGACAAAAATACGAGTATGAAGATGCTACACCAGTGCTATTCAACTGGTAGCCTGCAGAGGCCTAGTAAGCTGCTGTTTATAACTACCAGTTGCATTGTATTACCAATGATCTTTTGATGCTGGAGTTCAAGTACTGGCCCATGACAATCCCTATTTAAAACATGTTGGCCCCTGAGTGAACTTAGTTGGAAAGATCTGTCTTACACTACTGTACCCCCTGTGAAGTGTACCCAGCAACTACATACCTCTCCTGTCTCTGGATTGTAAGAAATGACAAACTCTTCATCGTCATCAATGTTCTTGCTGTCATGGAAGAATGAGATTGTCGGCATGGGTGTGCCACTGACACGACACTTCAAGTGTAACTCCTGTCCATCAACAGCAACAACATCCTTCATGGACTCCAAGAAGACAGGGGGCGACAGGGTCTGGGCAGGAGACGGTAACAAAGTAGATGTATCCTCAGGTCTGTGGGCATCTGTCTGCACAGGTTCTGTTGAAGGTAAGTTACAATATTAACTCTTTTGAGTCCACACAATGCATTATGTACGAGTCAGCCTATCTATAAAATCCGCTCCTTAGCTTAATATGCTCTCTTATTTTTGTTAAAAAATCAAGAAATCTGGCTTGTCCAAATGTCACTACTTCTATTATCAACATGATGAATTTTAATCAAAGATGTTTCTTCATTGATATCTCCCACAACATCTTCTTCTAGTAGTGAAAGCGCTAACAAAATTATTGCTCTTTAGGTGTCACATTGAGTAAAGACCCGTTATTCTTTTAGGCCAAGCTTCCTTACAACTAAAAATGTTTTGGTCTAAGATTATGTGTTTCCTTGCTTAATGTATTTATGTTCTTTTGAATGTACATTGATGTAGACTGATAACAAGAAAACTACTAACATACAGCTGAATTGTTAACTAGAAATAAGTAGTTAAGCTGCCAACAACACACACCGCTGAACTATACATATACAGCCAAGCTAAGTGAGTGAACAGTAAGGAGACACAAAGGGATCATTACTTTCTGTAGGCAATGGTGCAGTGGGGAGTGACCGGGGGATCTAGCTGAAACTCAACACTTAGGCGAAGGGCAAGATGGACATACTATCAGGCTGCTACTGGTACCAGCAGAACTGGAATTCTGGATTGGCTGCTAAAGATTGGGGAAAAAAAGGGGGGGGGGGGGGGGGGGGGAGTGCTCATGGGAATGTCCTGAAACCTATGATGTCAGTTCTTAACCTAACTCAACTTAACTGATACAGTTAAGTGACAACTACAAATATCCAACTGAGCTAAACTACAAATTTACCTTGCACATAGAGAGTGGTGGAGCTGACAGCCTCACCCAGCTCAGAGGTAGCTGTGCAGGTGTACTCTCCTGTGTCCTGTGGTCCAACTTCAATAATGAGGAGAATGCTCTTGCCATCCTCATAACGTATCTCATAATGAGGCGAGGGTTTAATCTCCATGCCATTCACAAACCATGTAATAATGGGAGCTGGTGCTGCGTCCACACGACACTCCAGCCTTTTGGAAAGATTACAAGGACAGCATTCATTGCTTTGTTTGTAAATAATGAAAAGGTTTTCCCAGTTTCATCATTATACATGCGGTGTTAGATCAATGTTCTTTGTGTATTCATTTGTACTTTTGTGTGTATGTGTGTGCACTTTTGGTTAAGTGGATAAGAGAATGTATAAAAAGTGCAGGACAAAGACAGGCAGGAATATTTTGTTGTTGAAAAGAGAGAGAAATAGAGGAGAAGAGTGAATTAGACAGATAACAGCAAGAGGAAGGGAGGAGAGAAAAGAAAAAAGAAGTAAAACAGAAACAATGAATAGATAAAGGATGTAAAATGTAACAGAAGGCTTGAAGAGAATATGTACTTAATTTTTTTTTTTTTTAAGTTAGCTTTTCAAAAGTGAAAATATAATAAATTTAACAGCACAAACAATGCCATGTAAGGTTTAAAAAAAATTATTTAAAAAAATAATAAAAAAATTAGGGACCATTTCTGTGCCACTGCACATCAAGCCTATGGTGCTAAACCTATATTTGTGTAGACCAATCAGCTTTTAATGAGTCAACATGGTGCTGACCTCCTGTTCTTCCCAGGATATTTGATGGTCCTCATCTTTGGCTAGGGTACTGGGAAACCCATGGCATGCAGAATGCTATAAATGAAATGTTTCCTCTAATCAGCCTCACCTGGCAATTCCTCTCTCCCTCACGTAGATCTCTGGCTCCAGTGGGGCCACAAACACAGGCCTGACCTGCTGGGAGACAACCTGCTCCTCTCGCTGGACAGTGGTCACTGTTTTGGTAATGGTCAGTACAGATTCGGCCTCCAAACCAGGTATTTCAACTTCTTTTTCACGGCCTGCATGATCAAATAATGATGTTGAATAATTTACTTGTATAAAGGTTGGAAATCAGAAGTTAGAAATGAATAGGAAGATTATTATTGCAGAAAAAAGATCAAACTCAGGAAAAATAATTTGGCCACAAACAGAGACAGCTCTCTGTTAACTCTTTCAGCCCCAAACAATGCATGATGTGTCACTGACTCTGCTGAATCCACTCCTTAGTTTAATATGTTTATTTACTTTCTGTTTTTGGCCAGAACACACTCAAGAAATCTGGTGTGTCCAATAGTCACTTTTAATGTTCTATTGCTGTTATTAGAGTAATGAATTTTAGTCAAATATGTCTTCTTTATGATCTCCTACGCAACCTTCTTCTAGTACTAAAAGAGTTGAAAGATGTTCTGTAGGCAGTAGTAAATAAAGAGGAATCAGGCAAGAAGACAATGCAGCATGTCGATGGACATTATCAACAGATGAACTAGTAGAAGACTTCATTCATGCACTGTGAAGAGACAAAACAAGAGGTTTTATAGACATAACAGTCAAACTTCAATGCAGAGATTGTACATCTCCATCATGTTCACCACCTGTAAATCCTGATGGAAAGTTCTGCTTGTCCATCCATTTATGGACATTTCTGGTTCCAGAACTTGAGTTTTGAATGCCATATCATTTTACAGATCTGGCTTATTTGTATGCAGACTGTTGGTCTCTCATCTCGCAGACAAATGCACACTGTGGGTCTATTATCTTTTAACCCAGAATAGTGTACTGGAGCCTACAAAGGGACAGAGATGCTACTTAAAATTAATGATGATTTTTACTTGCCAGTAAGCACTTCTTCTATTCTTTATTTCCCTATCAGAAAAAACCATTAGCCAATTCAGGCCAAGCTGGCTGGTCTATCTGTTGTCTTATCATACAATTCCCTTCAGGTCTTTCTTATAATAATCACCACTGTCTTTAATTCTTGTCTGACTGACTGACTTTCGACCCCACCAAGACATCACACAAGCGATAAACACCCGATGACACAAAGTGCCACCATGTGGATGAGGATCACTGTGGAGAGGTCCCAGAAACCGCGTTCAGACAGTTGGCCATATTGATGGCCTGCCTATATTGCGGCCCCTGGCAAAAGCCAGAGTGGGGCTTCAAATAACAAAAAATTACGTCCTAAAAAGGACGTAAGGAATATCTAATTCTTGTCTGTTTGTTTTTGAAAACCTCTACTTAAATTCAGAATACAAAACCTGACAGCATTATTGAATACTAGACATTCTATTACAACTTTAAAATTTCTATATGTGTGTGTGTGTGGATCAAATTATCCAAACAGACAGCAGTACTGAATGCCAGACTAATCTATAAGTACTTTGGAATTTCTACGAGCGTGTGGCAGTTAATAACCAGTCTGGTGCTGGTAGTGTTCTTTCAGGTCTCACTGTCTTTAAGTATACCAGCGTTATTGAAATGAGCAGCTGCACAGAGACATGTAATGACACTCATGATGTCCACTCATCACAGCCTAATTTCTTTAATACTTTTTCCTCCCTTTATTGTTTTGATGAGGAACTACAACCATAAAGTCATACCTGCTCCCCTCAACCTATGCCAAGAAACTCAGCAACCTCTACAATAAAATAATGCTGAAAGCATACCTTTGATGACAAGAGTTGTTCTACAGGTGACCTCTCCAAGTTCATTCTCCACCTTGAGAACATATTCTCCAGCATCCTGGTGGCTAACATCAATGATGATCAGAATGGCTCTGCGATCATCTCGTATTGTCTTTGTCCGTTCTGTGGTGTGAATCTCAATGCCGTCCTTGTACCATGTGATTTGAGGCAGTGGCTCACCAATAATTTCTGCCTCCAGTCTACAAGAAACAAGTAATATTTATGTTTAATGCTATCTTTCAAAAAACAGCAGAAAAAAGACATGTCCTAACTGATATCTGAGTCCATAACTAATGAAAATACTGAGGCTCTTCTGTAAGTGAGAAAAGTAAAGGATCTCTTTTTATGCCAGTGGCCCACCAGACCATTTGATAGAACATTCAAGAAAGATTCATGATTAGGAGCAAGCAAGATATCAATCACACTACTATCATGTCAAAATTACACAAAAAACCATTCTCCTACCAGTGGCACACTCAGCATATGGTGCTAGATTATATTTCTATAGAACTCGATGGCTAAGGGGACAACAACATACTGGCAAGCTTTACTCTCCATATTTTCAGATACTCATTTTTAGGAAGGCTCAGTCTGACAGCTCGCACGACAACACAGAAAATGATATAACTGAAATCCTTAGACTGTATATCCTCAGACATGACCCAAATAGCATCATCAGAAAAACCATACAGTGTTTTTAATACCAGGATTAGGCTAAAATAAAAGTGCCACAGACTCATGGGCAAAAGTAAAAGATTGTTTCCATCCTTGAAACATACTGGGAATATGCAGATAACCATATATTTTTATAGACCAAAACAAGGCTTTTTTTTTTTTTTGGTAGCTTGCAGCAGTGTGCAGTGCGGGCACCTTTTTATTGAAGCATAATTTTTCAGTGCTACTTTAATAGGTACTTTCTGGTAAATACTGTTGCCTTTTTTGATACTTTGTGGTAAACACTTGTACCTTTTTTTTCTAGGGAAAAAAGTTCTGGATCAATCAGACGTGATAAGTCATGTGACCAATGCCATGCCTTTTACTGCCCAGAATAATTCTTCACAACATGATTCAGATGGGTTGATCAAAGAGCTCTGGTTAACTTTAAAAAAAAGTCTCAAAAATGACTTGACAATATGAACACTAGACTAGCAGGCAAGAGCAAAGAATCATGTGGGTCACTTTAAAGAAGATGAGCCTAGTCAACATTATTTAACTGCTGATCACATGACATGGAAACTGAAGCACTTACCTGACCACTTCTCCAACAGTAAACTCCTGATATGGGCTCAAGGGTTTCACAAATTCTGGAGGTTTCTGTGCAATGGTCACATTCAGCTGTTGAGCCAGTCGCCGGGTCTCTTCTTCGACTGTTGTAAAGTCAATATTGATTTATTAATTCTGGCTTCACTTAATATTTTGTAATGTTACCTCTTAATAAATATAGAGGGAGAGTGGGCAATATCGATGGGCTGCTATGTCTAAAGCCTCATGTCTGCTTGTGTTCATTAAGTCCAGACTACAACGCTTTAGTATATCCTTGATAACCAGAGATACAATCAGCACAGGTGATCAGCAACACTGAAAATAACTGTCCTATAAACTTGACCAGTACAAAAACATTTTTTTTTTTAAAAGAGTACACCTCTGGTAGTAAAAATGGGGCAGGCCCCATCCCATGTCAGTGAATCAGTCGAGCAAATACATAAGGGGACAGGAATTTAATGACGGAAACTCATACAATTGTGTTTCCCCCAAAGTCATCATTAGGAAAACAAGTGGTGTGATGGTATAGCAGAATTTATAGATGACAAGGCCAGGATAGATGATGCAGTAAGTGTACACCAAGGCTTCTGTTCAAAAAGGCAAAACGAATCTGCATGTGCTTTCTCATTTTAAATTTACAACTTCAATGTTCATAAATATTGCGTAGTCGATTGTAGTAATTTATACTGGTCTCATTTGTAACAATACATAAAATATGAACAGGTGGAAGAGGGAGCGAGTCCCTCAGTAACTGACAACCTATACTAACAGTGACAATATCTATCTGTGAGTTCATGTGACTGAAATAAATAGAATAAAGAAGACCTTAACACTGGACATCTGTGAGCAATAAAAAAAAGAATATAGAACAATTTACAAGACAATCTCATGAAAGTCTTGCCACAAAAATTTGCAGTGATGGACCTTCACATGGACCAGGCTTAACTCTTTGAGTCCCAGGGGGTTTAGCATCACAGGCCCAGGGGGTAGTAAAGAAAGTAATGAAATCGGCGCATCATGCGTTCATTGGGCTTCTAGGTAGGAACCTATGAACGCATGATGCGTTCCTTGGGACTCAAAGAGTTAAGTGGGTGGATCAGATCACAATATCAAGGATTTTGTTTTTTCCCCAGGGGATCTGTTCAAGCTGTTTACAAGACTGAGATATCTCTAGAACTGTATATGACTGGTGACACTTGATACATGAGCTAGGACTAGCCAGCAGAAATTAGGAATGTGAAGATTTCTTTGACATCAAGGTGACACTGATCTTGCTCTTTTAAATTATATAATACTGCTCCTAGAAATTAAATTGTGTGCATTTAAGGTCGTATCAAAAAGGTCAGTGGTGAACTTTCATAATTTCCTGTATTTTTTAATTGTTTACTTTGCTGGTACTTTTTCTCTTTTTCATAACCCTTATGTCATCAATTATATCTCAATATTTTAACTATATCCATACAAATGGTCCTCTGTCTCCTTGTGGCTTTCTGTTATTTATGACTTCTTCTTATAAACCATGTCAGGTGGCATTGGTCATCTTGTGGTCCACAGCCTGTGTATTGTGTGCTGTCCACCGATACACATATTCTTCTACACCATGATGCAAAACTGTCTTGTCCAACATCTTCTCTCTTGGTCTTCCTCTGGCTCTCTCCCACTGTTCCAGACAGTTTTCCCATCTCAAGATGTGCAAAAAGATTCTGAATCGTCTTTTTCAGATGCTGTTCTCTTTGTGAATTAACCGATTTCAAGATGTTTTTGTAGTTTGTTGTTTTTTTTAATTTGTCCATCAACATTATCAAATGCCTTGCCCACTAGCGTGGATGATAATGCCTCTCCACAATTTTTGATTCGCAGTGGCGAGTATCAGTTTGTATGTTGACACAGCTCCATGCCATGACAAAAGGCTGTCTAGAATCTTCTTGCACTGTCTTCCTCTGTCTCTCCTTCCACAGATCTTTCCAGTGGTCACATCATGTTCCATTTTCCCTCTTCTCATAACATGACCAAAACATGATGACTGTCTCTTTCTGATATTTGTGATAAGTTGTCTCCAAGCACTCACTTCTTTCAAAACATCTTGGTTGGCTTTTCTTAGCTGTCCAGGAATTGTAAGGATTCTTCTGTAAAACCACAACTGTTTGGTTTGTCCAGGCTTCACAGCTGTATGTTAAAATTGGCTCAATATAGCATGAGATAATCTTTTTCCTAACCTCCAAAGACACTATTTATTGCATAAAATGTTCTTCATTTGATAAAATGCAGTTCTGGCTTGTCCTATTTTGTTCTTTGTCTCTGTGATACATCTGCCATCGGATGTTATCCATGTGCCTTGATACTTTAATTTCTGTACTTGTCCCAAAATAACCTCTTTGACGTTTATTATACATTTAGGCATTATTCTTTTCTTGGAAATCACCATTACTTCTGTCTTCCCATTATTCTGTCCATACTTATATAAAATAACTAACAATGTATATATACAACAGGTGACTGCAAAAGAACTAGTAGTAAATGGAAATGGATGATTAGATATGATTTGTACTACTGTATGTGACAGTGGATATATATTAATATATTTGTTAAATAATTTAGGAACATGTTCCTTATCTATGGCAGCAAGCTGTGTGTGAACTAAAACAACTATGCGATATGTATTCAAGATTAATTCATGAGATGGTTGTTTAGAAACGCTTGAATAATTATAAAACTTCTACCCACTCATACTGTCATGCTATTCCAATCTCTCACTCTGTCTCACACTCTCTCTCTCTCCCTTTTTCTCTCTGTCTCTCTCTCTTTCTCTCTTGCCTGCGAGCACATGTGAAACATTGAAAGATGTTTGCCAGCTGACAATTTGTGTTTTTTTGTATCACTGTCCTACTTTCAGACTTCATGCCAAACAAGTAACAACACAGGGCTAGAAGTTATTACATCATCATACCATGCAAATAAGAAGCTTTAATATTGTGTAATTACTTAACTTTACGAACAGTTATCTGATCACTATTTGCAATTTATGCTTCAAAAGCATACCTAAATTATATATATCCTAACTTTAACTTAGCAGGGCAAACAGGGATATCTGATTCAATTTCTACTACTACCATTTATCCTAATTTGATAATTCTTTAATAACAGTTTATTTAATTTAATTTTCCTGTTTGTGCTCAATCCTAGCAAATATGCATCTACTTTTGTTATCTGATTTGTTAGCTATATTTATCTTAATCTGGTTGAATCCTAGCACAATTGTATCAATATTTGTACCTGATGTTGCTAATGCTTGAATCAATAATTTTAGTTGAAAATGTTAATTACAGTGCACATGAATTATATTTGTAATTTAACAGGTTAATATTACCACAAAGGTACCAATATATGTATTTAATCTGCTAATCCTAGCATATATCTATGCAATCTGCTAATCCTAGCATGTATCTATGCAGTTGTGTGCTATCTTGTTTTCCCGTGATTTGCATTGTTTCTCTAACTGTAAATTCTTCAGAATTAAAAAGAACAATCCTGAATATTAACCAATCAAGTGCCACCTTTAGGGTTTAGATCAGCAGTAATTATCCAACAATCAAGGGCATGTATCTTTATAGTGGACTAATATTAGCTTCTTCCAGTCAATCCATTGAGTCTGTCCACTGACATGTAACAATTTCTTCATCTTGCACATTTTCCATCCCTTTTTCTTCTAATCCATGTTTTAACAAGGAGCTGTGATATTTATGAGCCAAAATGTCTTAACTGTCCAAACATGGTTTCATTCACTATTTTTCTTAAATTCCACAGTTAGTAATACTTGCTTTTTATTTATTCAATTTGTGTATCTTCCTAAAATTTTGTCTATTCATCTATTTAATCACAGAATGAGAACACTTTTGCCTACATCCCCACCCTCCACTGTTCATAGTGACTGCACTAGTTATGCAGCCCTAAATTCTAAGGCCCTACAGTTACTGTACTTTTCATTAATACTGCTTGAGAAATGTATGGGCAAGTGAACTTGAATCATTGACTTCAACAAACCATCCTGGCTGACTTCAGCAAAGGTACAACATAACAGGTAAAGATATGATGTTTTGTTTTTAGTTAGCAGACCCTGGTGAGCAGTGGTTAGTTCTGACAGTGATAATTCATGCAACAAATATGGGTCCTAGGCTGATAAACACAACAAATAGTATCCCATGATGAGCACTGTTCGACTGGATTCTTGTGACTAGAAATATATCAAGGGCAAAGTGAGATGCAGTGACTAATTCCCTCCCACACAGCCTTGCCATCCCAAAGGATACATCTTCTATTCTTTACACCAAGCCTGGTCAATTTCTGGGCTATATTTAGCTACCCACCTATGTATCTATCTGTCCATCCATCCATGCATCTATCTAAACAGGTAACCGAACACCTGTCTGTTTATTTATCAATCTGCCTATCTATGTGTGTTTTCATTGATTCATTCATTTTCCCTACCCATCAATTTGCCTGCCTGTCCATCAATGATCTAATATCTGTTCATCAGCCCATCCATTCATCTAAGTGCTCATACATTTGCATATCCACCTATCTGTCCACCTATCTAATTTCATATCCATCCATCTATCTATCCTCAAATGGATAATGAACTCTGAGGCAAATTTATTACTGAATCACTGAACCTCCTCTGTCAAAGAAAAAGGCATCCCAATTTGGAAACCCCTGATCGAAAGCCCTCACTAAACATGAAAGTGATCAAGAAACAAGTCATTAAAAATGAAACACTGTACATAAATAAATAAGCATTACTCACTATCTTGAATATAGTAGCACATACAGGCAGCAGATGTCAACGTGCAGGTGAGGGATCAACATGCAGGGAAGCTAAGGAGTGGCAGATATACTGGTGGGAGAGCATGCTCTCTTGTCTGGATGACAATCAGCTGGAGTGAAGATCTGTTGCCATCTCAGTGCTTCAGGAGGTACTGTCTAGGTCAGAATCGTCTTAGCTGGTGGAGGCTGTTGCTACTTCGGCTCAAAGCAGGATCTGCTCAGGGGACGGTCTCAGCTGGGAAAGCTCTCTTGATATTGCAGTGTAACAGCAGGTACTGTACAGGCTAGAATCATTTCAGCTAGCGAAAGCTCTGTTGGCAGTACAATTGCAGTGCAACAGAGCTGTCTAAGGAACACTCCATCTTATGTTACCATTTCAGTTCCACAGCTGGTACTGTCCAGATGTCTGTGTATCACCTGCAGCTGCTTTCATTTAACACTACATGCATCAAGCAATGGCATACAGCTTTCTATTTGACAGCTGTCATATAAACATCAGGTGTGTGTATTAGTATAGGATGCATGATCATTAACGAATATGCATATTAGATGTTAATAAACAAGTCTGGAATAAACAACACAACACCTGTATACAGTTATTCTAGAAAGAACAGACATAAACTCACACAGTTGTACCACAAGTTTAAAAACATGTTTTTGGTCATGCAGCCATTTTTAGGGGGTGATTTAAAAAAAAACTGTGATATTATGTCAGTCTAAATGCAATGCAAGATAAAAAATCAATGCGAAGATGTCAGTTATGTTTCAATGCTAATGAGAATGTGCAGTCAAAGTCGGTTGTAAAAAAAAAAATCTTTTAAGAAATCATGTCCATTTAATTCAGTAATGATCTCTGCATGCAATCACTCGCTACACATAAAGCACATATATGATTAGGAATTTCTTTCTTTCTTTCTTTCTTTCTTTCTTTCTTTCTTTCTTTCTTTCTTTCTTTCTTTCTTTCTTTCTTTCTTTCTTTCTTTCTTTCTTTCTTTCTTTCTTTCTTTCTTTCTTTCTTTCTTTCTTTCTTTCTTTCTTTCTTTCTTTCTTTCTTTCTTTCTTTCTTTCTTTCTTTCTTTCTTTCTTTCTTTCTTTCTTTCTTTCCTTCTTTTCCTGTCATAATGACACCCTTACCAGAATAAGATCACGCATCAATGAAAGCAACCAATAAGATTGATGTTACATAGCTACTAAAAAAATGAGTTTCTTAATAGCTAGGTTAATAAGTGTCAAAATAAAATGAGTGTGGTGATGAATGTGAAATAAATTATTATAATAATGAAGCCTGAAAATAAACTGTAAAAATGAAACATGGAATAACAACCTGTAATAATGAAATCTAAAATCACAAATTTTAATAATAAAATGGGAAATTACAAACTAAAATGTTTAAGAAAATTATAATAACAGAACCTAAAATAGCAAACTAATAATAAAAGACAAAAATATAAACTGCAATAATAACACCTATAATATTAAAGTTTTTTAGTGGAACTAGATTACTTTATCTCCATCTTATTCATATTCCTACAAGAATATACAGAACAGATTAATTAGCTCCATCAATAAAGGGTGATAATTAATTTCAGTAACTCAACATTATCTCTTTACAGTATCCCTTCTGAACTCAAAGATACAGCAAATTCTGAAGTACGGGAAAATACTAATATCCTTCAAGGGTAAACAAATCCCAAGCTAACAATGTAAAAAGATCAACTGGAGAATGTATACATAAATAAATGAAGCAGTGACAGAGGACATGTTGCAGCAGACATACAATGCTAACAGAAGACTTACCTTGCACATACAGCTCGGCTGAGCACTCGGCTGTGCCTGCGATGTTCTTGGCTCGGCAAGTGATCATACCGGTGTCTTCTGGGTGAGCTTTGTAGATGGTCAGATTGGTCAGACGGTCAATAGTCTCAATCTACAAATGTGAATACAAATGTTAGTTTAAACAATACATATTTTGGAATGTGCTTCAAAACAAAATGATCACCTTTTTATAAAGTTCAGCAAGGTTTCTTTAGATGTACTTATTAAAAACAATTATGGCCTTATACAAGGTGGACAGATTATATGGAATATGTTCCTGTTGGCCTAACATTCTAAATCATGTCACTATGGTTACAGGCACACAATGGCAGACCCGGAAATACCAAAACCGAACATATACCATAGCATCTTGTTCAGGGATCAAAGGAATACAGCATGCAGGTTTTGCAGGTAAATTTGAAAGTAAAATATAATTTCAAAACTACACAGTAAACACCTTAAATTATGGTTACAAGTACCTCATATACTGAGGATGAAGTCCGAACATCACAATACAACTGGTTATGCCCCATGTATTTAACAATGCGCACACCCTATCAGTCTGTACGTGTTTATAAACAAGTAATGCTTTCTTCTTTAATAACAATACATAAAAGTGAACAGTAAGAAGCAACTGACAAGTTTTAACAAATGTTATGGTATTTTTGTGTGGAATCAGCCTCACTATTGTCAGAAGGTGTAAAAGTATGTAACGGTTATACATTATTGCTACTTGTATTTACTACATGTTTATATGGGGGGAAAAAAGAGGAGGGGAGGTGGCCTAAGGAGGTCGGGTCACATGTCTAATGCAGTTGCCACGAATGTACAAGTCTAGATTTTTATGTTTGCATGTAATGGTAAAGGTTTCCATTTATTGTATTAGGGTCTTTTTTTTACCTGGCAAATCAAGAAAACTATGCCATTACTTATTCACAGACAACGATCAATGATGTAACAGCACCTTGTACTCTCTGGAGTCATGGAGCGTCTGAATGCCATTCCTGATCCAAGTAATCTCTGGGGTGGGCACACCTGAGAAGACAGCTTCAAACTTAGCAGGTGTGCCTTCTGTCACCATTGTGTTGCTGATTGGTCGAATGAAGCTGGGTGGTTGAGCAAAGGCTTCAAGTTGGCTAGGTTCAGGCTCACTCTCAACGCCTGCCGAAGATTAAAAATATGTCAAACAGTTTTAAAAAAACAGTTCACTGCAAAGAAAATGTTCACAGCCTTATAAAATAACAAAGTAAAGAGTGTAGTCAATAATGGAGAATGTCACAAACTGAATGCACTGGCTCCAAATTTGACAAAAATGAGGGCTGTTCTTTTTTTTTTTTTTTAAAGAAGAGGGGGGTGGGGGGTGATGTCACATCACTTTAAAAAAAAAAATTGTCTTTAATTTCTCCATCCTCACAGTGCTGACATTTTAACTCTTGAGACCCAACAAGTTTATTACTTAATTATCATTTCTTAGAACAGAATAAGTTAAAATTGCACTTGCTTGGTTTTTTTAAAATATTAACACTCTCCTCTGTCCAATATCACCATAACACCTTTACAGTGTGGCTAAGAAGAGTTTTATACACTGAAGTGCCTAAGATATCAACTAATGTTTTAAAAGGCAACCTATGGAATGCAATTAATAAGTTCAGCGGAAAAGAAAAGAAACAAACCATGAACTTTAAGGTAGGTCACAACTGAGACTTCTCCAGCTTTGTTTCTGGCCACACATTTGTAGGTGCCAGTGTCTTCTGGGAAGGCCTCCATGATGGTTAAAGTGTGAACACCTTCTGTGGTGGAGTCCATGCGGAAGTACTTGGATGGTTTCACCAGCTGGTTGTTGCGATACCAGGTCACTACTGGATCTGGAGATGGGGAAATCAAAGTCTCCATATAAAAAAAAAATGATCAAAGATGTAGGTCTCTGATAAAAAAAACAATGACATAACAATTTAAAAAAATCTCTTAAAATATGTCTTGGCTGTAAAGGTAAGTGGCAAAATTATTGCCAGAGTAAAAGTTAGCGTTAAATGTTTTGTAAGAAGAAAAACGTATAAGATTTAAAAGAAAAATAATCATTTAAAAAAGGACATGAGAATTTTCCTTATACAAGCCAAACATACGTGGTTTTCCTTTGATGGTGCAGGTAAAGTGTACCGGTTCCCCTTCTTCAACATCAACCATCTGAGGCTCCTCCACTACATAAGGTGGCTCTATGGCTGCCTCTTGAGGTCGGTCTGGTGTTGATGGCTGAATAGGTTTCTCAGGTTCTAGAGTAGAGGAAAGCATAATATCATTCCATATTTCAGAGCTGAACAAACAACATTCTCTTGTTAATGACAATAAAGGTGTATATTCATGATTAGCATTCGACATAGTCGGATACTTCCACTGAAGACCATTTATGAATGAATGAATGCTGATAAAAGACATGAGATTAGATGAAATCAACTGTAAGAATGTGTGAATGAGAAATTAGGTTTGGAGCCACCAAGGAAGGTAAATTGGAAACATTCTTTCCAACAACTGTTATATGCCTCTGCCTCTGGTCTCTTTGTTACTTTTCTTAAATGTGAAGTTGTGCCACTTATAATAATGTTTAAACTTCTACTAAGAAATATAATAAGAAAACAAGAAGGAAAAATGATATGAAAATACGTGAGAGACAGTAATAATGTATGAATGGAAAGAAACAGAACATAATCTAAACACTGAAAGACTTTGGATTTACAAATTACTTCAAATTTGGTGTGACTTGATGAAAAGTGTGGAAGATACTAAAACTTATATAAGGAGTTGCAGAATTGAAAAAAGAGAAAAAAAATTTTAAGCAAGTACAGTAATTAAAATAAGACATAAATTGGACAATTATGAAAAGATAAAGCAAAACATAAAATAGATGTGATATGTCTCAGATTTGTTTCTCTCTACACCAATATATTAATGAGAGAATTTGTTGTTCATTTAAAGATCACTTTCATCGCACATCAGACATGGCCATAAGTGCTCCATCTCCTCCTGAGAATGTATTTTTAGACTAACAACTTCCATTCTGTTCTGGCTGATGTAATGAAGGGGATCTCAAACATGGTTTTCCTGTCTTGCTGCCCCAACTGATACAACCAGGGTATGCAGTCTATTCAGTGAAGAATTATTTTCTATGAAACTGAAAAGCCTCACAATGTTTACTGTCTCTTATGGCACTGGTGATGTCTCTTCTGTCCACAGATAATCAATTCTTTGTGTGCCAGCCAGGGCGTCTACTCTCTCAACACCTCTCACACCAGCATGACAAAAATGAAGATGCATGCTGTATCAGATGGATCAATCAACTTTCCCAGATATTTCCCATCTTGATCTTTTGTAGCATGCTCATCGAGTTGGTGAGCAAGCATGCAGTCATGAATTCCTAAGTTTTCAGCCGTTCTAGGGCCTTTTTCATAGCTACAACCTTCATAGCATGCTACTGGTGGTAGAAGCAAATGCTCCACTGTTGTCTCTGATGACGTTTCCTTTGGTCCTTGCCATAAAATCCCATGCACTTTGCTTTTAAATAATCTGCATATATATATATATATATATATATATATATATATATATATATATATATATATATATATATATATATATATATATATATATATATATATATATATATATATAATATAGAGAGAGAGAGAGAGAGAGAGAGAGAGAGAGAGAGAGAGAGAGAGAGAGAGAGAGAGAGAGAGAGAGAGAGAGAGAGAGAGAGAGAGAGAGAGAGAGAGAGAGAGAGAGATACTCACTCTCCACTGTAAGTCTAGCTGTACATGTGGCCTTGCCCACAGTGTTAACAGCAACACAGGCATACACTCCAGCATCCAATGGTTGTGCTTCGTAGATCACTAGTGTGTAGTTATTGCCTTCTGTGATGAACTTCCATCTTGGGGAGTCTGGCAGAGGGTGTCCCTCCTGAGTGGATAGATTATGTGTGATTATTATCTGAATATACTGGATAGCTTTGAGCTAAATGCAGAGAACTGAATATTTCTAGTTTATCCCATAACATGAATTCTTGATATTGCATTCATCTGCATATTTGTACATGTGTTTCTAATCAAACTATATATGTGTATGTGTGTGTTATGTTTTAAGTCTACCTGCAAACATAGGTGTAAATGTATGTGCTGTTAATAACAGTGAGACGTAAAATATTAATAATTACTGTTAATAACAGTGAGACGTAAAATATTAATAATTATAACACATCTGCTAGTAGGTTGTGTATCCTTTACAGGACATTGCAGAACCAACCCAAACAGCCCCTGGCTGTTGTGTGGTTTTTCTAGGCAAATTTACATCCAGTAGTTTGCCATTGATTTCTGGACGGTCGGCTTTCTTGATACCACTGTCGAAACCAACACAAGGTGCATGGCCTGCAGCTGGGATCGAACTCGGCATCCCGGTATTACGAAGCGTTCACATCGACTAAGCCACAGAGCCGACATCTGCTAGTATGAAGTGGCAATTTTTATGAAGGGTGGGTTGCAGAAGTATGATGCTGTCTTCAAGAAAGTCTTTAAACAAAATAAATATGACAGATAAAGCAGATACAACAATATAATATGTGATCAAACTGTAACATGACGAACGTTACCTTTGTCCAGTAAACCTGAGGTGGAGGTGTGCCTGTAATTTGGCAGTCAAATGTGACAGGTTCTCCCTGTATAGCTTTGGTGTCTCTGGTCAGACTAATGAACTCTGGGGGGACTTCCCTCTCTTTTATTTCACTTTCTGTAACATCACAAGAGAAATACAATTCAGTTTTCTCTGCAGTAAGGTTATGGATAAAGTGAAAGTAATCTTGCTGGCATCTTGTTAAGAACTGTAAATAAAACTGACATTTGTACAACAGTTCTGTGTTCAAGGAATGGCACAAGAATTAATAATTAAAATGAAACTGCATTCAATTACTCAGAACACACATCCCAGTTACACCAGCATCCTAACACCTTGTCTATCTGTTCCTAAACATTCTGTACAACAATTCTACAACAGAGTTGATGGAGATCTGAGAGCTATACCTTTGTTTGTGACTGGTGTGTTCTATCTTTAGTAATGGTCTATGAGAAAGGCCTGTATGGATTTAAAATATGGGTTGAAACTGATAGTTACTATTTAATTTTTCTGTAGATAATTTATGTCTGTGAGGACAGCTTAAATGGCACTAAACTAATTGTAAAGCAAATCAGCATTATACATAGTCAAAGGGTTCAGAGAAGACCCAGACATAGCATCAGGATAACATATTTACTCTGTATAATCAGAAATGATAGTGCTGTACACGATTCCATTCACTGTGATGACTGTGCAAAAATATTCCGTCCAAAAGGTTTGTCCTGCTCTGTAAAGAGTCGTTCAACCCCATCATGATTCAGTAAATATTAATGATTCTTCCCATCTTGCTGTGATCCTCTATTGTTGTCTTCTACAAGTATTATTTACCTCCAGACAGCAAAGCAGTAATGTAATACCAAGATAAACTTATACACACATAGATAGGAGTGTAACAATATCTCAATGATCATCTAAAACATAATAGCACTTTGGTCAATTTCAGGTTAATTTTCTTACAGCATCTTGTTTCGGGCTGTCCAAATTGCCACTGTATTACAGAATCCTTTACATTCAGGACAGATATTTGTTCTTCCTACCAAAGTGACTATCAAAGTGACCTGCTCACAGCAGCAATATAGTCTTTGGTCTTATATATGAGACACAATGGCTGAAAACAGGAGCTGATTTCTTTGTAGTGGAGCTTCAACTTGTCAATTAGTAACTGGTCTCCTAATATGTCACTCATCTACATCATAGAATACATCCACCATGAATGTCACCTCTAACTTGTCAACTAATAACTTATCTGTTAAATGTATCTCACCTATCTACATCATGGTATATGCCCACCATGAGCATTAGCCAGCATGTGAAAAGTCTATCAGTTACATATGTTCATGCAGTATTTAACAACAAATAGAAAAGCTCCAAACTAAAAGGCAGACACTTACCATCCACAGTGAGTTTAGCTTTGCACTGAACCAGGCCAAACTTGTTGTATGCCTTGACAGTAAAGAGACCAGCATCTTCTGCAAACACTTCTGGAATGTGCAGGCTGCTGGAATACTCTGTGGTGGAGATCTGGAAGTCCCTGGATGGTTGGATTTCAAAGCTGTCCCTGTACCAGGTGATGACAGGGGGTGGTATACCAGTGAAGTGAACCTCCAATCTAGTGATCAAATGAAACCAGATTTCTCAATGAAATGCTACATTTTTTAGTGATGTTTCAAAAGTGACAGTGTGTTACCAGTATTTACATTATACTAACATTAAGCAAAAGTGAATAATCTTTTTTATGCCAGTGATGCATCAGACATATTATGCTGAGACCTGTATTGTTTATTGTTTATATAAAGATAATCTTCAGCACATATCAGGCATGACTATAAGTGCAACGATCTTCTGAGTATGTCACTAAGTTAATGGTTAATGACCAGCTTGCACTCAGTGGGTGAGGCTATCAACATCACACTAGTCACTTCCTTTTTTTTTTTCAAGAACATTACCAGGTACCCATTTTAGGCTGCATCATTTTGGGAGCCAAGGTCAATTTTATAACAAAGCATTTAGCCACTTTTCTGATGCAGCTCCCTTTTGCATAAAAACACCTCTTGAGTAGCTATCAGCTGCCTGGAAAAATCAAATGGAAGCCAAATATGATATGCAACTATAAGGAACAAACAGTGATCTTTGATCCTTGTGACGAGCTGGTCTGGACAGCTGTTTCTTTCCTTTAAAGTATTGATTTGTTTTAGCATTATTATCAATTTTCATACCTTTTACTTTTGCTTCATTCCAGCAATATTATTAATACTTAAATAATTAAGAAGTTTAAAGACGAATGTACAGTAGGAGAATTAACTCAAGGTAAATCAAAACAAATTATGTTGGATGGGGATGAGGAACATTTTCCATGGAACTGATCATGGGATCTGTGGTGAGATGCAAGTCCCTATGCTTTGTGGTAAGACATATGATGCTGAAGAAAGAAACATACAGTTTATGTTAGAAATCTCCACCTACGTGACTGAATTTCCTTCAGGTACTCTGACAGGACGCAGGGGCTTGGTGAAAACTGGTGGCTCCCCTCTCTGGAGAGTTATCTGCTCTTCCATCAACTGCCTATCCACTCCTGGAGGTGCCTGTGACACCGGCACCAGCCTGGCCCTCTCTACGTGGAGCGGCTCTGAGATAATAGCCCCATCTTTGTGGCGAAGCTGGGAGTGCACACTGATGTACTGCTGCTCAGCCATCACAACCTCTGTGTCCTTCTGTACTCTGTACCTGTATTCTACAGCTGTAGGAGAAAGACAGCTCGGTCAGAATGCATTTCATTAATTCCCATCAAGTTTAAAAAAAAAAATTCTGATGAATGTTTTCCATTTGAAAAGGAGTTATTATTATTCAATTTGAGTTAGACTATTTTTTTTCAAATAACGCACACACACATGCACACACACATACACACACACAGTGCACATACGCATATACATCATCATCAAGTGCCTTGCCAGCTGGCACAGGCGTTCATGCGTCGCCACAGATATTGGTCTTTGGTGTTCTGGATCAATTCCACTGATGATATTCCTCCATGTCCTTGTCTTAAGCTGTCCGCCATAATTTCTCTTGGTCTACCTCTGCCTCTTCTACCAGTGATCTTTCCAGTCATCACAGTATTTTCCAGTGCTCCCTTTCTCAACACATGACCAAAGAATTTTGTTTGTCTCCTTCCCGTTGTTGAATATAATGTTCTACTTTTATTAGCCATTTCCAAGCATCTAATGTTGGTTATTATGGCAGTCCAAGGTATTCTCAACATTCTTCTCAAGAACCACATACAATCGCATATGTATTATTTAAAAGTGTGTCTATATAAAGAAACATTTTTTTAAATAAAAAAGTAAAAGAAAGGAACCATTGTTTATGCTAGTGGAGGATCTAGCTAGTATATACTATATATTTATAGACCAGTCAGCTCTGGACGGGTGATGTGGTCAGCATTACTCTGGCCGCCTTTACTACTGTATGAAAACTGAACTGATAGTTAATGACAACTAACAAACTTTGTTGTGTTTTACACTGTGTGAAAAAAAAACACACATTCTCAGTAAGCAGGTATCCAGAAGACCAACCTTTCTCTAGCTGTCGAAGCTCAAACTCTGTGGCTTTAGGTTTCTTCAGTGCCTGATCCAACTCTGCAGTGCGTAGTTCAGTCCTCCTGTGTCGCTCTATGTCAATCTCAATTTCTTCTGCAAATAAATAAATATGTATTATTAGTAATATGACAGAATTATATTACAATGCTAAATATACTAAACCAGCTCAATTAGATGGTTGACCAGTTCTCTTCCCTGCCTCCTTTTTTTCCCCACTGACAATTTCTAAAACAAATATCCAATACTCATATAATAAAGCAAAACCGCTTCTTCTTTTTCTTCTTCAGCATTCTAGCCCTTGAGGTTTACTGCTGCAGATATCACCTGCCTCTATCTTTCCAACTGGTGACATTAAGTGTTTGTAGGTTTGCTTGGATATTATCTCTCCATCATCTTCTTGGTCTGCCTTGTGGTTTACAGCCAACTCCCTTTTGCGTACAGTTTTTTTTTTTCTGGGGCATGTCTGTCACCTCTAAATATGCTCCAGCCATTTCAGTCTATAAGCTTTACGATACCAGTGATCAATGGTGATTTAGACAGATTATGAACCTCACTGTTGCTTCCACTTTTTCACTGCCAACAGTTTGCCTCTTTGAACTATCCCAAAGTGAAGAATATAAACCTTTTGCTGCCACAATCTATAGGTCTACAAATTTATGTGCATAAGTTTAACAATTTATGATTCATGGACATATGAAAGGCAGAAGAAAAGAAGAAATCAGCCTTATTCTTCTCACCTTTGGGAGCTTGCTTCAGATGGGCTCTCAGGTCTTCTTTGGGCAGTACAATAAGGGATGTGCTGACTTCTTGCTCTCCTTCTGAGTTCTTAGCTACAACTCTAATCTGGCCGGCATCATATTCTCTGCAGCGAGGTATCTCCAAGTAATGCATCATGCCATCATAGGTCACCTTGAAGCGAGTGCTCTGGAAATGTGATACATTTATATTCTCATGATGACATACAAACTACAAGTCAAAAGTAGAATGAATAAACAAACAATAATTTTTGCTCCTTGACTTACTCTTTTACTGCTGAAGGTGTTGAAAAAGATGAAAAGTTCTGGTTCTTGCTCTGCCTGTCAGCTTCACCACAGACACTTCATAACTTCTTCTTCTTCTTCTTCTTCTTTTGTTCACTTGAAATAAATTATCTATATCTGCAATGTTGACTCTAGTATAAACTTCACTGTCTTTTGTAATTCACTCAGCAAGCTGTAAAGTTTGACTTGTACTGATGTTTCTCTTGGCCAAAAGCTTTGCCTTAATATGTTGCATTTGGGACAGTCTTGGAGGACATGATCTGTTGTCTCAGGTGCCAATCCACGTGTGCACATACTGATTCACCAATTTTAATTTTTGTGTACATGTGGCTGCGAAGTTGATTGTGCCCTGTTCTAAGGCATAAAAACTTCATAACTTGTAGAGTTTCTCTGATCTGTTCACTTTTTTCTTTGTATATCTCAGGCCAGGGCAACCTAAAATATTCCTGAAGGTTGAGGCGATTAGCCATGTAGATGTGTAAAGCAAAGAGAGTCTACCCCATTACAGATCTCCAGAAACTCTAAATAGAAGCCAAAAAGCAGCCTGCCCTGAAAGCTGAATTATTCTGGTCATGTCAAACATCATGGTGGCCTGAAGAAACAGTGATGGAGGGTACAGTTTCTGGAAAAATGAGTCAGAGGCAGACTTCTGTGAAGAAAGATACAAGACACTGAAGATGCGTTGGCTATGGAAGCAGACAGGGTGGGAGAACTGGCTAGAGAAAGCCAGACTTTCAGGTTTGTTGTGACAAGAGCGATGTTCTGTGAAGGATCTGCTGATTGATGATGACACCTGAGACTGCAAGGAATCTCCACTGTATCTCGCTCTGACTGTGCACTCTCAGACTATTGTCTGCCCATCTCTTGACATTAATGCTGTCTACCTCCTTGCTTTACCTCTTGTAGAAAACTGGGAACCCAAACAAAGAATAAAGCACAAATCGGTTTTACACTGTGTTAATGAAATTCAGGACAGATACCACCTCCCAGAAAGACGTCAAGGAATTCAGAATGTTGCAAAAAACCTACCACCACATGCTCGCTTTAAAGCTCCAGAAGTCCAAACTAAATTGGTAGGCGAGGAAACCAAACAGTCCGACCCAATCGCTCTTATGAACTCATCACTAAAGACCGTTGATTCTTACCCCCAAGAATGGATACATGTCTATACTGATGGATCAGCATTTAAAGCTACCATTAAAGCAGGTTACGGAATCTACATAGGTTATCCCGATGGATCTGTTGAAGAGATTTTTGATGCATGCGGGGAATTCTGTTCAAACTATGAAGCTGAAATAATTGCACTGGAAACAGCAGTATACCACCTAAAGACTGTAATGGATGTTTACCCCTCAAAGGTCCAAAATATTGTCATCTTCACAGATTCAATGTCTGCCCTTCAAGCTCTGGAGGGCAATGAACGCTGCAGAACTGACATAGCCAAGATAATCCTGGATGCCGATCAGCTTATTACCTCATACAACATCAGAATAGTGATGCAGTGGATCCCAGGTCACTCCGGCACACCAGGTAATGACAGAGCTGACAGATTGGCAAAGAAAGGAGCAACACAAGAACAACCACCTACAGCGACAACCCTCCAGACAGCAAAAACACTGATAAGAGCTATAAACAAAGAGACTTGGTTGAACAGATGGGCCATGGGAGACACTGGAAGAGAGGTTTATAGACATATGTCTGGCCCTGATCCTAATGACAGCATTAACCATCTAACAAGAAGGGACCAGGCCACCATCTTCAGACTTAGAACGCAACATACTCCACTCAATGGACACCTAAACAGAATACAGCCACAACACTCTCCAGAGTGCCAGCTATGTAACTACCCCTACGAAACTGTTGAACACCATCTCTTTGAGTGCCCAAAACTCAGTGAGACAAGAAGAACGCTACTCCCTCCGAGACCAGACAAGTGGAACACCTTGTACGGAGGAAAAGAACAGCTTGTGAAAACATGCAAATTCCACTACATGGCATTGGGCCAAAGGGCGAAAGCTCATGCGCCGCTGGATCGATAACAACAACAACAACAACCTCTTGCATGGTGTTACGTATGCTCCTAGCTACCCCCTGGACTACTGCATAGATCATGGTGCTACAACTCTGCTGCAAACTTACCCCAACAATGAGACTGCCATTGATCCACCAGCTGACTCTGGGCCGTGGGTAGCCACTGACTTTTACCAGGAACTTGGCAGGTTCTCCCTCTTCGGTTTCCACTGGCTCAGGCTTGAGATCTATGCTTGGTGGTGACTTGATCTTGGGTTCCTCAATTACTCTCTCCTCCACATTCATGTGACTGGGATAAAGAACATTAGTACTTTATACATAAGGTCCATTACCAGCTATCACTAACAATATACTAAAAAAATGTTTTCCTATTGTGAATATAACTTTCTGAGTCCCAAGGAACACATCATATGTTTATAGGTTCCTACATAGTAGCCCAATGAACGCATGATGCGCTGATTGTATGTCTCTATTTACTATCACTTTTGCCTGTGATGCTAAGCCCATTGGGACTCAAAGAGTTAAAGCATGTGGATCTAAACAAGATAAATGTGCAGTTCTTTAGTCTACCATAAATCACTCAGTCACCAGGTGCATGCTGTAGAATTTACATGAACACATTCCGAATCACAAATAAGATTTGTGACTCAAAAAGACTGCTGTCAAGATAAATAGTTTGAAAATGAGAGTTGTCAAATCTTAGGTATACTTAACTCTGCTGCCTGATGCAGAGACCTGGAGAATGAACAGGCAAGGAGAAAACCATACTGAATCTCTACAGATGTGGATACACAGAATAATAGGTCATATTTCAGGGAAACAAATACAATCAAATACAAAGGTTGTGGAGAAACTAGCAATAAAAAGACACTGTTGAAAGAAAAACAATGACGAGTGAAATATTTTGGTCACATTAAAGATATAAAACACTTATAAAAAAAACCATACTGGAGGGAGACACTCAAAGCGAGTCGGCAAGAGGCAGACAGTGATGCAAGTGGGAAGATAACGTCAAGAAATAAATCTACAGGAGTCTGAAAGAGGGTAATCCAGGGTGAAAGATAGTGTTGGAGATCCACTGCAACCAACCTCGACTGTGCAGACAGCACCTGGGTAACTTATTAATTCTGTGTTAAATACTGCACATGTCATTTCCTCATTCTAAAGTTCACTGAGGTCATTGCAACATGCATGTGTAACCTGTTTAGCAGCAATACAGATCCGAGAAAATGCAGAAATAAAGACATTGAAATAAAAGACAAAACAAATCTGTAGACACAGCTTTCACTGACCTTCTCCAATGTTCTTCCATCTGCAACAACTTGGCAGCACCCTCTTCAGGCAGCTGGGAGTCCAAGATGACAGAACGGAGAGCTGTCAATATAGACAATGTGTAATATGTTATTCTGCAGTGTATATGCACACTATTCCACATGATAGTCATTAGCTCAACACCGGTAATATCTTTAAAAAAAAACACAGTCATGATCCAGTTAGAGTTCCTGAAACATCCTTTTAGAAAAAACTAAACTATTTAACATTGTTCAATAAAAAAAAAATTTTCTTCAAATATATAAAGATATATTAAGGGAGTCATGAATACACACAGACTGAAGCATTAAATAGAATACGTTCAAAAGGACCTAAAAACAACTCATATTGGGTGACTGAAGTTGAGGTGAACGTAGCTTTTAAAAAAAAGGTATTAAGTTTACAGGAAACCCTCTCCGTTAACGTTTCCCTTTTTTTTCCCCTTCTTCCTGAACGCTATTTTTAGCTAATAAACTCATATCCGGACCTCCTAAATATTTACGCAGGCATGAACTCAGCCATTAGTATTAATCATCCCTCTAGACACAAAGGAAGAATGATATTTATGGAGAAGTAGATCTGATCAGAAGTGTCAGATCTATGGCTTCTCAGGGTGACAGGGTTTAAACAAAAATCAGCAAATGACCCTTTTCCATGCCTTTAGGCATAGTGGGTAAATAGTGCTAGAATTATATCTTATAGATTAACTGGCACCAGGTGGTTGATGCAGTCAACATCACACCAGCCACCTTTACTTCCCAAGACTTTATACAGGATCCATTTTAGGTTGGGTCGATATCGGAGACAAGTTGATTTTTCAAATAATATGGCCTCATGGAGATTTGACCCACCGACCAACACTTAGCCACTAAACCATAGCGGCTTCCACCCCTAAAAAACTGTGATATTATATTTATGTACCATCACAGACAGTTGTCCCCGGTTCCAGCTGTAACAAGTTGTATGTATGTCTTACAGCTTAGTTACTTTTACCTGGCAACAAAGCTGTTACGCACACATACAAGTGCCATTTTTTTTTAAATTGTAATTTAAAAAAATTACACATGGTAATAAACCCATATTTTGACAGATTAATTCTCACTTAATTCTTTGAGTCCCAAGAAATGTGTCATACGTTTATAGATTCCTACCTAAAAGCCCAATGAATGCAAGATGCGCCGATTTTACGTCTCTCTTGACTACCCCTTGGGGCCTGTGATGCTAAACCCCCTGAGACTCAAAAGAGTTAATGGGTGATGTGTTTTGAACATTCTCCAGATTGCAATTTAAAATCTGCCTTGATGTAAAATTACCAGCCGTTTACCATCTGATGAGAATAATGATGGACAAAACAGTTACCACAGGACCAGCAGATAACCATCTGATGAGAATAATGATGGATAAAGCAGTTACCACAGGACCAGCAGATAACCATCTGATGAGAATAATGGTGGATAAAGCAGTTACCACAGGTCCAGCAGATAACCATCTGATGAGAATAATGGTGGACAAAGCAGTTACCACAGGTCCAGCAGATAACCTTCTGATGAGAATAATGGTGGACAAAGCAGTTACCACAGGTCCAGCAGATAACCATCTGATGAGAATAATGGTGGACAAAGCAGTGAATGAAGAAGGTAAGGCCAAGAATGCCAGGTCTCAGCATGGTGGATGCAAAAGAGAAACAGATACAATCATTTTAAAGGAAGATTGTACACTATGTGGCTTCCTTAGATCTGCATACTTAAATAAATATAGAATGCTTACACTCAGTTTCAGAAACAACAGCAAGGCAACAGTAAACCACTGAATGGCACTTACGTCTGCATTCAACCCTGGCTGATGTTGTTGATATCCCATAAGCATTAGTGGCTCGGCATTCATAGACACCAGAGTCTTCTGGATACATCCACAGTATATTCAGGGTCACAAAGCCAAAGTCATAGGCTGGTTCATAGCGGGTGCCTGGTTGAGGGAGTCAATGCTTCATAGGTAATATGTTCAATGGTGCCACTTAGCTGGACTAGTTGTATGGCTCTCTCTCTCTCTCTCCTTCTCTCTCATGCCCATACAACAGAATCTATTTCTTTCTCACTCACATACACATACAAATCCATCTCTGGCTATCTGGCATAACCAATTACAGTCTCTCTCTTACAATTTCTCTTTAAGTGTCTTACAGTCTTTTTCTCCCTCTCAAACAATCTGTGCACTATGTAATTATTTATCACTATACACCCCCCCCCCCCTTCCCCCGTATTTTCACATCATTCTTGCCATTTTAACCATTCCATTCTTCTCATAACACATCCACACACAAAAGAACATTGTATACATCTAATCTTTTATAATCAGTGTACTTTATATGTCCCAGGGAGGACAGCCTAGTTTTTATTTTTTTTTTTTTTTTTTTATCATTTCATGATATTCTTTGATTATTCTTTAAATATATATATATATTTTTTAAATACCACACCTCTGGTATTTTGAGATCAAACAGATATGAATAGCATTTTTTATAACCAAGATACCAGATTTGACTAACACCAGCACCAGTTTCTCACCATAATGAAGTGGTTCGTTGTCCTTGAACCACTCTACTTTCATGGTGGGATCACCGTAGGGTAGGAGCTTGCATTCAAAGTGAGCAGCATCATTTTCCTTCAAGTACAGATCCTGGATCTGTGTCTTGAAGAGAGCCGGTTTCTGCTTCTCTCTGTCATAGACATCCTCAACTGGGGGTGCTTCACCCTCCCGCCTGATATACTCCTTCACTGCAATGTCCTGATAGTCACTGTTGAGAAAAGCAAGTATTCACATTAACACTTATTCTCCAGGTTAACAGAAATCTATATAGTTCCATTTTCTCCCCTTTTCTTCTTCTGTATTCATCTTTAATATGGCAGCTCCCTGGCTAATTGTGGTCTACAAACAGGCTGCGATATCTCCACCTTTCGGCCCAAAATATCCAATTTTAGTAAACCAGTAATTAATCACCATTTACATATTTGTTAAAGGTCTTTTCCCCCATCCTAAATGAGACTCTAACATGCACAATTTAAACACAAAAGGATTAGCTGAAGCACACAACAACATTCCCTCTCTCTCTCTCTCTCTATATATATATATATATATATATATATATATATATATATATATATATATATATATATATATATATATATATATATATATATATATATATATATATATATATATATATATATATATATATATATATATATATATATCCCTTATTTCCTCTCTGATTCTTTCAGACGGTTTAAAAAAAAAGGAAGTCTATGTTCTTGATTTGTAATTTTGTTTTTAGAAAAAAAGAAGAAGAAAAACCACCACCACCAGCACAAGCAACTTGAATCGGCGATCAGGCCTCTCCTCCTCTCTTCAGCCTATATCAGAAGATATCAGTGCATGTGCTACTCACAGAACAGTGAACTTCTTACAGTATCTGTGTCTTTATATATACAATTATACAATGTTTCCTTAATTTCAAATGTATTTAAAAACATTACAATTTCTAGGCTTATCAAATGCTACACAACTCATTACATTTGTGCAAGCTGGAATAAAAAAACAAGATTTGAAACAATTAAACCTTGTCAGCATCTAAAACAAAGAACATTCAATGTAACAAGCAAATAGTCCAGAAAAATGAAGCAAAACGCTATCAGTGAATATGTAAACATGCAAACAAAATGAATTAGTTTGCAACCGTTCATCATTAATAGAATACACTTTTCTGGGGAAAGGGAGGGGGGGGGGGGGGGGGGAATTGCCACAAATGTGTATTAAGGATAGACAACAAAAATAAAATAGTTACACACATAAGTGCTCTGATTATGTTTGTGCTTTACAAAAGCTAATAAGGATTTTTTTTTTTTTTTACTTTAGTAAAACATACACTTCAAGTTTACAGTTCAGTCAGATAGATAGTATAAAGACTTCAAGTGGGATAGGCTCCTAGGCTCAGTATTCCTGCCACAGAGTTGGAACAAAGCTAACCAATATTAATAAAAGTTTTGACTTCAGTAAAACAGTGAAGAACCTATTTCCTTGACTTGAAGAGTTTTAGGTATATGGTGCAAACCCCTACATTTGTTTCGACTATTCAGCACTTGCGGCGTCCGTGGCTAAGGCGTTGCGAGTCCGACTCGTAAGCCAGCATACCGCGATCGAAACCCACTGCTGGCTGCGCAGATTTTTGTTGTGGTATGGGGACGTCGCAGGTCGACCCAGCCTAAAATGGGTACCAGAATGGGCTGTCCTGGGAAAGTAAAGACAGCCGGCGTAATGCTGACCACATTACCCACAGAGTGCTGATGGTCTGTAAAAATATGGGACGCTCTGCCCATATGCCCGATGCGCCGAAAGGCGTGAAAAGGGAACTTTACTTTTACTTTTACTATTCAGCACTTGAGAAATTATGTATTTAATATAATTCCTGCCATCTTTACTTTCCAGAACAATTCCTGGTACCAATTTTTTTAAGGCTGAGTTAAAGAAAGGAAACATAATCTGTGACTGAACAAAATTAACTGAAATACATTTATGAGATGTAAATTTAAAAAACATATATAAGATACTCTAAAATCTATTTAAGTAACAGTAAGTAAAAAAAACTTGTTCATGCCATAAGTGCATTAGGCAATAAGATATTACCCTGAATATGCAGAATAAGACAGGACTGAGAAATTAATAACTAAGAGTGTTAAATTTCTGCACAGAAGCAAGGAGTTGACTGTTTTCACCAGTAAAGCAAGTCAAGTAAAGGACCCTCTTCCCCGCCTTTAGGCGTATAGGGCATATAAGGCTAGACCAATATGTGTATAGACCAATCGGCACAAGATGGGTGATGTGGTCAACATCACACCGGCCGCCTTTACTTCTCGGGACTGAACCCGGTGGCCACTCAAGGCTGGGTTGAGCTGGGAACCAAGGTCATTTTTGAAAAAAGTCCGGCTCTACCAGGGAGGGTACCCGCGACCTTCCGATCTGTGGTGAGCGTCTAGCCGCTTCGCCACGGTGACTCCCATTTTTACCAGACTGAACAAAAATAAATGCTTTAAAATCTAACAGACTGATCTCTTATAACATGGAGAATACTGTCTTTGGGAGAGTTATATGACAAATAAATTAGTTCAATGAAACTGTAAAAAGTGTACATTTCAAACTGTGGATGTGAAAAGAATTTTCACACCAACAACAACAAGTGTTAGATAGAGATATAAATTTTCATCAAATGATTTATTAAGTCAAGAAACACAGTGCACATTCAATGAACTAAAGCAAATAAAATAAAATAAATAAAGCAATAATTCTATATTAGCAAAGAAAATAAATGCAGCAAATGATTTTATGAAACAATAATACCTCAGTAAAACAGTTGGCATTATGAGCACAGGGGACATCAAATCACTGATTACAAATTGTATATTATAGGAACTGTCCTTTAATTTGGACCAAAGCCTGAAGGGTAGCCAGTCATTTATGAGAAGCTGTTAAACGTTCCTAAAAGACAAAGTCACTTAACAGATGAACTGAAAATAACTGATGAACTGAAAATACCATGCTATCAAAAACTGTTTAGACTAGAACTTGGATGGGGCTGCTTTACAACAGAGACCTGTAATATGTGCCAGAAATGCAATCATTTAGAGCACTAATTGCTGGAGTGTAGGAAATATGAACACCAAAGAAAACCATTAACTGTGTATGTGAATCTCTGTAAATTATCTATGACAATAGAAAAACTTCCACATAAACAGCCCCAGAGACCTGCATAGCAAGGTCAAGCAATGTATTACTAAAACTAAATATCTTATATGGAAGGATAAATTATGTCTATGCCATCTTAGAAGAAGTTTCCCCTAAAGATAGAATCGAGGAGAATAATAAACTATTTCACTAAGGGAATAATAAATCCAACATGTTAGTAAGATGTCTTATTATCCAAAGTACAGTTTTTTTTCATAACCATAACTCAAATCAAAACAATATGTGAAACAATACAAATTACATACTGATCATTTAAATGACTATGTGATATATAAATATAAAGTAACAAATATATACTCTTAGAAATCAATTAACAATCTATATCATAATTATAACCTGGGGGTTGAACAGGACATTTTTGAAAAAAATTACAACTACTACTTCCATAGCTGAGGAAATATAAAGCAAAAAACTTTGCAAACTATTTACAGTGTGTTAAGAAAGTAAAACTGAATGTTCTATTAACAAACGCCAACAAAATTAAAAGCAATCACTCTATGCTAGTAAAACCTATATGTATATATATGCAATAAATGATTATGCAAAACAAAAATAGCTCATAAAATGAATAGCATGATTTAATATTATGGCTCAGCTGAAATAAAATTGAAACAAAAAATGTTAATGCATAAAATGGATAACTTTACATTGCTAACATTGAACAGCTATGCAGTATGACCAAATTATACTTTGACGAATTTAGTATAACCTTTAGATTTTGTTGTAGAAGACTGAAAACAATACAGCATTTGAAAATTCATGACAAATTACCAAGAGGTTGAGAGAAGAATAAAAAGCACAGAACTAAATGAATGCAGTCAGTAGATGCAAAACACAAGCAACAAGACTTTTCTACTTAAGGGAAAGGATGGGTTACTTAAAAAAAATATTCTTGTCTATAGGATTTAAATATGAAAATTATACTGAAACAATGTAGCTCTGAGGAAGTATATGATATTATTCTATCAGATGCACAGAAGGCAGATGCACAAAGGATTGACACAAAAGAAACAAGATCAACATAAAAGCTGCTAAAGCAATTGGGAGAGAGAAAAAATTTTGCTGATGAAGGAAATAAAAATGAGATAAACAAATTATACTAATGACATGAAAAGATAGGCATTTTTATAAGAAATATACAGGACAGAAGAGTCATGTTGAAGTCAACAAGGGTGAATGAAGTCAGTAATGCAATCTGGGAAGATAACATTCTAAAAAAAAAAAAAAAGTAACACACAAAAGTCTGTCAAAGTTTACCACCATAGTAAGAGATGGAAAGTGGAAGATTTACCACGGCCAACCTTTACTGTGGAAACAGTAGTTGACTGATTTGTAAACAAGTGGACAGAAAGTAGAAGATCTCCCATGGCCAACCTATACTGAGGAAACAGTAATTGACTTATTTGTAAACAAGCTGACAGAAAATAGAAGATCTACTATGGCCAACCTTTGCTTAGAAAACAGTAGTTGACTGATGTGTTAACAAGTGGACAGAAAGTAGAAGATTTACTATGGCCAACCTTTACTGTGGAAACAGTAGTTGACTGATGTGTTAACAAGTGGACAGAAAGTAGAATATCTACTATGGCCAACCTTTACTGTGAAAACAGTAGTTGTGTGATGTGTAAACAAGTGGACAAAAAGTAGAAGATCTACTATGGCCAACCTTTACTGTGAAAACAGTAGTTGACTGATGTGTAAACAAGTGGACAAAAAGTAGAAGATCTACTATGGCCAACCTTTACTGTGAAAACAGTAGTTGACTGATGTGTTAACAAGTGGACAGAAAGTAGAATATCTACTATGGCCAACCTTTACTGTGAAAACAGTAGTTGACTGATGTGTAAACAAGCTGACAGAAAGTAGAAGATCTACCATGGCCAACCTTTACTGTAGAAACAGTCACTGACACTATCAATTATAAGCAGTTGTTAACAAATTTTACATTAATAATTTTAACATAAAAGAATGTCTATACTACGGTCCGAAGGAGTTGAACACACCCACTACAGGATAGAAGGAGTTAAACTAATAATTCATTTTCAAAGGGTTAATGTGACACCTGTCTGTGACAGAAGACAAGAAGAACATCATATATTCTTTGGAGTGATTTACAAAATGATGTACATTATTTGGTACTGAAAGAGTTAACTTATTTATAAATAAAATGACAGAAAGTGGTGAAGAGCCAAAGCAGCTAACCTAAATTGTATTAACAGTTCTTAACAGATTTATTGTGAACATACCTGCCAAAAATCTGGCTTGTTTTGTGTGTGTGTGTGTGTTTTTTTTTTTTTTTTATTAAATAAAAGGTGTTCTATTCATGGTCTCGACTGCATGGAACAAGTTACCAATGTAAATACAAAAAAAGCACAATTCCACACAAGACACACACATGAAAAAAAGCAGCAACCATTGTTAGGTTGATTAGTCAGGCAGCTGAAGTGGCAGTATCTGCCCTACACAGCATCGTCAAGAATACGCGAGTGAGTCAGCAAGATTCAAACTGCAAAGTCACTCAGTGTCACACCTGATATCATATGATTCTGTGACAATGTGCAGGTCAGCCCTTTCTGGTGGAGGCTCTTGTCTCAGGATGATTGGTTTTGGTTCTACAGGTGAAGGGGGTTTACGCACCCTTGCTCTGGGAGCAGGCGGTGCTGGTTTCGGGGGGAATGTCGGCTCCTGTGTGGTGACTGGAGAGAGAAGTGGTGGCCTGATAGGCTCGCTGCAAGGAAAAATTCATTAGTAGATACAACATTACTGGTTCCAGGTCCTGATTTAGTGTCAACAGTGCATAGGAGTAATCAACTAGCTAAATTACGTTCTTTTCTTCATCATTAAAATTGCATATATTGAAGTCATTTTTACTGAATAGCATGGTTTCATCAGATTTTAAGTGACTTTAGTGTTATATTTTATTTCTGTTATTTTGTGTGTATTGATTTATCTAGCTCTTTTCCAGTTTGCCCATTTTGTTAAATGATTATCAATTAAGATGTAATACTGAGTTGACTCATGTCAACAACTTCCAGTGAATGTGTATATCTACAGTGTAATGTATCTTCCTTAACAATTTACAGTTTATAAATGAATATCTTCTGTAACAATTTACAGTTTATAAATGAATATCTTCTGTAACAACCTACAGTTTATAAATATTTTCCATAACATCATAGAGTATATATATATATATATATATATATATATATATATATATATATATATATATAATATATATATATATATATATATATATATATATATATATATATATATATATATATATATATTTGTGTGTGTGTGTGTGTGTGTATGTATGTGTATGTATACACATACACACATATACATACATACATAAATATATATACACATACAAATGCAAGTTCTGACAATTAGGAAATGAGACATGATTTTATTATGGCCAAGAAAAAAATGCCATATATAAAGAAAAGCATGGAATCTAAAGAGACAACATCCGTCTATGATCTGGCAATTTTTCATCACCACTTGATAAGCAGACAACAAACAAGCCCCTTTTATTTTACCTAGTCAGAGATGCATTGTTACATAACCTGCACGAAGCAAAAAGCCAACATTAAAATCTCAAAAAAAGTGCCATTGAAATGGTTCAATTGATTCAAGAAGTTTATGGGGATAATTGTTTATCTTGTGCAAAAATTTTCAGGTGGTATTCATGATTCAAAAGTAGTTTAGAAATGATTACTAATGCACCTAGACCTGGACGCCAAATTTCTGTTCGTAATGGTGAACTCATGTCAAAAGTTAAAAAACAGATACAAAAAGATCATTGTTTTACTGCTAAGATGATGGCAGATGAATCTGGTGGTAATAGAGAGACCATTCATACAATTTTAGTGCAAGATTTTGGCAAGAAAAAAGTTGCTTGCCCGTTTGTACCATATGCATTGTTTGATGACCAAAAACATCAGCAGGTTGAGTACCCAAGAGACATCATCAAAACAAGAATTTTTTGGCCCAAAATTAGTGTGTGTTCTCAGCCTTCCACCCTATTTCCCAGATTTGTCTCCCTGTTATTATTTTCTATTCCCTAAATTGAAGTTTTGATTGAAAAGACGCTTTTTTAATCATTTTGATGACATCCAAAGGGCCGTAACATCGACATCGAAGGACTACAGAGGTCATTCCAGCGTTTGTTAGATCGTGCCCTTGCTGTATCAATGCTCAAGGGGCTTACTTTGAATAAAATACAGGTTATATCTTCAACTGTTGATTATTTTAATTTTTATGAAATTAGTCTCATTACTTAATTGTCAGACTTTGTCATACATAAATACATATTAAATGAACAGCAAGTGTAATAAATCAATGCGAGCAAAATAATGTCCATGGTTATGTACATTAACACAAAAAAAGATCTTTACAGCACAAAGTTGTTTTCTGAACATAAAAGAATCAGAAAGTCAGGAACAGAATTAAAATTTATTATATGTAGAATTTTCTGCATGCATTAGCCAGACAGCAGACAAAACAACATGGACTGAAATTTAAAAAACTCCAAACACTGACAAAGATCAAGACTAAACTACACTCTGCATCAGTCGTGTATCCTGTATATACTGATTCACATATTGCTCCCGATTCTTTTCCTAATGTTCAGAACTACCATTAGAATATTCAGGGAAGGTTACTCTAACATTTCTACTTTGTATGCAGTCTTTTTTCATACATGCAGGCACAAATTTCTCCAATTCATTGCTAACATAATTTACAGACAGTGAATTTTCTAAATTCCTCTTCGACTGGCCATGGAGACCAATATACCAAATGCAAGCACAAGCAAAAACACCTTTCTCAGGCTAAATCTCCAAAACTGTTTCAGTTCAGATGTATTTTTTTTTTAATTTGTTTATTCTGATAATGGCAACTTGAATATTTCCGAAAGTGTTTAGGACGGTGAAGTGACACCAGCAGCAGCTAAGCAATCAGCTGTTAGAGAATCTAGTAGTTTTAATGAGGTAAACCCAGGAAGACCCATTTCCTTTGTGAAGGATGTAATAGTCACCTATATTTGCATCCAAAGAACTATTTCAGATAGTACCACACTATCGCTAAGCTGCATTGAAATCAATGCAGCTACAGTCTGTATATAACTGTACAGAGTTAATATTTTGTGTGAATAGGTCCAATATCCTGCCTTTTTTTTTTTTTTTTTTTCTAAAATTTTTCTATGAGAACCTAGAGCCTCTGAGTGATAAACTAACCCAGAAGTGTATCATAACTTTTAAATTTGTTGGGAAATTGAAGAAACTTTAGTGTTATTCTTATATTGGACATTCCCTGCTCTTATGGCTGAAAAACCATGGTAAGTGAGGCATATTTTTCATGGGCCTGAAAGATTTAAAACACCTGTAAAGTCAAAACATAAACAGAAGAAAATTTTTTGTGCTCAAAAAGTTTTTTAAAAAAAGTAAACATAAATAAAAGTATCTGTTTGTTACAAATGGTACAATCAGCCAAACGGGGATTGTATTTAAAAAATAAATAAGAGATAAATGAAGGAATAGAGGTAAAGACAACTGCTGTAGTTCATGCAAGTTGCTTCACCTTGGTGGCATGTACAGAGCTGTTCTCTTGGGCTCCACTCTTGAAGATGGTGGCTCCACATGTCTGTGTTGATTACAGAGCACACAAAAACAAATGCAAGTGCTGATAACACAAGTACATCAAGTTAAAGAAGATTAAACTATAACTTAAAATCTGCGAGTAAAAACTGTCCAACATTTTATTTTTAACTTGTTCTGCTTTAAGCAACACTTTATGCATGTTAGGCTTTTCCTGTGAATCCCAACCATTGCATAATGTGTTCTTATACATTATTATATTTGGTCGAAGAATACTAAGAAAAGTCCGACTTCTCCAGAAACCACTACAGCTGTGTATTTAATCTCTGACAAAAATGCTTATAATTTGTATACAGGTTACTTCTTTCTTGAGTATCTGCAAGGAAACCTCAATGAAAGCACAATGAAAGCCACACAAGGTTTTAACATATTTTGTTCATTCAATGAGCTCAAAGAACACAAGGACTATATAGCTACATCATAAATAAAAAATCATAACAATTTATAAAATAGATGTGTGCTTCCTGGAAGCTGAATTATGAGTTACCTGTAAGGATTGTATCCTCACAGTGTATGTCTATAGGTGTTCAGATTGCCCCTTTAACATTTACATAAGTTTACAGGGCTAATAGTACTAGTTCTGTGTTGAACGACAAAACCTGAAAGCTGTAGTAATGTAAGAAAAGATCATCAAGGAATATTACAGAAATGTGTTAATGAATGTGGGGAAACGAAAGACCCACCTGAACTCCTTCGGTTTCTGCACAATGGGGATTATTGCCTTGAATGGTAGCAACTCTGGAGGACCAGTAGCTGTTGGTGTAGTACTGAAATTAAACATAATCAATATTTTGACTTTCTGGATACAGTAAATTTTTAGACATCTGAAATCAGATGTTTAATTTGGTTAACAACAAGATTACAATATTTGACATGAAAAAGATCATACTTTATATGGCTTTGAAACCTGGAGTACAATAAAATGAAGACTTTTTACAAATTTATGAGAAGAGTCTTGCGATAAATCTTTAATGCTATCAAAGATGCAAACAAAAGGACAAAGGAGAGTGAGAAGCATCAGCCAACTTAATCATCTGTTTAAATCATGACTAATTACTACTATCATGGGGGCTAATTGACTGCAATGGCTGGGGCATACAGAAAGAATAGCAGATGATACTGAAACAAAAGCTGTGTACATGAGACAGCTAAATGGGAATGCAGACCAATAAAACTGGAGAGTTAATTTACAGGCAGACCTACAACCATCTGGAGTCACTAGCTGGAAAGATAAGGCCAACCACAGAGATAAACAAAGGTGGCTGATATCTGCAGCTGGAAAGATAAGGTCAACCACAGAGATGAACAAAAGTGGCTGATATCTGCAGCTGGAAAGATAAGGTCAATCACAGAGATGAACGAAAGTGGCTGATATCTGCAGCTGGAAAGATAAGGTCAACCACAGAGATGAACGAAAGTGGCTGATATCTGCAGCTGGAAAGATAAGGCCAACCACAGAGATGAATGAAGGTGGCTGATATCTGCAGCTGGAAAGATAAGGCCAACCACAGAGATGAATGAAGGTGGCTGATATCTGCAGCTGGAAAGCCAACCACAGAGATGAACAAAAGTGGCTGATATCTGCAGCTGGAAAGCCAACCACAGAGATGAACAAAGGTGGCTGATATCTGCAGCAGTGAACCTCAAGGACATAAATGATGAAGAAGAATTCTCAGACATTCTGTCAACTATCAGCTCATTTATGTTGAAGAAGACCAGTAACTGTCAGTATTGTATTATAAATAATGATGTGCTGACGTTCTAGCATCAAATGTTTGCAAGTTAGTTACCTATGTTCAACTTAAATTCTAGAGATTAAAAAAAACAAAACAAAAAACAGTGGAAGACAAAATCAAATAAATTAGCTAATTAAAACTGAAGAAACTGCCAATTTAATTTGTAACATTTATATAAATTAAACAGATAAATTTTTAATGCAGACTTCTAACAGTTGTAAATGTAATTATAGTATTTAAAGTGATTAATTCATAACAGGCAAAATGTAGTTGTTAAACCAGATTCAGAAAGCCATAAGGGAAAGTACCCACTGTTATTCTAACAGTTTACTCTGTATGGTATTTGTTGTTTTGTTATAACTCTACAATTAAGTTAAATCTCATCTACTGAAACATTCAGAATGTTAACAACATGTGGCAGCAGGCATTAAACAAAACAAACAAAAAAAGAAATGTTTTCCAGGCCTAGAGATGTATTAGATACATTATATCAGCTCATTTGTGTGTACAGGCCAATCAGTTCTTGATGGGTGATGTGATAATAGTGTGTTAGCCACCTTTACTTCCCAAAAAGATTTCCTGGTACTCAGTTTATGCAAGGCTGACCTGAGAGTAATCGTACATTTGTAAAATCCTTCCCAACATGCATTAAACACCCAACAATTCTCAAGTAAAATCCCTCCCAACATGCAATAAACACACAACAATTCTGAAGTAAAATCCCTCCCAACATGCAATAAACACCCAACAATTCTCAAGTAAAATCCCTCCCAACATGCAATAAACACACAACAATTCTCAAGTAAAATCCCTCCCAACATGCAATAAACACCCAACAATTCTCAAGTAAAATCCCTCCCAACATGCAATAAACACACAACAATTCTCAAGTAAAATCCCTCCCAACATGCAATAAACACCCAACAATTCTCAAGTAAAATCCCTCCCAACATGCAATAAACACACAACAATTCTCAAGTAAAATCCCTCCCAACATGCATTAAACACCCAACAATTCTCAAGTAAAATCCATCCCAACATGCATTAAACACCCAAAAATTCTCAAGTGAATGACAAAATTTTGTGGTTTAACTGTAAATTCAGCATCTAACTATCAACTTGAAGCCACAATCATATTAAACTTCCAATAAAAACAAGAAATGACCGCGGTGAAGGAAAACATATTCACTGTACAATCAAAGAAACTGTCAACCTGCTAGTTTATAGCAGTATATATATGGCAGACTTCTGCTACCCACCATACACACACACACACACACACACAAAGTTACTACAAAATAAAAAAACATAAGATGCAAACATATAAAGCATGCTAACTACCACATTAATCCCAACAGGAGTATGAAACCTTTGCCACAGTTCACCATTTAATGTATTTTTATGGAAATATTACAGAAAAAAAGTCAAGAAAGAAAACAGACAACCCCATAACAATGTTAGCATAGAAACATGTTAGTCCTCCATGCGTGGTGTGGTTGTAAAATCATTTTCTGACTACCTGGAGATAAATCTTTCAGGCTTGGGTGCCACAGTGGGTGGTGGAATTTTAATTATGGCAGTAACAGGCTTCAGTTTTGGCTCAAACTCTTTCCTATAAGAAATTGTTGAAATCCATTAGAACAACATCCTGGAGAGAATACTTTAGTGTGAAAGATTCAATACAAGTTTTGTAACAATCTACTGGTTTTCATGATTCTGATTTTTTAATTGTTCAATTGTTTATGATGAAAGATCAAACATGCTAGGCCAGAAATGACATTACTAAACACAATGTAGTGGTTAAAGTCATTACATGTTTAAAGTATGATGCTGTCTGGACACTGCAAGGGAAAAGTCAATATGGTGATGTCTAAGAAAAGTTCATGTTTCTATCTTCTAGTTTCTATCTGATACACTTTTCTTTCTTGATGTTTCTATCTTGAAGGTGAAAATATAACTATTCACACATGTTCCTACATTTAACATGGAAGATGAGTATTGACATCATAAAAGTCACCTAGGCTAGTGTAAACTTCTTAGTCATAGTCACACTTATGTAAAAATAAATAACTGGAAACACCATACAAAGCTAATTCATCCATTTTATAAACAAAACCAAGAAGACATAAAGCTACAGGAAAGATGATTCTCTGCAGTCAAGATGTAAGAATACAGTGAGTGCAGACTACAGAAAGGACACTATGTCAGTCCCAAGATGTATATGATCCTTGACTGGGCTCAAGACTGAAAATAAAAATTATAGTCTTCACAACAACTTAGGCAAGCGGTCTTTGTTTCACAGTGCAGATAAAAATTCTCCTACATATATTAGCATTAGTGCATAAATTATAATATGTTTAACAAAACAAGAATTTGTAATGCTGAGAGCAACCAGTACCCACTATAATGCAGCTGTGATCACATGAGGTATAGTCCAATACAAATAACCTTGAGAAATAGAAAACAGAGATATTAGTTATCATGAGGAAACAAGCTGACTGACTCACCTGGCTTCAGTCAGGTAAGTTTGCTCAGGTTCAGCTCTTTCAGTGGGCAGCTTCCTGAAATTGGACCAACAGAAAACTCTCAATTAAGCTGTAATTACTACCATGATTACAGATATCATCTGCTTCAATGTTTAAACCTGGCAAATGGTGAAGTCCATGCACCATAGTGTTCATACAACTACTGTTCACACCACCCACTGACAGGAACAACATGACAAATGTTGATGTATGAGTGTCACATGTTATACTCTCTCATATATACCAATGGCTGTAACATCAGATGTTTCCTGCTTAAAACAACACTAGTTAGGAACATTCCAACCAGAACACTAGCGGAATATGAGCTCTGGAAAATTTTATGGTCAGCCAGAGTTATTGTACAATTACTGAATATGTTTATGCAAACAGGTAAATATATGCATATAAAACATATTAGCTAAAAACATGAAATGCATCCTAATTTTAAACACACATATTTATATATAATTTGTTTGTTAGCTAAAGACAATAAAACTAGCCTACATATTTTTTTTTTTTCTGAAAAGGGGAAAAAAATCTAACTGAAATCACAGTCTCTATGGTTATACATATACATTTATATGCTGACATATGTAAAAATGGCATCACTAAAGAAAATTATTTAAATAATTATGCCAATTATATTTTCTTTATAATTATGATAGTTATCATTCTTCTATAAATGTAATCCCTAGCAGATCCTGGCATTGGTATATCAGGCTTTTGCCCTCTTGTATCAATTCAGCTAGACCACCATGTGAGTTGGTCAGTGCCTTTCCTCTTTATCTTTCCCTCTGTGACAGATTCACAACATTTTGGAAATTGTCAGGAACCTGGTTTTAAGAGGCTGGGTTTACTCCAAAGCTGGTTAGAAATAAATGCTACCACTTCTGGAGACTCTTCTTCACTTCTTCTTTAACTGCATTGGGTGGCAAGGGTGATATAAGGTTCTCCTTCTTGCTTTTATGGCTGCCTCAGCCACAGAAACACTGCGGTTTTGCTGAGTTTTTTTTTTTTATGTTATTTTTCTGACTTGCTCTTTGTCTACCTTAAGCTTTAGGTCCTTCTCTTTTTATGTATGCCTTGTATGATTTGATGCTACACAGCATTTTCTGAGCAAACCATTTGATTTGCTGTCTTTGTTTGTAATTTAGAATTGGTTCTGAGCTGATTTTTCTCTTAAGACCTTATTCTTGATTTTATCTGTTCTGGTTTCTCATGCAGCCAAACTTGTGGAGATTAAACGATAATATTGTCTCAGCAGCCACATGCACTAAACACTATGTTTTTTTCTTTGCATTCACCCACTGTAAACTCTGGCAGAACATTCTGGATCTTTGTCCACTTCTAGACATTCATTGTACAGATCTGGCTTCTTTGTTTGCAGACTGTTGGTTCCTGGCTTCTCAGGCAAATTAGCTTTGACTCTGAAGGAAGACCACTATGTAACCACAGTTCTTTGTGTTTCTACAGTACCAAAACATGATGCATTTAGATAAGGACACTTTAGTTCATATTATTATCACTTGCCATCAACAACAGGGACAATAAGTGGAAGAATCAAGAAATGGTTTCATCGTGCTGTTACTTACAAGAGTAAATCGGTGGGTCAACATTTGTCTGTTCAATGTAATCAGTCTACTCAAGTCAATCAAAAATACATGCTTTTGGAATGCATAGTATATACATAAAACTTGACTAGCATGCCACACACAATGATGATTTTTTAAAAAAATGCTGAAACAGCTGACAAAGTGTGCAAACAAGAAAAAAACAATTATATTTTTGTTGTAAGTGGTACATTAAGGTGATGGTACCATGAGTTCAGATACAAAATGCACTCTGTGTTGAATGGAGGCAATGGCTGTGGCAAATGTCCACACCATTAAATGAATTATTACACAAAGAAGTCACAACCTGTATAACAGACATTGTGAGCATGCTCCTTTATGTGCCCGTGGAGTTATCATTTTCGTTATCTTTAAATGCCTCAAACAGGGTACTGTGTTTTAACTTTACCACACCAAACTTGGGATGCTGATAGAGAAGCACGACAACTGTGATATCATGTGATGAAGGGACATATATTAGGTCTGTGGGACTCTAAGGGCCCTCACCCTCTTCAGCTGTTAACCAAATCCTGCAATGAAATGTGTCCATGCAAAGATTCCAATGAAACAAAAATAATACAGATAATATAAAGGTAAATATGACAAAAACTCAAAAGAGACTGAATTGGCCCCATCAGCCTTGTGCACATATGGACTGACAGAACAGCAGGCAACAACAGATATCCTTCAAAACTGAAACATGTTTTGCTAAGTGTGGACTGACAGAACAGGCAACAATAGATATCATTCAAAGCTGAAACATGTTTTGCCAAGTGTGGATTGAAAGAATTGGCAACAACAGATTTCCTTCAAGACTGAAACATGTTTTGCCAAGTGTAGACTGACAGAACAGGCAACAATATATATCTTTCAAAGCTGAAACATGTTTTGCCAAGTGTGGATTGAAAGAATTGGCAACAACAGATATCCTTCAAGACTGAAACATGTTTTGCCAAGTGTGGACTGACAGAACAGGCAACAATAGATATCCTTCAAGACTTAAACATGTTTTGCCAAGTGTGGACTGAAAGAACAGGCAACAACAGATATCCTTCAAGACTAAAACATGTTTTGCCAAGTGTGGACTCAAAATTAGCCCACAAACTCACATAAAGCATTTGGGACCCAAACAGTTCTCAAGTATGACAATATATCTACACATACAAAATATTTACTGGCAGATCAAGATATGTTTATATATTTATATACATACATTTATGTATATAAATTGGTTTTGGAATTGAAACTACACAGGCTGCTGAAGATGGGGACAGGGCACTTAAAGGAATGTCTTGAGTTGTGATGAGTTTGTTACTTGTCTTACCATGGACAGGTAAAAAAAAGAATCCTTGCATTTTAAAAGCAACACAATTTAATCTGTGAATCCTGGACAACTGGTAAACGTGCTCACACCCCTCAAAATGCACCAAGGCTGGAGAGATATGGTTTTACAGAAAAGTGCTTACCATTCCTTGGACAGCTAAAATGAGTGAACTAAATGTTTTTAAAGAAGCTAAGATGTGAAGATAACCTATTACAAGCATCAAAAAGAGGCAGTCATCATTCTGTCGCCACATTATGAGAGGTGAACATGTGAAACATGCTGTGAAATTTGAAAAATATTTATGGAAAGAGAGATGGGGAGAAAGAATGTGTGAAGTTCTCAGCAGCTTTTGTCACCTCATGGAAAGTGTTAGCACACAAGCTGATACATGTAGCAAATTATAAAAGGAAATGCTCATTCAAACAAAAGACTGACAAATAAACATGATTAATATTGTAACATGCAGTCCCCCCATATTTATATCATCCCTATAATTGCTGAATGAGCAACACATTCTGATGAACTTAGTCAAATAGCTCTCCATGCATGTCAGTGGCAAGTAAAAACAGGAGCAACACTTCTACTGCAAGCCGGCAGTTGTCAACCATGCACACCAACCTTGGCAAATCTTCTTCATCAACCAATCGCAGGTAGCCTCTTTCAGAATCAGATGCATAGCTAATTTGCTGCACTGGCCCAGTTTTGTTTATGTCATAGCTGAATTGGTGATGAATACAGTTTGTTATATTTTTTTTAAATATCAGCAAGTCAACTATGCTTAACTCTTTGAGTCCAAGGGAACGCATCATGCGCTAATATGTTATAACCGGGCGGCCCAACTGACACGTGATAAGTGAAGGTTTTTAATCTACCAAGGACCAATTATAAAACGCAGACCACTTAACTTAAACTTCCTTTCGAGTTCTTTGTGTCTAATATCAGGCATGCTCATTTAGAAATGTGGTTTGAAAGCCGAAAATAAAGTATATTTGTGAGATTTACTGGGTTTATTTGAAAAGAATATGGCCGCCATGCAGTATTCTACATGCATGCCAACATGATTTACAGCTTTAGAAGCCTCATATTTTTTTTAAAAAGTACATGTTTTTTCGATTTATCTGAAGTTAGATAGATAACTTTGCGAATTAGATGTGCTTCAGTCATTTATAAAGTCAAACTTTGATGAGGGATAAGTCTAATGTGTACCTCACGCGAAGGGTACAATGATAGCATAGTCAGCTGGCACAAATAGAATAAAAATTAGTGAAAAGATTATTTTCTTTAGTGTCAGTTAGTTCTAGTGCTATTCTCTTTATTATTTAGGAACATAGCTAAAAAATTACAGGCACACTGAGTGCTATATAAACTTTGTTTTGTGTGAAGATACTTAATGTTTTGGGAGTTTTCTTTACCAAATAATGGTGCTCAGTTATGATGTGTCAAAAGATTCTCTGGAACAAAATCTAATGTATATATTGAGTATATATTTTATTTATACATTACTAAGTAGTTCAGATTCATTTGTGATTCATTTTGAATATATTTTAACCAGTTTTCCTTGAGTGCCATGGTGGTAAGTGTAAATATTTTTATTTAATTTAACTAATTTTTGTAAACATACCATCTGTTTATTTACTAATATTTAATTACTAATGCAATTATTTGTTGTAGCTATATCCTATAATTATTCCTCAACAATCCCTGGTCACTTTGAAGTATAATATGTGTATTTTGCATGGCAATTGAATTAGTATGGTCTGTTTTAATGTCTTACACTTGTGAAATTAAAAAACTGCATTACCACCCCTTGGGCCTCTGATGCTAAACCCACTGGGACTCAAAGAGTTAAAAAAATTTGTCAGAATTGTTCTGCAACAAGAATTAAACTGCCACATTTCAATTGTCACATTCATTCAAGTTATACAGCGCAGTTAAAAGAATTAGCTACTTTATGTAATATAAAATATGTACACTTTAAAATAGCTTGAAATGGAACACAATATAATGTCAGTCACACGTCATCTTAAATTATGTACAGTGATGTGGTGGAAAAAATGAAAGATCGTAAAAAGAAAACTGAAGATCTATGTGAGAATGGATAGCTGTGAGAAAGTTGAATTGTGTACAGAAATCTAAAGGAAACATGATAGACTATTACCAAAAGTGAGAGTCTATGTGAGAAAGTATAGCTGTAAAACAGAGTTAACAAAATATGAAAAAATGAGAGTTTGAAATGCGATAGATCTACTGACAAAAACTGATATCCCATGTAAGAAATGATGACTGTGTGGAAGCATGCAACATGTGTGAAAACATCATGCAGACAGGTCATCCACCTGGGAGATGGTTCTTGAGGCCTGAAGAGCACAGTTATAGGCTTGGAAGGCTTCTGCATTTTGGGTGGTGGAGGTCTTGGAACCTCCTCAGTCTTGGTGAAAATCTTCTTGGCATCAGAGACACTCCTGCGCTGGTATTCATCCTCCTCTTCAGTCAGCATTGGAGTGCTGGTCTCTGGTGTAGGAGCTGGAGCTGCTGGAGGTGCTATCCTAGAAGGCACTTGAGCTTGAGGTCTGCAGCAAGTGATGATTCAACAATCAAATGCCAAGAAAGTCTGACTGCCTATAGCAGACAGTAGCATGCACATCCCCAAAAGAGGGAAAATTAACTTTCTTTCTTTCCCAGGTAATGTACCATATTCTATTGGAGATTATTTATTTCTACTAATCAACAAGTTATGTATGTATTTTTTCCACATCGAGGTTTCTGAGAAGCCACATAACTTAACATTTCCAGTTGTGTCCTATTCCCCATAAATGTCACTTTACCAACTTGTTATAGTGACATGTCCCGGAAAAGCCTAGTTAATGCCATTGGTTGTGCTTGAACTTTTGCAGTGTTTGGAAAGACAGGATATTTTTTTATCAGTAACCATCTAGACCAGTGTTTCCCACTTGGTGGTCAGCTGACCTCCAATGGTCCAAGGAAAATAATGAAGGGGTCAGTGATATCCTCATTTTTTTAAACATTCAATTCTAGAATGTAGCGGGTTTTTTTTTTTTTTCTATTCTAACATTTATAAATTATAAAAGTTCTTCAGTACGACTATTAAAATGAAGGCAGTTTAGGGCTTCATGTGAGATCTTCAAGAACAAGGGTGATCTACATGTGTTAGCTCATTGGGGAACCACTGTTCTAGATCATAAAACATACTTCTTTACTCATTCTACCATAGATATGATTACACATTTACTGGTTATTGCACAAATCAAAACAACTTACAATTTTCATAAGAAAAAAAAATTCTGATAAAATCAACAACACATGGTATTACCTGGACATATATTGATTCAAAGCTGACATAAATACTGTCTGTCACTCAAAACAGATTGTGGTTTGTAAAGGAGCATGTTTAGTGCACACAAACACCTTTATAGTGTTCTAGTTACCTGTCATACATCCCAAAGGGTGCATCTTTACAAATGGTGGAACTTCTAACTGCTAAACAATTTTTGCATTTTTTAATGCATATCAGATTTATTCATCCTTCTAACTGCTTGCCCTTATCAAAGAAGGTTATGTGTTGCATACACTACCTGGGATCAGTGAGAAAAGATACTATTATTTTTTATGTAGCACAAATCCACATCATTCACAACGTCTTCAGAACCAGGTCTGCTCAAGTGAGAGGTATATGTCATACCTGTATTCCCAGACACCCTTTCTCCTTTCACAGAAGTTTTCTTGTAAGGAGCTATAATAATTCAGTTTTTGCATGACTATAAACACATTTAATAAAAACTACGACTGAGAAATGGGATCAGCATGCACATTAATCAAGGAGAATCATGCCCAAAAAAATGCATGCTCCACCTCTTCAGTTGCTCCTCCTTAATGAGACGAAGAGTGGCACTGTCACGTTCAGTAACATAAGAGATCTGCTGGACAGGACCCTCAGACTGGATCTCATAATGACTGGGAACAATAGATGTTGACAGTTGTAGCTACAGTTGCTTACAATACATAATCATTACATATATTCACCTTTAAAATATATTCATGAAAAATAATATCAAATTATAACAGATCAATTACTAACGTACTTTAGATAACTTGTGTAATTATCTTGAAAGCAAGATTCTTAAATTTAGGAATATATTAATTCAGACTCTGATTTTTTTTTTTAAATGAATAGACACTTCAGTTTTAAAAAAATAAAACTGTATAAAGATTAACACTAAATTTATACAAACATCAAAGGATGAATCAAGTTTCCTTGGACTTCATTAACTCTTTAAGGCCCAAACAACAGTGTGAGGGTAGTTTGAGAGGTTCTGTTCTGCCCAAACAACAGTGTCATCGTTAATCGTGTATCTCTTACATTTTGCTTTGCATGCGCGTTCGTACTAGTTTCTAATGTTTGGAGGTACGAATAACCTATTCAGAGAAAGTCACTCTGCCGAAATCCTTTTAGTTTCATTTCTTGGACTAAACCACACGTGGATAATTTGAGAGAAAAAAAACATCAACATTTTTTTAACAGTTTATTTTCTAAGTTCGTTTTTGAGTGCACTGAATACCAATGTTCTAACCACAAGAACAGGTCGCAGAATGCGTCTTTCTGCGGCCGTAGCTCTGAAATTGTTTCAGCCAGATGTTTTTAATTGTGATAATGATAATAAAAATTTAGATTTTTTGGAAAGTGATTTGGACAGTGAATTTTCACCAGTGAAGCTGAGCGATCAGCTGTTAGGAATCTGTTATTACACAGACAATGTCCCATACTACCGTATTTATGGTGTAAGAGAAGGAAAGTACTCTAAACGAAGAGATAGTACTATACTAAGCTACATTGAAATCATCGCAGCATCGTACAAAGTGAATAGTAAATAGTGTGTGTGTTATGGCTCATTATTCTGCCATTTTTTCTCTGAAATTTTGCTTAGCACTCGGTGGGAACTAAGAGCCCCTGAGTGATAAACTAACCCAGAAAGTTATCATAACTTTAGAATATGTTAGGAAATTGAACAAACTTTGAAGTTTTGTTCTCAAATTTGGATATTTACTATTCTTGTGGCTGCAAAACCATGGTAAGTGAAGAATTTTTTTGTGAAATATTGTCCTTGTGAAATTAACACCTGCTGAATTCTTCTTTCCCACTAACTATAACAAAATTAAACAAACACTTATCATCAGATTCAGAATGTACACTTATTTCTCGATTTAAAAATATATACTGTTATAGGGATTAGAAGTATATTACAATATATACAGCCTTTCTTGTACACCCACCCCTCTGCCATTTTTGTAAAGGGAAATTAATGTGGACCAAGTCTGTCAAAATTCATGGGCCTGAAAGAGTTAATAACATGAAAGTATGTGCGTAAATTCATCTTTTAAGAGAGAACACCATAATGGAGACTGCTACCATAATGAATCTAACTCTGAACAAAACAAAACAAAAACACTGATGACATCTGTGAAACAGTGTACATATCTGTTGGCATACTCTTTGTATGATTAAAATACAAGATCGGGATGATTTATATCTTTGTTTGTTTTACAGTGTACCTAAAACAATGACTATTGTAATGCCAACCATTGATAAAACATGGCTGAAACAATATTACACAATTCAAGTTTATTCTGAAAAGTAATAACAGCAAAAAACACCACTAAGGCACAATGTACAAATCACAAACCAATGTAACGATATCAAATGCTTAGTGAGTTTCATGATTTTTACCAAAAAGAAACTGTGGTTAACACATGTATGTTCTTAGTGCTTATATCTACATAGTAAACATACAAGATAAGTGATTTAAAAAGAACAGCAAACTCATTTTCAGAAGTCAGTTTCAGGTCATAATTTATTACGGAAATATGAGGTTCACTTTCAAACTATTTTAACACTGAAAATTCCAACACATCAACACAGATTATTGCAACTGACTTGTAGGAATGTTAGAACAGAATACAAGCAATATCTCTTCTATTGCTTCAGGTGACGAGGGAAATATCAGATTCTGCTTCTTGCTCTTTTACTACCTGAATCATAGACAAGTAGCACTGTTGAAGAGTATCTCTGATATTATCTTTCCATTGTATTCTTGATCTACGTTATGCTCTACGTCTTTGTCCTCTTTTGTTATTTGTTTTGTATGGTATGGCATCACAGGGCACTCGCTCTAATTTAGAAGTCTAGTTTCAACTACTGTAGCCACTAAAATTCAGTAAATTATTTTGATGTTTAACTCTTTCAGTCCCAAGGAATGTATCATAAGTTCAAATGTTCCTACCTAGAAGCCCAATGAATACAAGAAGCGACAATTATACATTTCTCTTTACTATCTGTTGAGTCTCTGACACTGAACCACCGGCACTGAAACAGTTAAATGTTATGTATGTTTCAATAACATATTGTGGCACATAACATACCAAAACTAAATATTTAAACACAGCTACTGTAGTGTTACTGCTAGAATGTCCACACTGCTAACTTACGGTGAGATCACTCTCCTGGGTTCAACTGGAGGAGGCTGCTGGACTTTAGTCAGATCCCTTTCCACAACCAGCTTGCAGCGTGTAGTTGCAGTACCAGCAACATTGACAGCTGAGCACTGGAACCAGGCAGAATCACTGACCTCTGCACTGTCGATGTACAGGGTGGATCGGCCTCCATCAGTCTCAATCCTGGAGATCATTATTAACATTTCAATATGAGTATTTATAATTGTGATAAGTGAATATTTACAAACATCTGTGAATCAACACATATTACTAATAACTCTTTCAATCCCTGAAGGTTTTACAGCAGAGGTCAAAGAAAAGAAATAACTTTACAATTCATGACAATGTTACTTTTAAAAAAAACTATTTGAGGGGAATTTGGAAAGTAATGCTTTTAACTCTCTCAGCCCAGCAACCAACAGTGTTCCTACTGACTGCACAACTTCCATAGACGCAGAAACATTTATGAATGTTAACTAGTTTCTTTTTCCATGACCAGAAATTTTACAACAATTTTCTGTTTATAACACAATCTCTATTTTAACAGTTTAGTGCAGCTGACTTTTTTTTTAATGAGTTGCTATTTTTAACATACAGTACTGACTGTTTACATTTGAATGGAACACACACAAAAGTCATGCTTCTAGCTTCATAATTTGCTGAGAAAAGAATGTGAGATATTACTTTCAGAAGGCCCTATTGTACCAGCAGAAATCGTCACCAAGAAAGCCTGATTTCTGTTACATGCTGTGACCAAATGGTAAAAGAGGGAGCAAGGGTAGTGTAGTGAAGAATTCACATAAACCAAAATGTGGCCATTTTTTTTTTTCCTCTCTTCATTTTTTTTAAATTTTCTTTCCCCTCCTTATCCTTTCTATTCCTCTTGCACCTCTTTATATTCATGATCTGCTTCCTTCTTCTTCCTTTTCTCCTCTCCTTATTCACTGTTATACTAGTAATGACACAATAAGAATTCTGTTTGTTTTGCTCTTATTTTTTCCTCCAGTATGTATGTTGCAGTATTTCAGGCTTGTTGATTTAGTCAGTATTTTTTCAACAATTATTGGAGTACCAGAGAAACATGCAACAGAGGGATTATGATGCTCTCATATCAAAGAACGGGTGCATGTCTTTTATCTGTGGGTAAAGTAACAGGTTGTGTCTATCAAAAGTAACACAAATATAATAATTACTCAAAAAGTGTGTGACGATTGCCTGGATCAACTGCTTGTTGGTACTATAGCTAAAGACAAGCAGCATTGGTGCACATTCAGTATTACTAATTTTTTTTATGCAAAGATATTTTACTTAAAAACTGACATTACCTGTAGTCTAGCTCACTGAGCATGTGTCCATCTTTCTGCCAACTCATCATGGGTGTAGGCACTCCTGTAGCTACGCATCTTAAGGTAACTGGGTGACCTTCAACTACAGTGTAGTTTTGCATGCGATCAATGAAGCGTGGAGGTTGCATTTGCTCACGTTCTAAAAAATTAGAAATAAATACAAATGCCTGATCTACTGTGTGAAATTTCATGGTCAGTTTACAGTGTATCACAAATGGACTCAGTCTGTCTCGCTACACATGACTCTAGATGTGTAAATGCCCCCATCTTCTGCTTCCTTCTTTCAATTTCTTTGCACCTCCCCACCCCACCCCCCACCACCATCACTATTCCGCTCTTCTCCCTTTTTTCTCTAGGTTAATCTGCATACAGCAAAGTATTTAGTATTTTCTCAATTAACATACTCTCCCTTAACTCATTCAGCTAGTTGTCATTTTCACAATGAAAGATAGCAGCAACAGCAACAACAATCTGCAACATTCCTGACACGCTATCTCTGATCACTATTCATTCATCATTTGATGTCACTTTCTCCTCTTGTATCAATGTCTACCTCTTGCTCACCTTACATTTTTCTCCCAGTATTATATTTATAGGAGTCACCATGGTGTAGCAACTAGGCACTTGCCTGCAGATCTAAAGATCATGAATTCCTTTTTTTTTTTTTTTTTTCCTGTTTTTTTCCCTTCAAATTGTCCCAGGTCAACCAAGCTTTAAATGGGTACCAGCGAAAGTCATGCGAAGTCAAGGTTGCTGGTGTGATGACCACATCAACCACCGAGTGCTAATTGGTTTTAGGTCTAAAGCTATATGCCCAATACTCCTGACAGCATGGAAATAGGTCCTTTACTGACGTTTGGCTAAATAGCACTGACCTAATGACAGAACTCATTTACCCTTACACAAAAGAATATATGCAAGAATGAGTACTTACCGAGAATTCTGACAGTGACAGTGAAAGTATCCTCGCCTCCTCTGTTCTTGGCTACACAAGTGTAAGTGCCAGCATCATGGCGGGATGCAGAGATGATGAGAAGGGAGTTCACTCCATCTTCATTCACAACAATCTGTTACAGAAATATATCCGTTGTACATCTACAAACAATTTCTTCATAAATGGTAAACTAAATTTTTTCTTCATGCCATAATCTTAAGTCTACTTCAGTGTGCCTCTTCTTCTACTACTGACTTTCTAGTCACCACAAGTTCATCATGCCTCTTTTCTCAACAAATGAGCAAAGAACACTGTCTCTTTCATACTGCTGTGATTCATGTTTTACTTTTATCAGCCCATTTTAGGACTTTCATTAGTCTTTTCGAGGACTGTTCTTAGCCTTTTTCCAGGTCTTTCTTCAACCGATGTTGACTTTAAAATAGAAGACAGCTCAAACAATATACAGAATTAGGTAAGACATAGAAAGAAAATAATATGTAATACTTTCTCGTATTCTTTTCCTTCTGTGTTTATCCTCAAAAAGGAGACTGGTACACAGTGCTGTTGTTTACAGCACCGTATCTGCACCATCTTATCAGATAAACCCATAAGTGACATTTTATTACATTGTGAGGGGAGAGGGGTGCACCCCCCCCCCCCCCCCCCAACAGGGCCTGAAACCCACATGGAAAATAAGTTAATACAACACTCTATTGAAGATCAGACAGTATTATGTGTATACAATTCTGTAGAAAGAAGAACCACTGACTTGTTACATTATGGATTGTTATCGAGCCTACCTTGTGGTTGTCATCTGGATGAACTTGGACTCCATTTCGGTACCAGAACAGTTCAGGGACTGGGCGTCCGAGGACCAGACAGTCAAGCCTGATTGGGTTGCCTTCCCTGGCTTCTAAGTCTTGTGGAGTTTTCTTAAACTCTGGTTTAGACACAGTCTCAAACACACCACCTTGGTCTTCAGAACCTCTCCGGGAACTTCTCACTGAATCCCTGCAATAACAGTGAAAAACTGGTATCACACACAAATTATGTCTCCCCCCCAAAAATTTTTTTTTAGTCAGCGATTTTCTTTTTCTGCTGTGTTTGCCCTTATAAAGGTGGCTAGAATGTTCTTTTGAAATAAAATTTAAAAAGTCAAATAAAAACACATTTGTTGTGCTGCAGCTAGGCTGTGACATTTTTGCCTTTAAGAACAGCACATCTAATTTCAGCAAATCCCTAATTGACAGCCTTTTACAATATGCTTGTTAGGGAGCAGTGACTCTATTCCCCCCTCCCCACCAAAGGGACCCTGGAACTCACAAAAAGAATAGTCCTGGCATTTAGGTTCATCATGAAAAGTAGAGCTTCTTCATCTATAAAACAATATCTATGTATGCATGTGGGAAACAACAACAAAATGAAATGTACATTACACTCACAGAAGCAAATACATGTAACTTATTTTTTAAACATATTGTTAGATATCTTTGTTTTTGCTGACTAAAAATTATATAAAAGAAGGCAAAGGATAGAAGGGTTTGGTGTGAATTAGTTGAGGGCCTTTGCTTCACTGAGGGATAAAGGGTTTAAAAAAAAAAGAAGAGGAGGAAGAGGAGGAAAGGGAAGAGGAAAAAGAACACAATTACAAATGATTTACTGATTGGTAATCATGCAAAAAGGTCATTCATGGTTAGTGCATCCAATAGAATGCAAAGATTCATAGTTAACAAAACAAAGGAAACTTATAGGATACAAAGATTTCATAGTTAACAAAACAATTGGCATACCATAGGATACAAAGATTTCAGAGTTAACAAAACAATGGACATACTACAGGATACAAAGATTTCAGAGTTAACAAAACAATGGACATACTACAGGATACAAAGATTTCAGAGTTAAAAATACAATAACATTAGATATTCAACAAAGCTTCCAACAAACCTGCGAAGGATCCTCTGAAGAGTCTCTGGTGAAACAAAAGATGTGGCATCAATGTTTCCTATAGCATCAATGAACAGCTGACCGGAGCAGGTTGTTTTTCCAACAGAGTTGACTGCCAGCACTGTGTAGTGACCTGCGTCCTCAGCCAAGCCTGTTCGGATGCGCAGAGTGCAGTAGCCATCCGGGGTGTACTTGATGTCATGACGAGTGGAACGTCTGACACGCTTTCCATCTTTATACCAGGCGATCTGCAAAATCAGAGGCCATTTGTAGAGGCATTTCTGACACATATCTCAACAAGTGAAGTCAATTATCTAATATATTTCAATAAATGCTGATTTTATTATCAAATTCACTTCACACACACACACACACACACACACACAAAGTTTAATTTTTTATCTAATGCATTTCATCAAATACTGAAATTTAATCTTTATCTAAAGCATTTAAAACCAATGTAAGATTTCTCTTTATAATTTAAAAAAAAAAATGTTTAATCTGTAACACATGTCATTCATATTGTAACCTTTATTTAACATATTTCAGTGTAAAATCTCTACTGAACATGTTTCAACTGATGTTAAACCTCTACTGAACACATTTCAATCAATGTTAAATCTTTTTTCTGAATACATTTCAACTAATGTTAAACCTCTACTGAACACATTTTAATCAATGTAAAATCTTCTTTTGAATACATTTCAATTATTGTTGACAGGTACACTACTAAAAATTAAAAGCAAAACCAGAAAATGAGCAGAGCTTCAACAAGAAATTAAATATTACCTTTGGTCTGGGTCTGCCGGTAACCTTGCAGACAAAAGTCACATCTGAGCCTTCAATGAGGCGGAAATCTTTGAGTGGTTGAACAATCTGTGGTGCCTGAGCATGGGCACTTGACACACGCTCCTCAGGCTGGTCAGTGTCATACTCTGTCTCAGTCTCAGACTGCAGGCGGACCTTGCCTTCCCTGTACTCTATCTCATCCATCAGCCTTTTCTCAAAGCTGGATACTACAAAATGCTGGAAACAGAAATATGTACATTCATGATATGGATGTTAAATTAACACTCTGTTGAATACTGAATTAAGAATCACATCACAGCACTCGGGACACCCCCATAAGCACTCCATTCCCATTTTTAGCAGTAAGCTAAGAGTTAAAATTCTGATGGTACCAGTAAATGTCTGATTGTATATCTGTCTCACCTTCCCCCTAAGTGTCAAGCGTCGGCCAGATCTCCTTGTAACTCCTGGCAGTGCCATTCTCCTCAGACTGTTATGATCTATCTGTGCCTCGGCACAGTTCACTCGCTCCCAAAGGACCCTCACAACATCCATCTTAACATCCAATTAACACTTTAAGAACCAGGAGATATTGCTGGACATTCCCCAGAGTAAAAGTAAACATAACAAATGTGTAAGAGTGTAACTGTTACAGATGCAGCAACAAACAGACCAAGTCAGATATTAAAATAACCAGCCATATTTCCACAGCTAAACATCAGTCACATCATTCGTTGCTTGAAACAGAAATAGGTACACTCATGAAATGGATGCTAGGATGATTGGTATAGATGTAAATTAAGTCTTGAAGTGCTAGGAGATGCAGCTGGATATTTCCAAGGCTAAGGATGGAGACGGAGCGTGTATGGGAATGCCCTAAGTGCTGTGATGTCAATTCTTGGAGAGTGTATTTGAATGCCCCAAGTGCTGTGATGTCAATTCTTGGAGAGTGTATTTGAATGCCCCAAGTGCTGTGATGTCAATTCTTGGAGAGTGTATTTGAATGCCCCAAGTGCTGTGATGTCAATTCTTGACTCAGCTCAACTCCCAAAGTGATGATAATACCAGTGAACATAAACAATGTGTGAGAGTATAAATGTTACAGATGCATCAACAAAGAAACCAAGTCGGGGATTAGAATAATTAGCCATGTTTCTATAGGCTAAACATCAGTCACATCATTCGTTGTCTGGTGCACAGGGACACTACCTGATCACAAAGTTCATTCATTCATTGGGACTGAAAGAGTTAATGATAGCTGCCCAAGTTCATATATCATGAATACAAACTATCATTTCAGAATAATTAATTATTCATCACCATCATCATGTAGTGGATCCTTTACAGAATGTTCCCCCCATCAGGGAAAGATTCTTGGTTCCCTTGCCAGTTCCTCTACTTCACTATTTTCATACCAAAGATGTCTTTAACATCCATGTCCACTTTCAGGTTGATCCAGACCTGCCTCTTCTTCTGGATACCAAGCCTTCAAATGTTTTATTCTTCTAACCATAGCAGTATTCAATATGACTGAAGTAGGTCAGTTTAGCAGCCATTATACAATTTATGAGTTAGTTTTCTTCAGGTTTCAGATCTTGATGAATATGAATACAAGTATTTATCTATTTCATGACCCATCAACACGTGGATGGAAATTAGCATGAGCGGAACAAAAATAGAATAAGATAAATATACATACATAACTTACAGGCTCAACACTTATCCTCCTTTCAACACTCCTAGACACACTCCTTGAAGGTCGTCTGTCTATCTGTGGAGGATATTCATCAAAAGTGGCTGGTTTCCTGGTCTGTTCTTCTTGCAAAAAGCGTTGGACTGGAGAGATGTCTTCCTCCATTGGTTCTTGCACTCGAGGTCCTGTAACATTAAATTATAAGTGGGCATTAAGTGATTATCTAACTTTTGGAACTATTTTTTGCTGTTGTTGTAAAACTGCCATTACTGCTTGTATTTACCTCTTTGATGTGTAGGTGGGGTAAGGCTGGGGGAGGGGGTGTCTCTGAGCCTGAGGGTTTGAGGGCTACATGGCAAGTGCTGTGGCCAAGAACTGTGCAGCTAGGATTTTATATTTGCTCCTGACAGAAAAAAATCCAAAACCTTACTGAGGATATGAACCCAGGTCTCCTACACGAGAGCCCTTTGCTCTTAACTGTTCAGCCAGCTGCTCCTCTTTCTAAACCATTTAGTAATTAAATATGATTAAAGTATAGTTTTTATATTCCTTTTTTTTTTTGTTTTTTTTTTTTTTTTTTGGTTAACAGATCTTGTCACAATCGAGAGCAATGCCGACTTGTGTGAGCGGTCATACTTCATCTCAAACAGCATTTATCAATTCACGTGCTGACACACTTTCATGTCATGACTAAAGGCTGTTAAGAATCTTCCCTCACTATCTTTAGTTTACATAAATCTTTCCAGCTGCAACAAAATATTTCAATTTTTCTTCTCATATGTAGGTGTCCAAGGATCTGATTTCGTAAAATGTCTTCCCTCCCTCCCCCCCACCCCCTTTTACATCCATGACAGTCCTTTGTTGTTGCCACTTTTCCATCTGTCCAGGTGACAGTAACTAAGACTCTCCATGATAGTTTAAGAACCTTTTATATAACATGTAAGTTTTTTAATTTAGTGGGTTCGTGCACAAAGTCACACTGTAAAACAAACTGAAATATCAAGACAGCACTCACCTTCATGAATAACTCTGCCTGTGGTGCTAACCTCCCCGGCAGGGTTCATGGCTGTACAAGTGTACTCTCCTTCATCGTCTGGGTGTGCTCTAGTGATGATTAATGTACAACGTCCGGTACGCTCATCAACAGTCACCTGGTGCCTGCAGGACAAGACAATGTTTTTTTCCAGTAAACCGTTTAAGACTTAAAGTTCTATAGGGTTTTTTTCTTTAACATGTTTTCCACTTACTGCAGTGGTTTATCCATGTTCCACTCCTTCTGTCTCACCAAGCTGTTTCAATAAGATATCAAACATTTGTTGACTAAAATCCTGTGTGTTCCAGTTCAATTCAGCAAAGTTATATGGTGTTTATTTTCAGGTTTCTGAACAAAATAATTTGTTTACTAAAAAGAAGAGTTGCCTAGAATATAAGTTGTTACGTTGACAATCATGTTCTTTCTGATGTAGAAATATCAGATTAATTTACCTTGCAAAAGCTCAATTCTTCCCTTGTCATTATTACTACTAATATTACAATTATAACTGCAAATACTACAATTATAAATACTTGTCCTTTTTAATTTTTGTAGGAGTTTGTACACTAAGCTAAAAGTCTCATTGTGTGCTTTGAAAAATATCAACTGGAACACAAATAGACAGTTTCACAAGCAATGAAGCTATTCCTTAAATGTAATTAATTAATCAATTAGTCAACAAGTTGATTGAACAGCCTTAAAAGTCTATGGTTAAGCACCAGCAAGGAGATAAAAATAATAATTTTGACAGCATGCATCTTCCCTGTGGCTACATACGGATGTGAGTCGTGGACTATCTCTCAGTCCTTAAGAGAATAGGGGCTTTTGAGCTGAAATGCTATAGAAAGATTCTCAGAATATCTTGGACAAAGAAGATGAGAAATATTGACATCTTAAAAGATCTGAACATCAAGGAAGATTGGCTAATAAACAGCATCCTTTCTCGAAAGCTGAAATATTTTGGTCATATCAAGAGCCACGACGGATTGGAAAAAATTATAGCAGAAGGCATGGTACCTGGAAGGAGGGGCAGGGGCCGACCGACACAAAGATGGGCACAGGATATAAGTGACTCCTTGAGTGTGAAAGTTCATGAGGCGGGAGAACTGGCAAGAGACCGAGTTTCTTACAGGCAGACTGTGATGAGAGCGACATTCTGCAAAGGACCTGCTACATGATGATAAGTCAACATGTGACCAGATAGACCAGATGTACTGTCCAATGACCAATCCATTCCTTACCTTGGCCCATCTAATACAGGCTGTCCTGACTTGGTAAAGATGACTTGTGGGAAGGGTTTGCCCAGGACCCTGCACTCCAACTTGATGTTGGTTCCCTCCACCATTCTCACATCAGGCAGACGCTGCACAAATGATGGCGGGATGTTGGCTGGTGGTGGAGGTGGTGTAAACTTTGGAGTGGTGGGCGCTGGTTTCACAGCTTCAGGAGTGGGTGGAGGTAGCCGTGGTACAGTTGGAGCGGCTGTGAACACTGGTTCAGCTTGTTGAGGGGACAAAGGTCCAGCTGAAATTCAAAAATGTTTACATAATAGTTGTACAGATGATGTAATAGTTACATTAGCAATATTTATAAGTAGGTGTTAATTTCATCAAGTTGTTTCAGTTAGATTACCTAAGAATGTGGTACCTGACAGTGTAACATTCGGAAATGAATGGAAGCGAAAGTCATACTTCTCACTGTGAGACTTCCCAGTTCATGTGATACTTACTCATCTATTGTTAAATTTGCATATAAGTCTAAACTCAGTCAGCTCAATATTATTACAAAGGAACCTCCCTTACCCTCCCCCACCACCTTTTTCACCCACTTTCTTTCCATCATCTTGATTTCAGGGCAGTGATTTTTGGAAGTCCAAGAAAGGAAGGAGGACTTGTGTACATATTTTTCTTCTTCTACTGCTGCCTTTCAGCTTCCAGTAGAGCACAGGCCCTGATTACTGAGGAGGGGATACAAGCACTTGAATGGTTCTATGTGCATTGGAGATCATTTGTTGACTAACTTACTAATTTGACTAACTAACTTACTAACTTTTAGTATTCTTTGTTTTCCTTACAGGCTCCGATAAAATACAGAGTGTCATGGTGCACAGGTTCAAATTCCCTTGGCAGCTAGAAATCTTATATAGCAGACTAATGCCAATGCTGTGTCTTAAAATGAAAGGGGATACCAAAAGCAGAAAGGCAGCAGACTGGAAGCAATAGAGATGGCCTGTGAATGCCTTTTGTGTCAAAACTAGAAATGCAGCAGACTGGAAACAATGGTGCTGGCTTGTGAATGCCTTTTGTGTCAAAAGTGAGATGAAGAGGATGTAGAAAACAGAATTTAGAGTGATGCTGAAGTAAATGTCAAAATCAGAAGAAAAAACTCATAAGAACAGGAATATGTTTAGTACGTGAGATTCAGGCTCCCTCACTCTGAAATGTTTGCTAGTGTTAAGGAGTTTGTAAACTGCAATAAGAATCCTTCTTGACTGAACTAAAAGTGAAGACTGGTGCTTCTATGGGGATAAAAGGTAAACTAAAAGACTATTTCATGACACAAGATGTACTGGGTACATGGAATCAAGTGATGTCACTTAAACAAGCCCCCCCCCCCCCCCCCCCCCCCCCCCCTTTCCAAACAAAACATTCACCTTGATTTTAGTGTAAGCAAATTCTTTAAACATTCATCACCAGCAATCACCTTAATCATCTTCATCATCATCATCATCATCATCATCATCAGTATCATCATGTTGTGCCATGAATACACTATACAGGGCTCACAGTATAGTCCTTCATTCTGTTCTATTGTGGGCAATCATTTCAATATTATGAATAGAATTCAGTCCAGCATCTTTGGCCTCTCTCAGCTATGTAGGGCATCCTTTTTTCCCTTAACATATGTTTCCCTGATTTCAGTGCCTGTCTAGTGATTTTCTTTCTGCCACTTCTCAGGATCTTTTCAATACAGTGCCACCTTCTTCGCCTTATAATTTTTTATACCCGTGGTTATCCAGACATTTCCCTTTTTTCTTCCCGTTTCTTGAATTTACTTTAAACATTACCCACAATTTAAAAACAATTAACAGACATGCTCTGTGAAGAGTGGTAAGCATCACTTCAGAGGTCCCGGGTAGTTAGCATCCTTTGGATATTTTCTCCAGGTCATACATGTGTGTTGGGAAATGAGCAGGCAGAAAGACTGGCCAGTTCTGCACCACTTGGTGGTGAACTGATGTATGATAAGCTAGAAGTTCTGGAGACCCTTTGGGAGCAAGTGAACAGTGCTGGAGCAAAAATAGATCATCATGGTCTGAGGAGAATAGCGCTGCAGGGAGTTACTAGGGGATCTGGCCGACACTCAAGACTCAAGAAAAAGGAGAGATGAATATACAATCAGATAGTTTACTGTTACCATTGGAATTGGAACTCTTTACTTACTGCTGAAGATGGTGAAGGAGCGCTTATGGGGGTCTCCCAAGTGCTGTGATGTTGATTCTCAATTCAACATTCAATCAAAACAATTAAAAGTGAATTGCAGGGCTCAAGTTACAACAAGAAGAACAACTACTGGTGTAACTTACGCTCAACAAGAAGACTGGCTTCTGAAATGGTTGATCCCTCTGCATTGGAGGCTACGACCTTGAATTTGCCAGCATCCTCGGGGAAGACCTCAGCGATGGTCAGACGGTAAGTCTTATTGCTTCGAGACAGAGTGTAGTCGGGGGAGCTGGAAATTTCAATTCCTTCCCTGTACCATTTGACAATTGGCTCAGGGTGACCTTCCACATTGACCTCCAAAATTACAGGTTCTCCTTGCTTACAGAATATGTCACGCAAGGGCTGGAATAGAAGATGATTAACAGCGGTAATTTCTTATTGTTTGTACATATCTATCCAATAATACAAACATTTAAGTTAACAGCTACACTTTGACAAGCTGAAATACTTGACACTCAGGTTGAGATCTTAACTCTCAATGAGTAAAGAGTTAAATGGTAGAACTGGAAATCAACTTGTTTGGGGCTTCCAGCAATTTCCTCAAGTTTTGTCCTGTTACTAGGTAAAATGATAATCTAAATCTGCTCTGTAATTGAGATAATAGAGACAACAAAGAGGAAGTGACCACATCAAATTAGAAGGTTGCGTCTAGTATTTAAAATGAAAAGAAAATGGGGGGAAAAAAAAGAACGCATAGTCATCTGATGTCGTATTTGTATTAGTTGACGGGAAAGCCTGTATGCCTAAAAACTATCAATGACCTAGATGCAAAAGAACTGTCGTCTGATTGGTTGAACCCAAACATATTCTTTAATGCAATTTAAACTATTTTGTGCACTAAATGAACAGATTTTTAATGTCAAAAGTATGTTCTTTTCAGTATTATTTTTTTTTAGTAGTTTTTTAATTTAGCAATGAAGCATGTGTCATGTATTTATACTAACACTGTCAGGTTAGTCGCAAATATACACATGACTCCCCCCCCCCCCCCCCCCCCCCTTTTCCTTTTCCCCCCCCCCCCCCCCAATTTTTTTTTTTTTTTTTTTTTAATAGATAAACAAGTGAGAAGAGGTGCTATATCACTATTGTGTCTACGCTGATAACTCTTGTCCAGGACATGAGGCACATTGGGTATATGGTGCCAGCTGGATACTACTACAGGTTAACCAGCATGTTTTGGATTATGTAGTCAATATTACCTTTACTTCCCAGATTCTTTGCTGGTATCCATTTTACACTGAAACAGGAAGACTAGGTTACCCCCCCCCCCCCCCCCCCCCCCCCCCCCAATCCTCTTCTAAAGAAAGACCGAATCAAATGACCAACATGCAAACTATCTAGGCTCTAATATGGCTCTCAGTAGATTTATATATAATTGTTTTTTAAAACTAAAAGTAGTAAAAGCAAATGAATATGTAATACTGCCGCAACATATAGTAGAAATTTAAAGGTAGAAGTATTTCAAATGAAACACAGCTGTAAGTTTTTTTCTTTTCTTGTTTCTGGTGTTACCTGAGTAAACACAGGCTTGACTTTGTCTGTGACAAATGGTCGACGTGGAGCCATGTCAGCTGGCATAGGTTTTGGTGGCGCCCCAAAGAGAGCCACCCTCTTCTCAAATAGGGGTAACTCTGGATGGCCATCGATCTGCATTTCCAGCTCCTCCCTGAACCTTTCTTCAGCCACAGGTGACTGGACTGGTGACAGTGGAGATGCTGTGTGGAGGGGACACAGAAATCATGTTAGCACTATATTGTGTTATATCAAACAGCTCTTTGGATTTCAAATGAGAAAAACCTGTCCACAAAAGGATACATATAGCACAACATGTATGACTCTCTGGAATGATGTTGGCCACACTGCTCACTTTGTAGACAGATTTACAAAAACATGGTTATATACCCATGGGATGCCACTGGCATGAGATGATCCCTTTACTGGTACTACTGTGTGACTCTAGATTACACACAATTTGATTCGTGTGTTTTGTTTTTTGTTTTTTAAGACAGTCATATAATTGGGTCGGCTCTATGGCTAAGTCGAACGCTTTGTAATGCCGGAATGCCAGGTTCGATCCTAGCTGCGGGCCCTGCGCCTTGTGTTGGTTTTGACAGTGGTATCAAGAAAGCAGACTGTCCATAAAGCAATGGCAAACTACTGGACATAAATTTGCCTAGAAAAACCACACAACAGCCAGTGCTGTTAGGGTTGGTTCTGCAACGTCCTGTAAAGGATACGCAACTATAATTGGACCAAAACTAAGAACACAGCACTTATATGCAAACTATACTGGCAGGAAAAGTCAATGGCATGCAAAGAAAGGGTAAGCAGTGATTTCAAAGGGAAGACAAAGATAAGGATAAGCAGCAGTATATTACTGAGCCACAAGAGGGAAAGTTAAAAAATGGAGACCCATTTGGAGTAATCTTCAATGTGGAGATAGAATCTGATTGCTTGCTTGATTAACTGACTGACTGACTGACTGATTGACTGACTGACTGATTGAAGCCTACATTTTTGGAAGATTTAACTATAAATAATAAATGTGATGTGGTATGAGAAAACATCCATATGTCAAATGTAATGCAGAGAGAATATCTGCATCAAAAATACTATTACTGGGGGGGGGGGGGGGGGGGGGAGGGGGGGGGGGGGGGGGGGGGGGGCTACCAACATAGGCGCTACACGTGAAAAGATCTGAGGTGAAAGCAAGAGGCGCCCTATGAGAATATGGATTAATAAAATTAAAAAACTTCTACATCAACACGGAATGACAATAGCCAATGCTGCCCATTAAGCAATGGAATGCAAACTGTTAATCCCCAACAATACTTAACAGCAGAAGTGGACACTGATGAAGATGATTACTGAAAAACAGAAGAGTCCTTAGCATCTGACTACTCAACTGTTTTATTAAAGCTTGTTTCCTGTGTGGGTTCCGGGGCCCCGTTGTGGGGAAAAATGAACAGACCCACTGCCTCCCCAACAAGCACATTGTAAGAGTCGACTAACTTGTGGTTTCCTTTAAAGTCAGAGTACATCTGCCTGACAGGCAAGGAACCAACAGTCTGCATACAAATAAGTCAGATCTGTAAAACAGATGTGCAAATAACACTCGGGTTCTGGAACAAGTCTAAAGTCCCGATGTGGATAAACAATCAGAACTTTGCACCGGAGTTTACAGCTGGTGAATGCTGAAGAAGAAGAATAATAAAGCCTGTAATACTGACAATCTTCTTTTCAACAATAAACTTCTATATTCTATATTTGAAATTCAGGGAGAAAGACTCACTGTATCAAACATACTGTCACTGACCACACAGGTAAACTTACGCTGAACATAAAGATATGCAGAAGTACTCTCTGTTCCAAGAGCATTGCTGGCTGTGCAAGTGAACTTCCCAGCATCCTCTGGGAAGACTTCACTGATGTGCAGCCTATACACGGTGTCTGAACGAGAGAGCTCAAAGTCGGGAGAAGAAACAATCTCAATGTCCTCTCTGTACCACTTGACTACAGGCTCGGGGTGACCTTCAACTCTGACCTCGAATATAATTCTGTCACCCTGCTGGGCCTCAATGTTGGTGAGGGGCTGTGGTTGGGAGAAGAAATATTTTAGAGCAGTTCAACACATGTCACCTGAACATTCAGGTGTAATTATACTGTTGGTTAATTTATTTTGGTTAATTAACTATATGCTACATTAAACATTAGAATAGATTGTTGCAATCAAAATGTTACTTTAAAACAACCAAATTTATAAAATCTATTATTTTTTATGATGAAAAACCAATTCATGGAAACAATAAAGTTTCAAAGCTGCAGAAATATTTGGAGGCTGTTTCATAGAAAAGTGATGATGATGATGATGATGATGATGATGATGATTATAGCAGATACATTGTGTTCAGAGAAAGTGAATTACATAAAAGCATGATTGGCACACCAGGTGAAAATAGCATTTGTTGATCATGATAGTGATAATAAGAATGATGACAACGATGATGATGACACTGATGATGATGATGGCTACAATTATTACATCTGAAGAAAGAAAATTTTTTAATATACTGACAGCACATCCTTCCACAAATGAGCCTACTTGTTAAATGTGTGAGAAAATGCATCTAAACTATATTTCAAGGGAAGAAAAATGATTACCTTTGAGAATAATGGTCTGACTTTTTCTGAAATAACTGGTGGGGGTGGCCTCTTCACAAGTTGTACTGGTGGAGGAGAAGGGGCTTTGCTGAAAAGCTCCACCTTCTTTTCAAATGTAGGCAGAGAAGCCGGTTGCCCGTCAATCTGCAACTCTATTCCATCTCTGTATATTTGTTTGGCTAATGTTGGGGGTGGTTCTTTTGGCAGTGGTGGTGCAGGAGCAGCTGAAACAATAGTTGAAATTTCATAAGAACAGGTCTAACCTTGCACACTATGATGGGCCCCAGCCCTACCCTTAGTCACTACTAACAACATACTTGGTATAGTGCAGAATTAGTATCTGCTGCTTTTTCTAAGGCCACAGTTATACAAAGGGAGGGCAAATGGTGCCAGCCCTGTTCTACATGGGCCAATAGACACCCACTGTGTAATATGGTAGACACCCACTGTGTAATATGGTAGACACCCACTGTGTAATATGGTAGACACCCACTGTGTAATATGGTAGACACCCACTGTGTAATTTGGTAGACACCCACTGTGTAATTTGGTAGACACCCACAGTGTAATATGGTCAATATAATACCAGACGCCTTTACTTCACAGAATATTTTCTGCTACCCAATTTTAGACTGAGTCAAACTGAGTAATTTTTAGTAAACCAACTATATAGAGATTCAAACCTATGACCACCAGACCTCAAGGCAAGTTGGCTAGCAACTTAGCTTCCTTGGGTCCCCTTGTTATATCTAAATCTATACATGTCTTATCTCTCTTTTCCACTCTAGCTAGCTAGCTCACCTTCAACACGAACAAAAGCATGAGTCCTGGTGACACCCTCTGCATTCATGGCCACAGCTTCATATCTTCCGGTATCTTCTGGGAAGACTTCAGCAATCACTAGCAGACTTGAGTTCTTCTCTTGGATGATCTGGTAATCAGGTGAGTTGTGAATCTCTATTGTCTCCCTGTACCATTTGACGACAGGCTCAGGGTGACCTTCAAATGTGATTTTCAAGACCAAGCGCTCACCTTCCGTGACCTGAATGTCTTGTAGGGGCTGTGGGTAGAAGAACATGAGTTACAACAAGACTTCATCAATTACTGGGTCACTGGTTTATGAGGTAGAGTGAACAGCTTCCTTTCTGCCAAAAACTACCATTACTGCCTGTGTTTAGCACTTTTGTAATGTGGGCAAGAGGGATCTTTGAGCCTGAGAATTTAGGATTGCCTGGCTAGTGCTGTTGCCATGGACTGTGCAGTTTAGGATTTTATGTTTGCCCCTTGACAGAAAAAATCCTCAATCTTAGTGAAGATATGAACCAGGGTCTTCCACTTGTGAGTCCAGCATTCTAACAGTTTGACCAGCCATTCCTACAGCTTCCTTTCAACATACACACATACATTATACATATATAGAATGTGTGAGGTCAGGCCTAGAGCTACGTGTGATAGCATAAAATCTCCACTGTTAACTCAAATAACATTTTTTTTTAAACACTGAAATCATAGTGGGGGGGGGGGGAGAGGGGGGGCAGTATGTAGGTCAGAGACAGATTACAACAGATTTAAGCACTTAGATTAGATAGACTGGATAGACAAACCTAATAATTTATAAATACTGACATAGTATTTGGTAATAAAAAACAAGAGTATTGACAACAGATGCAATTTTATTCTGTGCAAATAATTTGACAGTCGTTTACTGCATAAATATTTTTTTTTTTTGAATTTAGAAAAAAGTTGACTGCTAACTACAGATTTAAATTTATTTTTATCTGCCACGATTCGTTACCTCCGTCCTGAATTTTGTAAACAGAAAGACATGATTCTGACATTAGGGTTGCCCTGGTAAAATGCAGTTACTTTTCAGTGTGGTTAAATTTGTATTTCAGTTATAAAGGATTCACTTGTTTGATCCATTTATGTAACTGTTACTATAGAATGCACCTGACAAGATACAGTGAAATATGCCAGGCACTAAATTGTGCAGTCTTTTTGTTTTTTCTTTTGTTCAAAATGTTCTTGTTTTAGTACACACAAAACAGACAGCTAATCGTAGTGAGAAAGGTATCTTAATGATAAACCAGAGAAAGACCTGACAGTTATAACTACAGATCATAATTCATCCTGTCTGTACCTGTGTGAACACTGGTTTCCTCTTGTCAGCCACATATGGCTTTTCCTCAGCTGGAGCCTTCTTTACAGGTACAGAAGGCTTCTCCTGTACTGGGGGAGGTCTGGGCTGGTACTGTACAGCTGATGGTGGTGGGCGGGATTCAGTAACTGGCGGAGGAGGCTGCTGAGCCTGCAGAGCTTCATCCCCAAACAGTTTGATCCTAGCTTCAAAAGGAGGCAACTCATGCTCGATCTGCATGTCCAGTTCGTGTCTGTACCTCTCTTCTGGTGGAGGGGCAGCTGGGGCTGAGACAAACTCAGAGGGCCTCTGAAGCTTGGGTATCTTTGCCACAGGCTGCTCATCTGTGACTGGACGAGGTGAGCGAGCAACTGGGGTCTTGGTTGGTGTGACTTGTTCATAGACTGGCCTCCTCTCTGGTGCTCTTATAGCCAGTGGTTGAGGTTTCTCTGGTATAACTGGAGATGTTAATTAAAATCAGTATTAGACTATTCTAAACTAGCAATAATGGGCCAACAATTGTATATACATGGAATATGAATCTGTTGCATATACATGTGAGCTGTTACTGCCGCAACGACAAAGGATACGTAACTGAATTTTTTTAGTCCTAGATAGTTTTACACGTAAAGAAAGTGAGAACTGAAAAATCATAATCATAAAAGCTTTAAAAAGGTCAGTTAAAATCGCCATTGGAGAAGTCAGATTTCTCAGCATTCTCTGACGAAATGCAATAAATAAGAGACCATATCTGGCACAGGCTGGGATTCAAGTCTATGACTAATCACAGATTTCTTGGAATGAAGATAACAGATGGAAAGACAATGTTATATGATATTGAGGGAACACTTTGAAATATCCTCAAAAAAGAATAAAGAAAATTAAAACAGTCTGAATAATTACAAAGGTAATCATATGGTAGATACTAACCCAGGGTTAGGTAGTGCCTTGCACATACACTTAGTCACAGTATAATGAAATATGTTGATCAGGTTTCTTCCTCATCACTTTCTTCCCAACTTCCAGAAATGTGAACAAAATTATTAATTGTCACTTTGACAAACTGGCTTAGAGGTTGGCTAGCCTGAGAATTCTGAGTGCATATCACAGTTTGAAGGAGTTTTTACAACATGTGCAGGTTAAAATTGTCCAATATTTGCAAATGGAAAAGAGTCGGCCAAAAATGCTTCAGCATGAAAGTGCACACAGGATACTGGAGACATCTTGGGCATGAACATAGTCAAGGTGGGGACCTAGAAAGTCTCGTTGGTTTGCAGTGGTGAAAATTTTATCTGTAAATGTCTCCCACATGATAATGATGATGATGATGACGATGAGCACATATAAAAGTCGTGCCATACAACAACTCTCTCTTATGCTGAACTTACCCTGCACATAAAGATGAGCCGAGCAGATAGCCTCGCCTGCTGGGTTCTCAGCCCTGACACTGATCTTGCCAGTATCTTCATAGAAAACTTCAGGAATATATAAGGCATAGATGTCCCCCTCCTGAGAAATCTGGAAGTCAGGAGAGCTGACCAGGCGGTTGCCATCTCTGTACCAAGAGACAGTTGGAGTAGGTTCCCCTGAAACCCGGACTACAAGTCTAACAGGTTCTCTCTCTTGAGCATGGGTGGTCTTTAGTTTTTCAGTGAAGGCAGGTGGGATTAAGATGGCTGGAAAGACAGAAAGTCAATTGTGTAACTAAATTTTAGTGCCCATGATGTTAATAAAATGTTTTTTCAATTGCTTTCATGGCTAAGCAGAACAAAACTGAAGTGAATTTGTTGAATAAAATATTTAATGACTCAGTAGCTGTTTTTTTTCCCTAGGCCCACAACCTGAAGGTTTGATACTCCATCAACTCAATTAGACACCTCCTGGATGTAAATTTGACAAGACAAATTTCTTATATCTGGTTCAATCTCCTAAAAAGTTTATAATCAGGGCACCTGTAATAGATATACCAGGTACTAGCTTGTTGTCTTTAGACAGGAAAAGAATTTAAAACTAAGACAGACACTAGAGATATATTCCAGACTTTGGCACACTCTAGTAAAAATACTTATACCAAAGACTAGTATGAATTTCTAGTTTCTAAACATGTCCATCAACACAAATCTAGCTTTATGATGGAACATAAACCTAGTTACGGCTTGGCAATGTCATGGTTTTCCTGTGTCTCCTACAACAACAACATTAAAGATGTGACTAATTTTTTTTTTTGGGCACAAAAAATTCACTAGTTCCATATTATGTAACAATCATCCAAAACCAGGTTTATACCTAGGATTGGAAAGGACATACTATACTTCTAAACCACTCTGTCCTTGTTCTCAACTTTAGTGTCATGATAGTGAAGATACAGTGTAACTATAAGTAAATTAGTTAATCAAAACCAGTGATCATGTAATCATTAGTCACAAGTTATTCTTCTTCTGCATTTGCCCCCTAGGGCGGCTGGCATGTTGTGGTTTAAAGCTAGGCACTTTTTGGTCCAACACAGCTGTATTCAGCAAACACCTAGTTAGTCACCTTTTTACAACATGCTTATTATGGTAGAAAAGAGTAAAGATCCCTTTTCACGCTTTAGGCACATCAGGTATATGGGAAGAGCGCTTAGACCATCCGCACTAGGTGGGTAATGTTGTCAGCATTATGCCGGCCATCTTTACTTCCCCAGGACAGCTATCCTGGTACCTATATTAGGCTGGGTCGACCTGCGACGCCCCATACCATGATAAAATTCCATGCAGCCAGCAGTGGGTTTTGATTGTGGTACGTTGGGATTACGAGTTGGACTCACAACGCCTAAGCCACGGAAGTCGCAAGCTTATTATGGTGCAGTAGGTCCATTCTCTTCCCCGAACCTACATGGGGAGTTATAAGTTAATCAAAACCAAACAATATGTAATCACTAGTAACAAGTCATAGTTAAAATATCTAACAACTGCCCTACCTCTGACAACTAGCTCAGCTGAGCTGGATGCCTTGCCATATGGGTTCTCAGCAGCACACGTGAACTTGCCGCTGTCCTCGGCAAACACTTCTGGTATGCTCAAGGCAACTCGGCCATTGCGGAAGGAAATCTCAAAGTCAGCCTGGTCTGAGAGTTGTTTGCCCTCTCTGTACCAGCGGATCACAGGTTCAGGTTTGCCTAAAGACCAGCAAGACAACAACGAATAAAGAACTGTCAGGAGAGGATGGATTGCAGACATGTATTTTGTCATAAACAGTTAAGTTAGGTCCAGCTGACAGGTTTTTTTCTTTCAGTCAAAGGATATTCAAGAGACACAATGCCACAGTGGTAATTGTGTTTGTGTACAAGGTAAGTATCATGCATTTTATATCATTCTTTTGCTTACTGTTATTTTTTTGTTTTTTCATTGGCTTACAGTGTAATTTCCCTTTCTTTTTTTTTTTTTATTAAATGTTTTGTGTTTTCTCTTTGTGTTTGCTGATAAAGGCTTGTCATAGCCACTGTTTGTTTATCAAAATGTATACTGTGAACCTGATATATACCTTATGTTAATCCATTTAGCCTGTATTTGAATAGCTTTATTACTGTCAACTTGTCTTGATTTATCAAGAGATGCAATAACCGTCTTAGTGGCAGGTGTTTTTCCCCTATCAGTATGGTTTAAGAGTTGACCCAGCAACAAAATGGCTACAAAATGAGTTGTGGTTCTGACTGAGAAAGTAAAGGTGACTGATCATTGCACCCCATTATGTAATTAGGTTTGTGATGGTCTAACATTTCACAGTGGCAGGATTTGTTCTAGGACTAACCACCTTCACATTGAGAGTGGGAAATTTAATTATGACATTAAATAGGTGTCATTTAGCACTCACATTTGAAATACAAATTACATTTATCATGTGATGCATACTGGCATTACCTTCAAGGTCAAGATAGGAGACTAAAAAATTTCTCATGGGAACAATAAGCAGGGATACATTAAAGTAGCTGCTGCATCTGAGGAGTGAGCATGCATGAGAATGCCAAGTGAGCAGTGCTGTTGATTGTGACAATATAGCATAGTATAATAATTATAATCATCACACAGCAGGTTGGTTACAGTATGCCATTTTCATTCCCGTTAATCTTATAAGGCACCTGATCTTTCATCAGATTCTTGCACAATGGATTCTCTTTTCCACAGTATTCAGGATATGTTATTTCCACCATCTTGTTGGTCAATCATCCCGCCTCTCTTCTGGAACCAATGCTTCACATGCCTGTTCTTTCTAAGTAATATTGTATATGGCCAAAGTAGAGTTTCTGAGAAAGGGTGCTGTTTATGAGCCAGTTTTCTTCTATTAAGTCATTCAGACTACTAATCCATGACAAGATCAAACTACTGACCAGTGACATGATAGACTACTGACCAGTGACATGATAGACTAATGACCAGTGACAAACAAGATGAGACTACTGACCAGTAACAAGATGAGACTACTAACCAGTGACAAAATGAGACTACTAACCAATGAAAAGAAGACTGCTGACCAGTGACAAGATCATACTACTAACCAATATCAAGATAGACAACTGACCAGTGACAAAATCAGACTAGTGAACAATGACAAGATCAAACTAATGACCAGCGACAAGATCAAACAACTGATTAATGGCAAGATCAAACTACTGACCAATGACAAGACAGACTACTGACCAGTGACAAGATAAAACTACTGACCAGTGATAAGATAGACCACTAAACAGTGACAAGATCAAACTACTGACCAATTACAAAATAGACTGCTGAACAGTGACAAGAATAGACTACTGACCAGTGACAAGATTATTCTTCTTACCAGTGATATTTTCAGAATACAAACCAGTGTAGTGACAAGTTCAGACTACTTACTAATAAAAAGTTCAGACTTCTAACCCATGATAATTTCAGCCTACTTACCAGTGACAACTCCTTCAAAGGTCACCCTGGTTCCCTCCACAGCTTGAATACTTCTCAATGGCTGGACAAAGTTTGGAGGGATTGGCACCTCAATAGTCAAGTCCACTGGCTGGAAGACAGGTGGGATGTCTGTGGTCACTGTGGTGGCATACCTCTGTGACAGTGTGGCCCGTTTCTTGGGCCTCACCTCTGTGGTGAATGTGGTTGAGTGATGGCTTTCCCCACCAGAAGACAGGTAGCGGTCTTCAGATGTGAAGACACGGCTCACTGTTCTCTCTGTTTTGGTGACTGTCTGGGTGCTGATGGGAAGTCAAATAAGAATGGATGTCATATTATGTATATTACAGACAACATAACAAACAGCAATGCATGTGTTTCTGACAGCAGGTTGGCACTTGTGTGTCTTTCCAGACAATAGTGTTATATTGTGTAGATCAGGCAAGGTATTCACAGCAGCCTATGGCAAAGGCAAGCAAGTTAAACTAGCAAAACCCGCTCATGTTAAGAGGTCTTCCGCAATTCTCATAGCAGTGGCCATAGTGATATGTAATAAAAAAAAAAAAAAACATACAGAAAACACAACTGATTAATTTACAAGGTAAGGATGGACAGCTGCAGATACTAATCACTACAAGTTTTTATATGATGTGTTAACTCTTTTAAACTGAGATCTGATTCTTGAGAAGAATGTTGAGAATACCTTGGACTGCCAGAATAACCAACATTGAATGCCTGGAAATGGCTAATTTAAGTAGAACATTATATACAACAATGAGAAGAAGTCAATGTTCTTTGGTCATGTGATGAGAAAAGAAACACTGGAAAATATCACGATGAATGGAAAGATCACTGGTAGAAGAGGCAGAGGCAGACCTAGAGAAATGATGGTGGATGGCTTGAGACAGTGGCATGGAGGAATTTCGTCAGTAGAATTGATCCAGAACACCAAATACTGAGACCTGTGGCCTGTGGCACCTCATGAATGCCTAAACCAGTTAGCAAGGCACTTGATGATGACAATTACCTCTTTCAGCAAAAAAATCAACTTACCATACACTTACTGGTTACTCAAGACTTGGTACAAATGTCTTAACTTCTTCTTCTTCTTCTCTCTCACACACTCTCTCTCTCTCTCTCTCTCTCTCTCTCTCTCTCTCTCTCTCTCTCTCTCTCTCTCTCTCTCTCTCTCTCTCTCTCTCTCTCTCTCTCTCTCTCTCTCTCTCTCTCTCTCTCTCTCTCTCTCTCTCTCTCTCTCTCTTCTGCTACATTACCTTATTCTGTCCCAGATGATATTTAACTCTATGTGTCCCAATGTTGTGTGGTTTTAACTCATAAAGACACAATGGTGGACACTCTTAAGTACATAAATTTGGGAGTAGTGTTACAGTAACTAGTATCTGCAATTTAAAGTGTTCATTAGATATTATAGGATATCCTTGGTCATCCAATGGTCACTCACTACACAAATATATAGTAAAATCTTGTTAACATAAACTCCCAGAAGAAGAACCCTCTGTTAACTGAATAAAAACTGTGTCCCAGCAGGGATGTATTTAACTGAATCTTTGAAAAGACATGTTTTTTTTTTTAAAGTAAACTCTTAATTTTTCAGTCCTTTATGTTAACAAAGTTTTCCTGTAATATACAGACAACAAATTTCAACTCTGATTAGAGCACACATTCTTACATCTCAGACTCTGACCATGAAGGATAACCATCATGCACATCCATCGACACTGGAGAAACTTTCTGTAAAGTCTGCCTCGGAGCTGGAATCAGAGGCAGTGGAGGAGGAGTAGCAGCCACTGAGAGCAGAGCTGAACATGTGGCCTTTCCACTGGGGTTCTCAGCGGACAGGGAGAATCTTCCTGCGTCTTCGTCAAACACTTCAGGGATGGTCAGGCGGTATGTGTCCCCATCCATGCTGATGATGTAGTCCTGAGAGACCAGAGGTTCCCCGTTAAAGTTCCAGGTGACCTACAGAAACAAGTTTATTTTAAAAGGGTCAGGCATGAGCATGTAAACACTACTATCAGCATTATTATCATAATCATCATCTCCATCATCATCATCATCAGCATTATCATCATCCTGTAAAGTGCATTTGACAACAGATTATTTGTAAAATCTACTATACTATTAGCGAGGAAAAGAGCTGGTCATTCAACTTTATGATGCCATGATCTGGTATGTGTGAAGGGCCAGCATTCATTCCACTATCTGTATGTCTGTCCCAATAGGTTATTCACTGTCAAGATTGTATTTCTGTGAATATGCTGCTCCACCATAAACATTTCTGGTGACTGCCTAGAAATGAATAACTGAGATTTTCACCTGATGGTTTCCCTAGACTCATTCAGTACCAGTTACACAATGAGTCAGTCTATAATTACAGCAGAACCCAATTAACAAGTGGCCCATTCTGATTTTTTAATGTTTATTTTACACTGCAGTGAAAAAATGCTGGCAACTGTGAAGGGTGCTATAGGTTATCAGTATTTCAATGACACAAGTGCAGTGCATGTGTTCTAAAAGCTAAGTATAAAGTATTCTGATGTGTTTTACAGACTTACTATGCATTCATCTGAAAATGTTACTGCTATCTGATCTTCATCACACCAAGTCATTTACAGCTTTAGAAGCATCAAATAAAAAATTACAAAATAGCAGACTGATTGGAAATGTATGGAACTGGATTTTAAAAAAGTAAAAGAGCAGTCAAGCTTTGATAAGTGATTGATCTGTAATGTACCTCGGACAAAACATAGACAGACAAAAGAATCAGCAAGAAGAGAGAAAAGAAATAGTGAAATAACAATTTCTTCAACATCAGTTACGACATTCCTTATTATATACACATCTGACCCTAGATGTAACCATGTCTCACGTGGTTAAGGCCTTATGAAAGAATGTGTAGAATCTGGAACAGAAAACTGATTATCGTAGGTAGTGATGAGTGAATATGGCCGATACTTGATGCTTAGAGGAAAGGCAAAATAGACATATCATCAGACAGCTACTGACACCACTAGTATTGGAACTCTGCGCTGGCTGCTGAAGATTGGGATGGAGCACTTATCGGAATGCCAAAAGTGCTTTGATGTCAGTTCTTGAATCAGCTCAACTCTTAACCTAGACTGGTGATCATGTAAAATAATGTACAACAACAACACAAACACATCTACAGTGCATATGATGATGATGAAAGAATACTAAGTACCTCTGAGCACATTCAGAGTGCAATGAAGTGTGTAACTAACAGAAAATCTCACCTTAGGTTTGGGTGAGCCGGTTACAGTGCACTCAAAAGTGACAGAATCTCCTGGTTTGGCTGTGACATCATGGAATAAACGTCCAAACTCAGGCGGGCTCTGCGGCACCTGTTCTCGTCTGCTGACCTTTTTCTTCTCCATGGTCTCCTCAGGTGGTGTCTCAACTGTCAGCTTGGCCACACAGCTGGCTTCTCCTGCTCTGTTGGCAGCCTTGACAGTGTAACTGCCACTGTCCTCATCGAATACTTCAGGAATGGTCAGTGAGTGGACATCAGCAAAAGCTGTGATCTATTGCAAAGCAAAGACAGCATGTTTACTGGTGGAATTCAAACATAATACATTGATTCAGAGGTAATAAGGATATTCTGAGGGGATTCTGGGGTTAAGGTTTATTACTGGTGACCAAACAACGCTGAAATTCCAGGGAAACACCACATTAATTGCTCATGTATAAGTATTTACATTGTTCATTTCAGTATCAACTTTATCCCACATCGGACTTAGCCATTAGTGCTCTGATCTGCACCTGAGTATGCTCTAAGTGTTTCTGGGCTAAAAACTCCCATTCTGTTGTATGTTTACAGAAGTAATTTTGTATTTGGAGCTGCACCATGTAATATTCCCAAACAACAGTAGGGACACTGCCCACATTTTAATTAAATATTGTATTCAAAATACTTCTACAAGTCTTGTGACTAAATATCCATAGCTTGAAACAGTAATGTTATCAGTATGTAACAGATGCTGTTGACTTTCTGTGTAATCGCTGGTCCCATCGATGAGGCTGAGTTGTTTACAGAGTTTGATGGTCAGAGTAATTTCAACCAGACACTATTCAGAAAGAAAAAATTGTACTTCTTCTTCTTCACTGTCAGATTTCCAAATAAAATCTCTAATGAAATCTGCAGTCAGTTTCAACTTCATGACAATTATATTCCAGTTTTTATGAAATTAAACGGTAGCTACTATGTTTGTCTACATTCATTAAAAGGCATTAGCAGACTAAAGGCAGAGGTTGCTGTCAGGCTGTGATCTGTTGGAGGGGGGGGGGGGGGGGGTCCCTTCCTGTCTGCCTCTCATTCATTGGTAATTAGGGACACATTTTTTTTAATGAGACTGCATTAACTATATTGTAGTATGGTGGCTAGATGCTTGCCTGCCACCATCAAGCTGGTATATTGTGTTCAGAACTGGCCTTGGCTCCCATGTTGACCCAGCTTAAAATTGTTACCAGGTAATGTTCTGGGAAGCAAAGGCAAACAGTTTGATGTCAGCCAGACTACACATCAAAAGCTGATTGGTCTATACAAATACAGGCCTAGCACTATATACTTGATGTACCAAAAACCTGAAAACGGTCCGCCCATTTTTTTTTTAAACAAGATCAGTACTTGGAAAAATAGCCTGCCTATACTGAGGACTGAACCAGAACCATAGTCCTGAAAGGCAAATGTACTAAACACTGCGTTTCCTTCAATACTGTAAGTTAACGAGTATAGTAAGATTAGACCCCTACCTGGAAGTCTGGTGAGCTTTCAAGAATGTGAGAATCCCTGTACCAGGTAACAGTGGGCAAGGGATGGCCTTGGACACGGCACTGCAAACAGACCCTCTGTCCTGACTTGACATGCTGGTCTCTCAAGGGTTGTGTAAACTTGGGAGCTGCTTCTTCTGCCACTGAGGCATCACTCATCTCACTGACAGCTATTATGGGGAAACAATTAGATACGATTATTATCAAAGCTCTTATAAACAAAAAAATCTTGGCAAATCTGTTATATTAGTAATACTATCTCAAATGAAATGCATTTTGTTTACTCTGAAGTATTCTTCTTCTTTTTCTAGTTTCTCTTTCAAAAAAAATATTGGTTTGCAATATGTCCATTTACAGCAAAGACCAAATATCTCTTTCTTTTGATACAGTCATTAAGTAGCATGTCCTTTGCAGAACTTTGCTCCCATAAGAACCTTCCGCAAAACTTCTCAATGACAAGCAAGATGTCCCGTGTCTGATACACCCAACTGGAGATCATCCGCCACATCCTGTACCCATCTTCCCTTTGGCCTTCCTCTCTTCCTAGGCATATACCCCTCCATTATTGTTCTCTCTAAACTTTTGTGACGTTGCAAATGACCTTCTAGTTAGTAACTGTACTAGTTGGTGGCCACAGCTATTGTCCCTACTGATGAGATCATCTGCCTATCACTGCAGAGTGCATGACCATAGCCAACAACAATCTGTCAGTTGCTATCACACTCCAACCACCACCTCTTGTGACTTAAAGATAAAAGGCAAATTTGGGAAATGTGAATAAGTGCTCTGCCACCAGTACGGACAGCTGATAAGAAACTGTCCGCCTGTGTCGCCGTCCGCACACAACTCCTTAGCTTCAGCAATGTTCTTCCATTTACCCCAAAGTGTTAACTTTGGTACCCATTACCTAGAAACTGGGTGAACCCCGGGAACCGCCTGGTTTTGAACACCGACCGTGGGCTGCAGCGAGTCGCAGCAGGATTTGAAAGTGAGTTTCCTATCGACTGCGCTAACGTGGCAACTCGTGACTAACACATCCAGTGTCCACGTTGTGCTGTGGTTTTCAGTTAGGCTGTGACATCTGCATTTCAGCAAATCCTTTATTAGTCACATTTTATGGCATGGTTTTTAAGGAGCAGTGAGTGTAAACCCCCCCCCCCCCCCCCCTTTTCCCTTCCTTTCCCCCACCTCGCAAAATTAATGTGGGCTGAGAACCCATACAGGAGAAACCAGGGTCATGATCAGCTTTGGTTTGCTAACATTGAGGCAAGCAGTCAAGTGAAAAGTCCCCAACTACATAAATACTCTTTGCTATGTCTTAAGGTTCAGATTACACAACTGAACTCTCTTATGTTATAGTCATCTGTTTGTAGCAGTACAAGCAGTCCGTTGCATTTACTGGATTTTGCAGATCTAACCCCATCATGTTTGTTTTCCTGGCTGTTCATGACTTTTACTAAGCAATTCTATGTTTATTATTTTTCCAACGTCTACTGAGCAGTTGGTGTTCCACACCACTGTTGCCTACAGCTGGAATTAACGGGGTATTTCTGTGTTACAAAATGCTTTCTCAATACCCAAACCCCAGATGCAGATGAGTGGTCATCATCATCAAACAGCAGATCATTTACGCAACACTGCTTCCCTCACAGCATGACTGAAAGTCTCTGTTTCTAGTTAATGCTCCTGCCCTATGTGGTTTCACAGCCAATGCATCTGCAATGTCCTGCATTTGCCTTCACAGCAGTCTGCATGGGACTCGTTTTCTAAAACACTGTGCCTCCACCACCATTCACTCCATGCTGTCATGACGTCTAACACGACCAAAATACCTCAGCTCTTGGGACATGATGTTGTTTTTATGCCAGTTTTGTAGGAGTAGTAAGAGAAAGCAAGCACTTACGTTCCACATGAAGCTTGCATGCTGACTCTGCCACACCTTGGGGATTCTGAGCCACACATTTAAAGAGGCCATCATCACTGGGGATAGCTTCTCTTATGATGAGTGTGCAGCGATCACCCTCAAACAGCAGCTGGATGTCCTGAGATTCTTTGATGGGCTTCTCATTCTTGAACCAGATCACCTTTGGATAAAAAACAGAAAAGAATATTTGCCATGTATTTAATCATTGTCCTGTTGTACCACTGTATGTCATTTGCCCAGTCTACTTCTCTATTTCGCTCTATCCTGTGCCATTACTTCCCTCACAGCATGCCTGAAAGTATCGTGTGAATTGTTGCGCACATAAAAAATCCCTTGGCAGCTAGAAATCGAAAAGAGTAGCTAAACAGCCCTACCCGGGCAAAATTTGGAGTTAAAAATCTACCTAAAGTATTTCAGGATCCTCGCCGGTGCTACGGAGCTCATGCACTGCACTGAGATTCTTGTGAATCAGCCCTCCCTAAGTAAGAAGTAGAACAGAGCACTTATGGGTTACTACCCGTGTGCCATGATGTTGATCTGTTGTTCAAACTTCAAACTTCACACTGCATTTACTTCGATAATATGGATGCAATCCAGTCCTGCACCTTTGTCCTCTCTCATCAACATTCACTCTAGGGTTTCTGTACTAGGGTTTTCTGTACTTAGAATCCTAAAATTTTAAAAACAAAGATAGGTATTCAACAATAGATGATGGATCCATAATCTTTTATTCTATTTAGAGGTACAGGTCTAGTTTATTTACTTTAAACATGTTTTTAAATATTTTTCGTAGAATTTTAAAATGTAGGTTTATTGAAAAAGTAAAAAAAAGCGAGCATCATGAGACAATAATCAAATTTTAGAAAATAAAATCTTTCTAAAATCTACTTTGAGATAGACCAGTCCCTATAATATTGTTTATGGAGTAGGCATACAAAATTTTGTGTTTCTACTCTTTATATTAGCTTAGATTTTAGGATTTCACACACACAGCAAACTGAAATATAGAGATTTGAGAAAACTGACTTTTAAACTTTTTTTTTATCTTAAAAAAGTGCACGAGGTGGTGTCGTTAGTATTAACTTTTCAATGCTAAATTGTTTACAAATGACATACATTTTGTGTGTAATCTATTCTACGAATGCCGAACTTTACAAAAACGAACACATTGAAAAAGTGATATTTTTGTCATAAATTGGGAAAAATGCTGTGTAGTGACCCCTTAATTCCAGTATTTACCATTTCAGTGCCTGTTTGGTGATTCTCTGTTTGTCTCCTCTCAAAATGTGTACAATGAAGCACCAACGTCTCTGTCTTACAACTGTTCATACTAATAGTTGCCCCGATACTTCTCTTAATTTCTTTACCCCCTCTTGAACTCATCCCATTTTGATATTTTGACATTAGTATGTTGGAATTTAAAACTCAGCAGGAACAGCAAACTTGATGAGGAAAGAGATCTGATCCGAGGCACTTATAATGGTGTGAGATCCTGGGGATAGCACAAGATGATTTATGCAGTACTTGGTGTCAGAACATAGCTAGCTAGCTTTTAATTAGTAAAGGTGTGAATAACAAGGAAGATACCCTATCTTAACACTGTTGCCTAGTACATGATGTACGTAGAACCAACATTGCAGTATCTGCTATGTGATAATTTATATATTAATCCACCTACAAATAGGCGTAATACCTGCTGTGTGATAATTTATATATTAATCCACCTACAAATAGGCGTAATACCTGCTGTGTGATAAATTATATGTTAATCCACCTACAAATAGGCGTAATACCTGCTGTGTGATAAATTATATGTTAATCCACCTACAAATAGGCGTAATACCTGCTGTGTGATAAATTATATGTTAATCCACCTACAAATAGGTGTAATACCTGCTGTGTGATAAATTATATGTTAATCCACCTACAAATAGGCGTAATACCTGCTGTGTGATAAATTATATGTTAATCCACCTACAAATAGGCGTAATACCTGCTGTGTGATAAATTATATGTTAATCCACCTACAAATAGGTGTAATACCTGCTGTGTGATAAATTATATGTTAATCCACCTACAAATAGGCGTAATACCTGCTGTGTGATAAATTATATGTTAAATCCACCTACAAATAGGCGTAATACCTGCTGTGTGATAAATTATATGTTAATCCACCTACAAATAGGCGTAATACCTGCTGTGTGATAAATTATATGTTAATCCACCTACAAATAGGCGTAATACCTGCTGTGTGATAAATTATATGTTAATCCACCTACAAATAGGTGTAATACCTGCTGTGTGATAAATTATATGTTAATCCACCTACAAATAGGCGTAATACCTGCTGTGTGATAAATTATATGTTAATCCACCTACAAATAGGCGTAATACCTGCTGTGTGATAAATTATATGTTAATCCACCTACAAATAGGCGTAATACCTGCTGTGTGATAAATTATATGTTAATCCACCTACAAATAGGCGTAATACCTGCTGTGTGATAAATTATATGTTAATCCACCTACAAATAGGCGTAATATCTGCTGTGTGATAAATTATATGTTAATCCACCTACAAATAGGCGTAATACCTGCTGTGTGATAAATTATATGTTAATCCACCTACAAATAGGCGTAATACCTGCTGTGTGATAAATTATATGTTAATCCAGCTCCATGTAGGCACTCTTCAAACGCAGACAAAATTATAGTCTTAAGAAATGCATCGTTGGTTCTGAGATGGACTTATCAGTTGTGCTTTAAATGACAGCCTTTATTAAGTGTGCTCACCTCTGGTTCAGGATGTCCTATCAGGACACAGTCAAGTCTGACCCTTGTCCCTTCAGGAACTTCTTTGGTTGGTGGAAGTTTCTGTACAAACTGTGGTGCTCTGGCTTCTAATTCTGCAGAAGCCTGGGAGACCTCATCTCTGTAACATATAAATAAAAACATGTTTTTGTGTGGTGTATAAACTGAAAGAATAAAAGAGAACATTAACCACCTGTGAAATGAGATGTTTGAAAAAGTCTTCAAGCATGTTTATTGTGGGGCATAAACTGAAACACTTGGTGTCACCAACTGAAAAGAGAAGGCCAACCAAAGAGATGAGTTGAGCCGGGTGATATCTGCAGCAATGATCTCAAGGGCTCGGAATGCTAAAGAAGAAGAAGAAGATAAACTGAAAGAATATAAGAGAACATTAACCACCTAGGAAATGAGATGTTTGAGAAAGGCTGTGAACACAACCAGAAGTGATTGTGTGAGAGCAGAGAGATAACAACTATCGGAACAAAGCCCATCAATAAATTCATTGACAAAAAAGTCTGAAATTGTTCAGCCACATAATAAGAATGAATCCAACAATGCCAACAGCGAGAGTGTACAACATGAAAATGGAAACACCAAGAGGCAGAGGGAGACCTAGAAAAACATGAACAGAAGAAGTCATTGACTGCTTAAGACCTCACAACATTGGCTTGACTACCTATCATCTGTTAAATACAATGCCTAGTGGCACAAAATAGATGTTGACAACAACAACAACAAAAAAGGGGGGGGGGGGGGAGAGAGAAAAGATATACCAATAGGTATTTATTTTAGGATATGTATTATAAAAATCATTTACTTGCTTTATACATCATTTGCTGAGGTATACAGTCTGTTGGTAGTAAAGTTACATAGATGAAATATTTCAACTATTATTTTCTAATTACCACTCTTAATTGGTGGGCATTTGTAGCTTAGGCGTTGCAAAAGCGCTTCATAATGCCGGGGTGCAGGGTTCAATCCCAGCTGCGGACGGTTTGTCTTGCCTGGTTTTTACAGTGGTACCGAGAGCTGACTGTTCCGAAAGCGATGTCAAACTACTAAACATAAAATTTGCATAGAAAATCCACAACAGCCATGAAAATGCTGGGGTTGGTTGAGCAACATCCTGTAAAGGATACGCGACTAACTTTAACTAACTCATATTGTTTTCCTGTTTTGATAGTGATGATGATTTTGATGAGGACTTTGGTTGACGAAGGTGACTGTGATGCCGACAATGATGATTCTGATATTGAGGATGATGATTTTGGTGAGGATGGTGGTTGATGAAAGTGACTGTGATGCCGACAATGATGATTCTGATATTGAGGATGATGATTTTGGTGAGGATGGTGGTTGATGAAAGTGACTGTGATGCCGACAATGATGATTCTGATATTGAGGATGATGATTTTGGTGAGGATGGTGGTTGATGAAGGTGACTGTGATGCCGACAATGATGATTCTGATATTGAGGATGATGATTTTGGTGAGGATGGTGGTTGATGAAGGTGACTGTGATGCCGACAATGATGATTCTGATATTGAGGATGATGATTTTGGTGAGGATGGTGGTTGATGAAGGTGACTGTGATGCCGACAATGATGATTCTGATATTGAGGATGATGATTTTGGTGAGGATGGTGGTTGATGAAGGTGTCTGTGATGCCGACAATGATGATTCTGATATTGAGGATGATGATTTTGGTGAGGACGTTGGTTGACGAAGGTGACTGTGATGCCGACAATGATGATTCTGATATTGAGGATGATGATTTTGGTGAGGACGTTGGTTGACGAAGGTGACTGTGATGCCGACAATGATGATTCTGATATTGAGGATGATGATTTTGGTGAGGATGGTGGTTGATGAAGGTGTCTGTGATGCCGACAATGATAATTCTGATATTGAGGATGATGATTTTGGTGAGGACGTTGGTTGACGAAGGTGACTGTGATGCCGACAATGATGATTCTGATATTGAGGATGATGATTTTGGTGAGGACCTTGGTTGACGAAGGTGACTGTGATGCCAACAATGATGATTCTGATATTGAGGATGATGATTTTGGTGAGGATGGTGGTTGATGAAGGTGACTGTGATGCCGACAATGATGATTCTGATATTGAGGATGATAATTTTGGTGAGGATGGTGGTTGACGAAGGTGACTGTGATGCCAACAATGATGATTCTGATATTGAGGATAATGATTTTGGTGAGGACGTTGGTTGACGAAGGTGACTGTGATGCCGACAATGATGATTCTGATATTGAGGATGATGATTTTGGTGAGAACGTTGGTTGACGAAGGTGACTGTGATGCCGACAATGATGATTCTGATATTGAGGATGATGATTTTGGTGAGGACGTTGGTTGAGGAAGGTGTCTTTGATGCCGACAATGATGATTCTGATATTGAGGATGATGATTTTGGTGAGGACGTTGGTTGATGAAGGTGTCTGTGATGCCGACAATGATGATTCTGATATTGAGGATGATGATTTTGGTGAGGATGGTGGTTGATGAAGGTGTCTGTGATGCCGACAATGATGATTCTGATATTGAGGATGATGATTTTGGTGAGGACGTTGGTTGACGAAGGTGACTGTGATGCCGACAATGATGATTCTGATATTGAGGATGATGATTTTGGTGAGGACGGTGGTTGACGAAGGTGACTGTGATGCCGACAATGATGATTCTGATATTGAGGATGATGATTTTGGTGAGGACGTTGGTTGACGAAGGTGACTGTGATGCCGACAATGATGATTCTGATATTGAGGATGATGATTTTGGTGAGGACGTTGGTTGACGAAGGTGTCTGTGATGCCGACAATGATGATTCTGATATTGAGGATGATGATTTTTTTTGAGGATGGTGGTTGATGAAGGTGACTGTGATGCCGACAATGATTCTGATATTGAGGATGATGATTTTGGTGAGGATGGTGGTTGATGAAGGTGTCTGTGATGCCGACAATGATGATTCTGATATTGAGGATGATGATTTTGGTTAGGACGTTGGTTGACGAAGGTGACTGTGATGCCGACAATGATGCTGATATTGAGGATGATGATTTTGGTTAGGATAGTGGTTGATGAAGGTGACTGTGATGCCGACAATGATGATTCTGATATTGAGGATGATGATTTTGGTGAGGATGGTGGTTGACGAAGGTGACTGTGATGCCGACAATGATGATTCTGATATTGAGGATGATGATTTTGGTGAGGATGGTGGTTGATGAAGGTGACTGTGATGCCGACAATGATGATTCTGATATTGAGGATGATGATTTTGGTGAGGATGTTGGTTGACGAAGGTGACTGTGATGCCGACAATGATGATTCTGATATTGAGGATGATGATTCTGATGATGATGATAAGACACTAGAATGGAAACCCACCCTGGACTTGAAAAACATGGCTCAATGAGAACCTGGCAGACTGAAGTAGCCTCCCCTGCAATATTTCTCACAATCACAGTGTAAGATCCCGAGTCTTCGGTATAAGCTTCTTGAATGTCCAAAGATGAGAAGTTGACTGTGACAGTGATCTGAGGGACAGATTTAAACACATGTTTGCATTATATGTTTACTTGATTAACTATGTCAAGGCTGCATTTATTTTCTTGATTTAAAACACTAACTTTGAAGGTTCATAAGTATGTATGTATGGTGGAAGCTTGCTGCTGAAGATGGGGACTGAGTACTTATGGGAGTGTCCTAAGTGCTGTGATGTCGATTCTTAATTCAACAAGTATGTTTCATTGCCAGTTTTTTTTTTTCAGCCACAAGTAATGCCTGGTGTGTGTGTCAGGGTGTGTAGCCCTGAGTCTCAACTACTGCATATGTTTTCTTTTCCTTTTATAACTGTTCAAAGCATGCTAAAAAAAACCCTCTGGCTTCACTCTCATTAACCTCTTTTTAAGTAGCCCAACTTGCAATATTTTACAAAGATTATATGTCTAAATGAGTCACTTATTAACAGTACAGCCTATATTTACCACTTTTGCAGTGTAATATGCAAATAGTTCTCGGATTGCAAAGACAGGATTGTACACTATTAACCATCTCTGATTCAGATGTTCTTTCACGATGTGATGCCAAACTGTCCAACATCTTCTCTCTTGTGCTTTCTCAGAGTCTCTACCCCTTCAGCTTCACCACTGTTACAACTCTAGTTTTCTTCCTTTTCCCAGATTTCTTTGTGAGTTAATTTCTTTTAAAACATCATTACATTTTGTAATATGTTCATGTTGAAAGAAAGAAAGAAAAAAAAGAAATATAGACAGACAGACAGACAGACAGACAGACAGACAGACAGACAGACAGACGGACAGATGGACAGACAGACAGACAGACAGACAGACAGACAGACAGACAGACAGACAGACAGACAGACAGACAGACAGACAGACAGACAGACAGACAGACAGACAGACAGACAGACAGACAGACAGACAGACAGACAGACAGACAGACAGACAGACAGACAGACAGACAGACAGACAGACAGACAGACAGACAGACAGACAGACAGACACAGACAGACAGACAGAAACAACTACCTTGTACATGTTGTTGGGAACAATCCTGTTGCTGCCCCTGAACCAGATAACCTCTGGCGGTGGTGACCCTGAGAATCTGACCTCCAGATGTAGGGGCTTGCCCTCCGGAGAAGTCACATCATGCAGGGGCTGTTGAAATGTCGGCACTTCTGTTGCTGCAACAGTGATACATGCCATGAATGTGTGTCTTTAACTGATTTTGCTACAGGAAAATATTGTTTTCAAAACAGCTAAAGCAAGAAATTAATAGGTGTTACAAACTTTTTTTAAAAATTATTAAAGGATTTGGTTTCATGCCTGTGGTACTTCAGGCGTGTGGTGATAGGTTTACATTTTGAACAGACCAAATGGCACTTAATGGGTGATGGCAAGCATTGCTTCAGAGGTCCCAGGTAGTTAACATTTCAGACATTTTCTCCAGATCATGCTGATGTGCTGGAAAATGAGCAGGCAGACAGACTGGTCTGTTTTGCACCACTTGGTGGTGAACTGATGTACAACAAGTTAGATGTTGTGAGGGCCCTTTGGAAGCGAGTGAACACTGTGGAGGGACAAATAGATCATTATGGTCTGAGGAGAATAGCGCTGTAAGGAGTTACCAGGGGCTCTGGCCGATGCTTGACACTCAAGGAAAAGGTGAGACGGATTTACAATCCGACAGTTCCTGGTGCCATCAGAATTGAAACTCTTCATTTGCTGCTGAACAAGGGATGGAGCATTTATGGAAGTGTCTGAGTGCTATGATGTTGATTCTTAATTCAACATTCAACAACATTCAATATGTGGGTCATTATCATGCTAGCTACCTTTACTTCCCAGGGCATTTTCAGGTACCAATTTTAGGCCCAGACAACCATGGCAGCCAAGGTGCATTTTTTCTTCAAAATCCAGGACAAGATAATAACACTGGCATATATATATATATATATCCTGACAAAATATATAATAGCATAGATCTATTAGTCCAGATTAGTCACATCAAAGACAACAATTAAGGAATACTAACACACGTTAATTACTTTCTAACTCTTAGCAGACCATGCGTATCCAAACTAAGCTATTTGGGAGTGCCAACATACTCTTAAATACAGAAAAATGTATTCAACGAAGCAGACTGTAGACACTACTAAAACAACAGTGAATGAAAAGAAAAAGGGAGTACATGTCACTGGGAAGAGGTATAACAAATGTATCAGTCTTCACTTAGAGTGGATCCAGTGGCTGAGTAATTGAGACTTTTTATTCATCCATATTCCACCTCACAGTCATCATAATCATTCTCTTCATCATCATCATGTGTGTCATCAAACATCAGATAGGGCTCACAGTGTATTGCTCCATTCTGTTCCATGTTTTGCAATGACTGTGAAATCATGGATGCAGTCTGGGTCCAGCACCTTTGGCCTCTCTCATCCACTCTCAGTAAACTATACTTATTTATTACTAGGCAGGCCATTCCACAGTTAAGTTTTGGATAAGTAAAGTCACTCAAAAGACAAAAATTAGCAAGAGAACAGCTCCTGATATATGACTTGCATTAACATAACAAAAACAAAAATGTATAAGATGCTGAGGGGAAATCAAATGCAAACTCACATGGATTATGAAAGAATGAACTTCTTTATGGCTAATCATCATGTCCCATTGTAAAAATACATGTGTATTACATACTGGAAGACAGATCAAGATGGTACTTGATGTAGATATTAGGGGTGCTATAACTATAACATGAATAGGAGGCTGAATGGGGTATCTGGGATTTGTCTGGTATCTGGGATTTGTCTGGTATCTGGGATTTGTCAGCCCAGTTGCACTTCATGCATGTGGGATTCATGGAGTGAGTAAATCTACAGGCAGAAGCTCAGAAGGGGGGGAAATCAGTACTTATTACTGTTGATGGAAGGAGCTTATATGGTAAATGACTAACAAACAAGCATTTTTAGGAAAGTAATGTAAAGAAAAAATACTTTTATTAAAAAAGCAGTATAGCAAAACCACTAAAGAAAAGAGCAAAACAAAGGAGGCAAACAAAGAAAACTGAAGGGGTTGAGGAATGCATGCTGTGGTGGCTCCAGTGTCTTACGTATGACTGTCAGCCGAGCCGATGAAGAGGCTTCACCGCCTGGGTTAAGAGCACGACATGTGTAGCGTGCACTGTGATGTTGCTGCAGCTGACGGATCTTCAGATTACAGGTACCATTGATCTTGGTGATAACATATTCAGGTGAGTTGTCAATATTGATTTCATCCTTATACCAGGAGATGGTGGGTCGATGGAATGCCAGTAACATGACACTCAAAAGAATAAGGAGTACCTTGAGGGACGTCCTGAGATTTGAGGTTCCTGGTAAACTCTGGTGCAACAATCTGCTGGTGTGTTTCTGTGGGACAATATATGAAATTATTTTTCATTCAAGTCAAAAATTACAAGTGCAATAACAATTAGCAAAAAGGTAACAACTGTAATGGCATGGAAAGTAAAGGTGGCTAGTGTGATATGGTCATTCACAATCAGGGAAATGATTACATCTTATTTCAAAATATGTGCAAGATTCAAGAATGCAGTAGATATATGCTACATATCTTTGCATCATTCTAACTGACTAATGCAGTCACATTATAAATACTTACTAACATATATTACTGGGAGTAAATTGCTTTATACTGTAGTAGTAATGTTAGGGAAACTGTTCAGAAAGAAAGTAAGTAAATTGATACAATAAAACAAGAAGCGACAATTACTAGACACAACCAGACATTAATGAGAAGAAAAAACAGTGTTGTTCAACTAATAGAAAGAAAAAAATACCACTACCATTAGAAAAGTCCTACTGCAATCACCAAACCAATGGCAAAATACCTAATGACAGAATAATACTTGAGGGAAAAGTGGCAGCACAATGACTAATGGGGTTGTATGCCAGCCTAGTGGTAAAACGTCTTAATTATCAGTGAGGTAAAATATTTTGGGTTCCGAGGCAGATCCTGTCTATTTACAGTTACCATAAAATGTATGGGAAGTAAAGGTGGCCGTCAGGATACTGACCACCCCACCTATCAAGTGCAAACTCATCCACAGAATTATAGGGCTAACGACTATATGCTCAGTATGTCTAAAGCCATTTCAGATCCTAATTTTTATGAATGCTTATCGAATTTACTTTGTTTATTTTCACGTTCACTGGCTGTAAACTCCAGCAGAAAGTTATTGATGTTCATCATTTTCTGGACTTTATAGTCTTGTTTGAGAACATGAGTTATGTATGCACATCCGTTTTACAGATCTGGCTTATTAGTATGCAGACTGATGGTTCCTCACCTCTCAGGCAGATGCACTCTGACTTCACAGGAATCGCCCTTAATTAATTAGTTGACTTCTACGACATGCTTGTTCAGGAGTCTCCCCCCCCCCCCCCCACCCCCCCCCCCCCCCCCCCCCACCACCAAAAAACAAAATGGCTCCACAGAATGCACACAGGGATCTTTATAGAATGAATAAACAACTCAGTGAAGAGTTTTCATATTCATAATTTTGTCTACAATGTCAAAGTCTACTGATGTTTCTCCAGACTGCCGACTCCTACCTTTGACAGTGAGATAAGCTGAAGACTCAGCCATCCCAGCTTCATTGGTAAATCGGCATGTGTAACGAGCTGTGTCCTCCGAGAATGTTTCCTCTATTGTCAGGGTAGCCAAGCCATTCATGAAGCGGGTTTCATAGTCTGGACTGGTCAGTGGCAGGTTGTCTTTGTACCATCGGACTTCAGGGACCTGATCGCTGTCCACTCTACATTCAAATGTGACCCTAGATTAAGAATGAAAAGGAAAATTATTCACTTTTGAAGAACAGATGTTCTACCATAACAACAGACACGTTTTTCTTATGTAACAGTAATCTAATAATCAAATGTATTATAGTTTCTTATCTTAGTACAAAGCACAATTATGATTTCACTTCTTACTGTACATGAAACTGTCACCCCAGAAAGCTACAAATATAGCATTTCCATCATTGCCACATTCCTGTAAAGGCTGCAAAACCGGCCTGCCTGTAGTGATCTGTTTTCAGAAGTGTAGTTTAAAGTCACTGGTTCTGTTTGAGCCTGTGCATTATTCAGGAGGTGTGGATATGAATATATTTACTAAACATAACATTTAGAAGGGTCTTCTTGTGAATGGAATGATTTTTTTTTAAAGTGATGTTGAGATTAAATTTTTCCTGTAGCCTAAGTGAAAGAAGTGGCTGGGTAACAGCCTAATTCAGCCGATTCAATTTGGGAGGGGGTGAGGGGAGGGGGCAGGGAATGTATTCTGTTTAAGGCTTTGACTCTATTTCTCACATAAATAAATGTTTTCATGTTATTTCTTTGTAATTTCTAAAACCTTTGATACATTTACTCACATGCTGAAAGTAGATCTTCTACAAGAGATCAAATGGTTTTGTCATCTTATTATAATGTAGCCTCAACAGTTACCTAAATGGGAACTACATTTATTACAATTTGATGTAAAAAGAATAGGGCACCCAAGAAGAATATGTACTGATGACATCGGAGACCTTACAGTTTCACATGGAGGAATGACAATAGCTAGTGCTACCCACTGAACCTGGGCTGCAAACTAATCACCCCCCCCCCCCCCCACCCACCCAATGTTTAACAGCAGTTGTGAAAATAAGGATGATTTCTACTGAACAAATGATGTCTCTGTGAACAAGCAGACTGACCTGTTGCCTTCCATGACCTCGGCGTTCTTGAGGTGTTGTGTAATTTTGGGTGGTCTCACTTTGGGTGCTGGAGCTGCAGCTCTGGCACTGACATCCCTGGGCATGAACTCTTCCACTGGCACAGCCTGAAGGAGAAGAAAACAGCCAGCTGGGTCAGAACTGATAGCATTATAATGTTGCTCATAGTAACAGATTTCCCACTGATTTAGACATAAAAGTTAACTACCAGTTACTGTCTTTATTATACAACTTTTGTGGTGTAGGCAGGGAGGGTCTTTGAGCCTGTGGATGCACGGCCGCATGGCTAGTGCTGTTGCCACGACTGTGCAGGTGAGGATTTTATTTTGCCCCCGACAGAAACAAATCGCCAGCCTTACAAAGGATTCAAACCTGGGTCTCCCACATGAAAGCTCAGTGTTCTAACCATTTGGCCAGCCACTCCTCAGACATAAAGGATTAAAAAAAAAGTAGTCCCATAGTCGATATTGCCATTGGAGTATTTTCTTCGTCTTCACGTTCACTGGCTGTAAACTGCGGTGGAAAGTTCTGGTTGTTCATCCACTTTCTGGACTATGGTCATGTTCTAGAACTTGAGTTTTGCATGCACATCCGTTTCACAGATATGGCTTATTTATATGCAGACTTTTGGTTCCTCATCTCTCGGGGAGAGACATTCCAGCTTTGAAGAAAACACCCTAATTAGTTGGCTTTTACTAGATGCTTGTTGAGGGGGAGGGGGGGGGAGCACTGGGTCTATACTGTTTCACCCCACAATAGGGCCCCAGAATCCACATGGAGGAGGTTAAGGGATGTAGTCCATCACAAACACTGCTATGAGGGGCATGAGGTGTTGGGTTTCTACATATTTCTGGCCACAACTTATAAGATGGGGTGGCTAACTCCTTTCCTCCTCAGCTTTCCTTCCCAGGCAACCCACAAAAGTATTCTGCTTACTAACTACAAACAGAATCCAGTATATATATTTACATTTACATACATGCTGTCATTTACTCATATGCAAGATTTGTACATTTGTGCTTAACTCTTTGAGTCCCAGGGGGTTTAGCATCACAGGCCCAGGGGGTAGTCAAGAAAGTAATAAAATCGGCGCATCATGGGCTTCTAGGTAGGAACCTATGAACGTATGATGCGTTCCTTGGGACTCAAAGAGTTAAGGCACACAGTCTGACATTTTCTAAGGCCACATTCCACATACATGGGGGATTATATTGCCTAAGCCACAATGTAATTTATTAAATCTGCAAAGATTGTGGTATGAAGTAACCAGGGTTATGACTAGCTGGAAGGTTAAGGCAACATTTTTTGATCAGCAGAATGGTGATTCAAACCGGTGCCTATAATTTTAATTCTCAGGGTCACTGAGGGGTCTTCAACATGGAGGTTACAGCAATCAAGTCTAGCCACTCCAGTGAAAGAATAAATAAATCTCTGAGAAATGGCCTTGTTTGTCTTATGTTAGGGGGGTTATGGGTCTGTTCAGCCTCCCCTCCCCACCCACCCAACCCCCCCCCCCCCCCCGAACCTCAAAAAATAGGGCCCTAGAATCCAGATGGGGGTGGAGGGGAGGGATGTAGCCTATCGCAAACACTGCCATTTTAGCATGAGTGTTAGGTTTTTACATGTTCTAGGCCACAACTTATAAGGTGGGGTTGCTACTTCTAGTCTGGTTTGATATTCCTTCATCTTGAATGAGCAAAAGGGACTCTGGCATTTCCAGTCTAGAGACATGAGCTTTTGACCTGGCATGAGATAGAGGTATCAGCCCCCACTATCCTGTGACTGCCAAAGCAAACAGCTTGATTTCTCAACTTCACAATCCCCCTGTCAACACCAGTATTTGCAAAAAAACAGCACAATGACTTTATTATTAGCTGAAAATCACAAACACGAACTCTCAGGAATGATGGAAGCAGTATGGCACTTACAGACTTCCCTTCAAGGTTCTCTTTCAAGATAGATAGTTCATTGTCAGCTTGTTCAAATGACTGCATCATGTCTTGGTACTGGATGACCAATGGTCTGACCTTGTTGACTCCTTGATCACCTGTGCAAAATGGGTGATAGGTAATACATGAGCACAGCATCAATTTTTATTATCTCTTTTTTTTTTTTTTTTTTTGTAGCTCCCAATATCCTAGTTAGTTGCTACATTAAGTCAACTCCTTCTATGCTTAAAGTTCCCGTCTTAAATTATTCTGTGTAAGCATGAAATAATCTAGGACAATCATTCTTAACTTGACTTACCATACAAGTGGGTGGCCAGTTCAGATATCTTTTGCAGTCTCTGCTCCTGGTTAGTTTTGCCTTTCTCCACAAACTTCTCTAAGTTCTTGATCAGATTCTCAGCATCCTGAGGGGTCTTACAATCTGGAGCTTTGTGTCCGATGTCAATGAGCAGCTCACTTCCTTCACGCATCCAGCGTTCACACTGAGGAATCAACATATATTATGTAAAGTCTAGAAAAGACAACAAAACAGGAGACAAGCCCTGTGTCAGCAACAAGTAAAAATAACTGTTCACTTTTTTTTTTTTTTACAATCAGTATTCACAGTGAGGAGTCAAAATATGTTAGGTAACACTGAAAAGAGATTCTTCATTCCATCCCACCCAACAGTTTACAATAACTACTGACTTTTTTTTCCATGATCAGCATGCACACTGAGAAATCAACATATCAATTTAATTAATTTCAGTATAAAGAGGAATATTTAATATTCAGTCAGTCTGCTGTACGTATCAGAAATATGGAGAACAAGTAAAGCATTTACTAGTAAACTACAAAACTTTATTAGCTGATGAACATACAGAGCAGAGGAACTAAAAGTGTATAAAAGAATCACTAATACTGAACTTAGGAGAGCTAAAAAAAAAAAAAGCTCCAGTGAACCAACAAATTAGGAAAAGATGCTGGTGTTAGAATAGGACTTACACTGAGAAGTCCTGTTAACAGACAGACTAGAAACTTGTTTTACTCAAACCCACAGGGCAAAAAAATATAGAGGAAAAGCTAAAAACATTGAGAGGATAATTATGGATAAGGATAAGCTAGTTTGGCTGATGCTGCAGTAGGAGTTGGCAAAAGAGAAAGTTTGGCTGATACAGATGAGGAGAAAGGCTTTATTGTGACATCATCATCTTCTGCATTTATCCAAAGATGCAACTGCACTGTGTCTGTTTACAGCATGGCTGCTATATTTGTGCTTTTTGGCCGACACATCCAACTTGTGAAGGCATTTGCTGACCGGGTTAGCCTTCCCAGTCACTAAGACATAAAACAAAGGCATAAGATGAAAATAAAAAGAAGTAGAATAAGAACAGACCGGGCCAGCTGTAGCGTTATGACAAACAACAGAAAAATTCAGTAGTCACTCACCTCATCTATGGAAGTGAAGTACAGAATACTGGCATCCAGTTGGCTCCTATAGTCTTTGACACCAGCATGGAAAGTGCTCCATTTGTTACGTAAGGTTTCAGCCTCACTTCGGATGTTGTCTGAATCATAATGTTCATCTTGGACCATCAGCTCAGCTGTGCCAATAAAGTTGTGGATTTTCTCCTCAATAACCTGATTATCAACAATCAAAAGTTGTATTAAATCGTGTCTCAATACCATAGCCACAGCCCAAGTGAATATGTAAAAATCTCACAAATACAAAATACCAAGGCCATGGTTTAAATTAATATACAGAATATCATGGAAAGTGTCCAAAATGCAATAGAAGAAATACAAGATGGAATAGTTCCAATATTCTTGAAATAACTTAAATGAACAGAATTTAAAATGATGACATCAGAAATACAATGCTTGCTCCCTGCTTTTGTTTAGTCTTTTTAGGGGCCTATCAAGGAAGCTGGTGTCTTGCGAAAAGAATGACTTGCACCACTTGACAAGACTTAGATCAAGAGCATATCATGAATTTTCTTACCAGGATAGTCAGGTGTGTGAGGTAACAAGCAGGCTGAAAGAATGGCTGCTACCACCTCTCTGAGTAGTGAGCTACTATATGATAAAGCTGATGTGGTGAATCCCTATTCTATCAAACAGACAGTGCAAAATAATAAATAGGGAATTTATCCACTGAATGACAAATACAATGGGCAGGGCAAAGGGGGTAGACATTCTGGAAGATATTTAACACTGAAGGGGAATCAGGTTGCAACTGGTATTATCAACATGTCAACTCTTTGTTGGGTACTGAAGAAGGGCGTGGGGCACAAGTGGGTATGAATGAGTGCAGTGATGTCAATTCTTGATTGATTCATTGACTCCTATGAATGCAGAATCTCTACCACACATGTCACACTAAGGAAATTTGGTATGGGACTAGTTCATCCCATAGAAAACTTTAGTTGCAAAATAAAATACCACCTAGTTCATCCCATAGAAAACTCTAGTTGCAAAGTAAAATACCAATCATAAACAAGTCTTTGAAGGTTTACAGTGAACTGGTTGAAGGCATACACTCAATTTGGACATGAGATAGAAGAAGAGGTCTTCCTGTTTTAAATTTGTAGAGAGACAACAAATAAAATATTGCAGAAATCTTGTCAGAAGAAAGTCCAAAAAAGTATGTTAAGCTTTTGTGTTGTACTTATAATTGAAAAAGCTGTAGCTGCAGAAGCTAGCAAAAAGATCACAAATCAGGTGACTAGATTTTATCAAGGGTGACAGATATGGTTCCATACCAAGAGCCGTTATTCCTTCTATCCATAATATATCGGGCATGTTTAGCATGGGTTGGAGTCAGAACCAAGGTCTGTTTAAAAATATTTGCTTCAGTGGGCATTCAAATCCATGACCATCTTTCACTGGAGACCACTCGTTAGGGGGAAAAAAAAAGTCTTGTATATTACACTGTACCGACTGTAACAGATGACTGGGAATCCTGTACAGATACCATGCTTACAAATGTATGAAGCTTCGGAGGTGTTAATTTGAACATGAATGCTTCAAATTTCATGGCAAGCCAAAATAAGTCATCCAGATTTTTTAAAGATACGAAGGCCTGAAGACAACTTATCGCAATCTTCAGAATTAGGCTGTTAATTTTTTTTTTTTGGGGGGGGGGGGGTGGGGGGGGTTGCAACAAGAAAGACACTGGAGTATGTCATAACGATTGGGAATTTGTATGGAGAGAGAGATCGAAAAGATAATGCTAATAGATTCTTTTCAGCTTTTTGTTATAGCATAGATGGTTGTCAGCTCACAAACTGATAAATGTTGTTGGAAATTGCAAGTTGTAAAGGTGCATGATCAGCCATGACAGTCAGGAAGACACATGATGGTGATGAGAGCAAGAGACGTACGTGCACGCACGCACACATACACACTCTCTCTCTTTCTTATTGGTATTCATAATATGCATATTATTATATGAACATAACATGCTTTACTGGTGTAACAGGCTGGAAACTTACAGTTCAGCAGCCTAAAGATCTTGAGATTTATTCTGGTTTGAAAATGGCCAACAGGCCAAAGGAGAAACATTGGCAGTTAATAGTGTTAGACGATAACACAGAAAAAGTCTGCCCCGCTGGGTTTAAAAGATTTTGTTTAGTTTTTCAGCGACCTATTTGACTTCCGGACGGACCCGCATAACCTACCTAGCGACTGTTGCTTGGCACAATGGGCCAGTCAACAGGCATGGTGAGCATAGGGAAAGTCCGTGGTCTGACTGATTTCAGGCAGTGGTACGTTCATTTGGTTAAGTTTGACGATTAGCATTTTAGATTTTGTGTTCGAGCACGTTGTTGTCGTTAATGGCGTTATTTGTTAACCCCGCTGAGGTGATGTTAAATAAATAAATAAAAATGTGTTCAATGTTGTAATCATAGTTCCAGTTTGTTTCCTTCAGCTTAGGACTTGTAGTTAGTGTGTGTAGTTTATTTGTTGCCTGGCTGATTAGATTTTTCACAGAAGATCTCGTGTCTGGACTAGAATATTTCTGTTTCTAGTCCCCACCTTACGAACTATTTTCCTTTATTTTTTTCTTGGTACTAAAGGACTTCTCCGGTCTAGAACACTGATAAAATACAACTGCTGTGTGTAAGGTTGGTGTTTGGAAAGGCTGAATGTAAGACGGGCCTATGTGCCCAATTTGTAACCCTTTGAAAATAAAGTTGGTTGATTCGTTCTCTCTCTCTCTCTCTCTCTCTCTCTCTCTCTCTCTCTCTCTCTCTCTCTCTCTTCTCTCTCTCTCTCTCTCTCTCTCTCTCTCTCTCTCTCTCTCTCTCTCTCTCTCTCTCTTAAACAACAAATAAACTCCTACCTCTACAGTTTTCTCAAACTCCTTGAATGCCTGTGAGGTCATCTTAGCATTGGGTAATGAAGTTCCATAGTTTCCTCTCCTTGACTGCAGGTGATGATGTAGTTGGTCTATTTCTGAATGGATCTGAGGAGTCCAGAAGAAAACGTGTGATTATCAGACATTTTATTTATGTACATTTCCTCATAGACCACATGGCTTCAACAATTATTCCTCCTTGATTTCTCATCTGCATTAGCTCCTCTAATTTTGCCATCATATTCCTAGCCTATGGCACACAATTTTATACATATAGTATAGAAGACTTTGGTTACAATTTGCAAGATTGGTGGGGAAAGAGCAAGGGAAAGGCAAAGAAATAAATACTTGGATGGTTTAGTTATACTGATGAGACAAGACACAAACACAGACCGTATTCACGAATCCAGCTGATCATCTCAGATAGCAAAACTTGATAGCCTACTTTCACTGGCATGATGATGATGAAATGTTGTGGTTTTATTTCACCAGTTCTTTATGACCTCTGCAAACTTCAATTACGTCTACATGATCTTTATTTGTAAATTCAAGTACTTGGTCTCAGATCTTTATTTGTAAATTCAAGTACTTGGTCTCAGATCTTTATTTGTAAATTCAAGTACTTGGTCTCAGATCTTTATTTGTAAATTCAAGTACTTGGTCTTAACAATTTATTTCCTTTTGAAGAGTATGTCTAATTGTTTTTCACTGTGTTGCTTATTTACAGGCTTATTTGTCTAAATCTATTTATGTACTCCAACTTATTTTTTTTTGAAAACTGTATTTAAGGTCTGAGAATAATTCTTAATATGATAACTTTTCAAAGAAAGAAAGATATCTCATTTAATTATTTTGTGTCTGTTTCCACATGACGAAGATTACGTAAATGTGAACTTAAGTACTGTTTGAAGACTGTGTAAATGCGAACTTTACTATTATTTTTATCGCACTTTTAATGTTTTATTTAATATAATTTTCAATTCAGTCCCTTGATATATTGTCACTTACCTGTCTCAAGTCAAAGTTAAACTGACAGATCTGAAGATTCTGACGCAAGCGTCGCTCTTGTTCTTCCCATGAATTATCCCAGCGACGCTTGGTTTCAGCAGTGACATCCAAAACGTGTCGGACGTCATCTGTTGCGGCGGCACCAGCATCCTATTTGTAAATATTAGCTCGTTAAATGCCAAATTACATATCACAGTATTAGTTCACTATATACATTAAATTAGACATCACAGGTTGAACCCTAACATACTATATAGCAAGTAGCCCACCATAAGTTCAAATAGTCAACAATATCATTATGTGAACCCATTCGTACTAAGCAATCTCCCATAAATTCAATGCTTAAATGTTAACACCATCTCAATCTATAATATATATATAGCAAGCATTGTTCTTCCATAAGTTCAATGATTAACCCCTATATCATATTTTCTGTTCTCCCTTAAACCTTCTCGTGAAAGACCAAGGGAAACCCTACGTAGAACTATCATCAGGGAAGGCTCGCTCATGGGCCACTCAAACATCCAAGACCTACAACGGATTGCAACGAACCGCCATGCATGGAGAGTCATGACCTCTGCCCTATGTGCCGCACTCAACACAAGAGGAAAGACTAACTAACTTAAACCTGTCTGTCATAACACATGTTGTTGTGATGACCAGTTTTACGTTACTCCTTTTTTTAAGAAACGTGTGTAATATTGTGTGTATTCAAAACATGATAACTCTTTCATTCCCAATACATTTCTCAACAGATGACCAATCAGGAACTGATCACACACACACACACACACACAAATCAAAACAGCATACTTTCCGCAAGACCTATGAGGCAGACAGATTTCTTTAGTGTACTATGCCCAAATGTAAAAGGTAAGAGAACACCTTATGTGATGGCTGGGACTCAAGAGGAAATACCAGTTAAACATCATGCATTGCTTGGGACTAAAGGAGTTAATGGGCTTTACTGATACTGTGTAAGTAATATCATATAATTAGAATTGTCAGTTTGTTACCAGAGTCATAATGAAAGCTAAGAATAATACCACTGTACCCAAAAACCCTTGATGCTGTAACTGGCACCTACGGGTAGGCTTGAGCTTGGCTTGACTATCTTCTTCAGTAACAATATTTAGCTAGAAAAACCAGCCAGCTATGAACAAGTTGGTAATGTTTAACATGAGTCAGTGGAGAGCCTAGGCTTTAACGGGGGAGGGCAAGAAAGATGAGGTGGTAGTGGCGGTGGAGGAGGAAAAGATGCATCTGACAGAATGTCTGGTAGCAGGTGTGAGAGATTATTTCTTTGTGTTAAGTGCAACGATTGGGCTGACATACCTGCTGGCGTACCCGCCTAACAATTCTATCGCCCTCCTCGGCGGTGTAGTTGATGAATTGTGAGACCTCAGTCTTCTTGCGTTTGTGTTGTTCAAGCATGGACTCAGCTTGGTTGAGATCACTGGGAAGATTGGAATGGAGGTATTCTTTCTCTGTTCTCTCAATCATATCGTCAAGCTAGAAAATGGAAGAAAACATGCATGAATTACTGAGAATGTTAGAGAATCAGTGAGTGAATTGTTTATCTTGTATAAGTATTCCATACACATGGAAAACCTATCATGTGCACATGAATGAACATATACCACATTGCTTCTTCCACCAGGCAAATCACCATTTGGAATGATGGGAGATTTTGTAGCAGCTTAAAAAAGAAACAAGCCAATAGTGTTGTGATTAGATCATTAGTCTGTCAGACAAAAAGTCTTCAGTCAGACTCTTTTTCTTTTTCTCTCCCTTTACATGGTAATCTTATTTTTTTTTCCCCAAGGTGACAAAACTTGAGTGGATCAAACTTCATTAAACAGATATCAGAATATTTTTGGGAGATACAGCAGTGGACAAGGTTTGGACTACACCACTCAGTGAGTGTCATTTGATCCCAGCACTATATTCTAATAACTCTACAGTCTACTGGCTGACATCGGCTTTGAGATACTAAGCTAAGTGGTTTTGTGTATTTGTGTAGTACTGTTTGATTTATGTATGTGCTGAAGAAGGCTCCATAACCGCAACGTTCACGTTATGTTTGTGTTTGTTATATTGTAAAGCTTGCTGATATACTTTTCATTCAGTTTTATATATTTTCTGCACAGAATGAAGAAATTAAATAATGCAATAGAATCAATCATGTTGAGCTTTGGGGGAGAACTTAACAAGCTAAAGTGGATTAAGAGATGAAGAAAAGATGCTGGTGTTTGATAGTGCACACACTGAGAAACCTGAGAACAATATAACTAGAATGTCATGGCATTGGAACCTACAGGGAAAGTGAGATAAAGGCAGACCAAAAAACACATGGAGAAGGGAGCTAGAGAGTAAAGTAAAGAACAGAACAATTTGGTGTGAGTTGGCTGAGGGCCTACGCTTCACTGGGGGACAGAAGAAAGAAGAAAACAGTCATGTGTAATAATTTTAACAGAGAGGAAAAAACACAAATACATGCTTCCTTACTTGGGCAATATGCTTGTAAAATTCAATGGTCATCTTCAGCAAGATCTGGTATTCATTAATGCGACTCTGGAATCTCTGATGGACTTTCACCAGTTCATTTATGATCTGGTCTTTCTGTCCTTTGGTGTCTCCTTTCAAAGACAGCAATTCTGCTGTCTTCAGATGCTCTTCAATCTTGGCCTGGGCCTCCTGCAGAAGAAGTCATATTTTAATGAGAATCACTGAATAAAGAATGAAAAACATCACAGACACACTGTCTTGCTTGCGGCCAGTCATACAAGCACAACAACAAACACACACCTACTTGATCAATGTAAATCAAATTATTACACACAAACATACACATAATATATGCGCATGCATGCATGCACACATGTGCACACACACCCACACACACACACACCCACACATGCACGCACGCACACACACATGCACACACCTGTACACTCACATATACACCCACACACACATAAACACATATACATATACATACACACACACAAACACACATGTCTGTCTTGCTGGAAGTCAAAAGATACAATTATACATAAGGTATATGATGTTCTGCTAGTTAAATAATCACAAATTTAAAAGTCCACTTGGAAATGGGTCAGTTCATTCTTGGAGTTTCTCTGAACATTGAAATTAAACATCTATTGGAATTAATTAGATTAAATCAATGAATCCAAATATCCACTCAAATCAAGATTTAAAAAAATTTCATATCAGAAAATAAGCTGGGCATTAAAACACAATATTACTGGAGTTATTTCAACTATACCAACAAATATAAATTTTTTCTTGTACCAGGAAAAAGTATTTTTATCTAAGCAAACATTGAAACAAAACAATTGGATTTATTTGAAAAACATAATCAAATCTAAATTTCCACTCAAATAGGGATACGGAAGTTCATCTATGGAAATAATCTGAGGAATAAAACTACTGAAGTTATCGAGACCATATCAACAAATCTATGTTTCCACTTAAATAGGGACAAAGTATCTCATGCATGGGAATCTATGGTGACAAACAAAACAACCAGTGTTACATGGAGCACTTAAATTAAATAAGGAGATTCTATCAATCTATCTGGCCACTTAAATGGGAAGAAGGTATTTCATTAAATCTATCTTAAATGGAGAAAAAGCAATTCATCCACAGATATTATTTGAATGTGAAATAATAACAACTACTGGAGTTATTTGGACTAAAAAACAAATGTAAATGTTCTATTAAACAGGGGAAAGTATTTCATTTAATAAAATCATTTGGACAATTTAAAAAAAAAAACACGAGTCTAAATGTTCATTTAAATAAAGAGAACATAATTGTCTCTACTGAAATATTCTGGGAGTGAAACAATACATCTACCGGATTTGTGTGTGTGTGTGTTATTATATATGTGGAACTAACTAACCACTCAAAAAAAAAAGGGGGACAAATTACTTTTAACTTTGGAAATCATTTTCATAAAAACAAAACAGCTACTGGGTTTGATTTATATATACAAAATCATACAACCGTGCTGCTGATGTGTCTAGGAATTTCCTACTGGTCATTGCATCAACAAGCCACCATCAATGCTTGCTATGAACAAATACCTTTGCCAAAGGAATAAAGTTGTCCATCTTAGCTTGGAGCTCTTTGGCTTTCTCCATAGAGTTGCCCAGGTTTCCAGAGATATATGGCAGGAAGAAATCTTTCTCAGTCTTCATGACCTCATCAATAGTCTGAGCAAAACAAGTTTTAGTAGATATGAGAGACATAGTGATGCTTCATGCACAGCTGTCAAGATGAGCCTTAAGAATGATTGCCTTTAGTTTGGTTAATTTTGTAGCCAATTATGAATGTGAGAATATCATGAGTTAGCAATAAAATCGGCAAAAGCAAACTCATGAAAATGTGTACAATCCTGTACCCAATAACAGAGTTCTAATTTTCTTTTCTCTCAGCTCAGAATGACAGCTGGGCATTCTCCAATATAAATGGTGAGAATACCTGATAGATGGGCACAAACTGATCCAAGCGAGCTTGCAGCTGATTGGTCTGCTGTAACGAATCACCAAGCTCGCCTGATATGAGTGGGAAAAAGTCGTTCTCAATTTGCATAACTCTATCGATTGTCTGAAAAAAATTAAAAATTAAAATGTAATTTCTGTGAGACTAAGTGGTAAAAAGTAAAAGGTGACACAAGAGTGTCATCTGAGAGAAGCATTTCTTTGAGAGATCAAACTTAAAATAAATGGACTTGAATAATCAGTAACAGACTTTATTACAAAATGTTTAAAAACAGAGCTTCAACCACCAAAATTGGTTAAATTCATAAATGAAGTTCTCAATATCTAATGCCAAGTACCATAACTTTGAATAAGATAAACAATTTCAATATATAGGTTCAAAAACCACTTTTGTTCTTAATTCTAATAGAAAAGTTTGCCATTTAAATAGAAATCAGAATTTACTTAAGAATCAACTTCACACCCACATGTACACAAAATTTAAAATCAGCGAATCAGTTATGTGCGCATGTGGATTGGCATCTGAGATAACAGAACAAGTCCTCCAAGACTGTCCCACATACTACACATCAAGGCAAAACTTTTGGCCAAGAGAAACACCAGTACAAGCCAAACTGAGTGAATTACAAAAGACAGTGAAGTTCATACTAGAGATAACATTGCAGATATAGATAATCTATTTCAAGCGAATGAAAGAAGAAGAAGAAGAATTTAACAATGTCCACCAAAATCAGCAAATGTTTGTAAATCAACAATAACAAAAGAGTTACCAGGACAGTAAACTCCTTCAGAAAAAAAGTAGTTTTAGGGAACATATTTTTACAAAACTCTTTCCTTTAAAACTGAAGTCAAAAAGTGTTTTCAAGTGCCTATTTGCTATGATCAAAGTTTACACTAAGTAATGTATATACACCAGGGCTATTTAACTGGTTGTCAGCCAAATTGTATTATCGATTTTTCTATGCTGGGGCTCTGACCTATGGCCCGGGACGATCCCAGTTTTTCTAATTTTGGCCCCTGAGTAAACTCAGTTGAATAGCCCTGATATACACCAACCAGGTCAGATTTTTTCCTGCCCTGCCATACAACAAGCCTAGCAAGCCGGCAGTGGTGTAATCAACCGCTACTACACAAGACATATTGACTAGGATTAGAGAGAAGGTTGTAATAAGACCAAGTCTTGATTATATTGACAGACAAAGAATAAAATAGTTTGGCCATCTAGTGAAAATGCAGCCAAACCAAACTGCATATGAGACTTTTTACAGCAGAACATTTGCAAGGAAGGCAAGGGGAAGACCCAGAAAGAGATGGATAAATGATATAGCCGAAACCTGCAAAAAAATAAATCCACACCCAAGCAATCTGAGAAGTGCAAGACAAAGACAGAAAACCACAGGACTGGACCACCACCTGGTATGAGTGAGACAACAACAACAAAAAAGAAGAAGAATGTCTATAGATTATATTTATGGGCAGATGTTTTTTACTTTCTAGAACAACAGCTACTGGTACACAATAGTATGTGCTTCTTCTATACTCATTATTTCTATAAAAAATGAATATGCATATAACACTTGGGGGTTGATAATTGTTTTTAGATGTAACTGCAGATCCCAAAGCAGATAAAGAGTTTCTCTAATGTGTGATGTATGTTTGAAGAAAAGAGGTTAATGTAACGGACCCATCAAACCATTAAATTATGCACACCATTTCCTGGTACCCATTTTAAGCTGAGTTGATCAGGGGGCCAGGTGATGTCTGTAGCTTATACTTTTCTTGAAGGTAGCACAAAGAAACATCTCAACTTAAACTTTTCTTGAAGGTTGCACAAAGAAACATCTCAACTTATACTTTTCTTGAAGGTTGCACAAAGAAACATCTCAACTTATACTTTTCTTGAAGGTTGCACAAAGAAACATCTCAACTTACACTTTTCTTGAAGGTTGCACAAAGAAACATCTCAACTTATACTTTTCTTGAAGGTTGCACAAAGAAACATCTCAACTTAAACCTTTCTTGAAGGTTGCACAAAGAAACATCTCAACTTAAACCTTTTTTGAAGGTTGCACAAAGAAACATCTCAACTTAAACCTTTCTTGAAGGTTGCACAAAGAAACATCTCAACTTATACTTTTCTTGAAGGTTGCACAAAGAAACATCTCAACTTAAACCTTTCTTGAAGGTTGCACAAAGAAACATCTCAACTTAAACCTTTCTTGAAGGTTGCACAAAGAAACATCTCAACTTATACTTTTCTTGAAGGTTGCACAAAGAAACATCTCAACTTATACTTTTCTTGAAGGTTGCACAAAGAAACATCTCAACTTATACTTTTCTTGAAGGTTGCACAAAGAAACATCTCAACTTATACTTTTCTTGAAGGTTGCACAAAGAAACATCTCAACTTAAACTTTTCTTGAAGGTTGCACAAAGAAACATCTCAACTTATACTTTTCTTGAAGGTTGCACAAAGAAACATCTCAACTTAAACCTTTCTTGAAGGTTGCACAAAGAAACATCTCAACTTAAACCTTTCTTGAAGGTTGCACAAAGAAACATCTCAACTTAAACCTTTCTTGAAGGTTGCACAAAGAAACATCTCAACTTATACTTTTCTTGAAGGTTGCACAAAGAAACATCTCAACTTATACTTTTCTTGAAGGTTGCACAAAGAAACATCTCAAACAAGGCATATACATACACAACCTATGCTACCAGTGCCAGACATGGTCACTAATAACAAATCAGAAAAGAAAATAAATGACATGGAAATAAGATATTTGAGTAGAACAGCAAAAGTGTTCAGAAGAGATCAAATAAGGAATTAGGTCATAAGAGAAAAAGGCAAGCAGCAGTTCTAAACTCCACATAGAGATAGCAAATCAAATGGTTTGCCACTCAGAGATAATAACTTGTGATGCCATACTATTCAAGGAATTCATCAAAAGAGGAGAAGGATGTACAGCACAAAGTAGATGAAAAACATGATGGAAAGATAAGAGAAACTCTACTAGAGCACAATGTGTCTATGGTCGAGGTGACCAGAAGAGCAGGAAGGAGAACCATATATCTCCCTCAACAACCGAACTGGAAACAAAGGAAGAGAAGAAGAAGAAAAGTAGATGATTTTTTTCAGACATAACTGCAGCTATCAATACATATAAGCATTTGAAGTGTTTTTATATTATCAAGATATGGAGGAACAGTAATATGAGAGAGTATCCAAGATGGGAGAGAGGAAGGTGGCTGGAGATCCAAAATAACCAACCTTTGCTGAGGAGATGGCACCAAAGTGACTTATTGAAGAGCCACTAAATCATGTTCATTTTGGCTACACAAACGTTAATTAAATGTTTTATTCCATCTTCTGTATTTCTCACTAATATTTGCATTGAAGTACATATCTTCAGATAAGGTATTTTTATAATTAATTTTTAAAAACCCATACCAACATCAAAAGAGTGATAGAAACAAGGCATTAAAAAAACAAACTTAGCAGAACACAACTAGTGCATCACTGACTGACAGAGATAATGTTGCTGACAATACAGAAGCACCAGAAAGAGAGGAGAAAAAAAAAAGCAAACCAAGAAACTATTTCACTTCAAACACTAAACTGTGCTTCTAATGTCACTGAGAAATATGTAACACAAAATCAAGATGTGGAAAAAAGCAGTTACACAAACTGAGAACCACTTTAAAGGTTGATGGAAATATGATGATGTTGCTAATGAGGTTGTCACTTCTTTTTTGAGGTGTCTCTATTATGTCTTTCAGTCCCATGACAGTCTGATTTGCTGATAATAAATATTGCACTGTCTTAGTCAACTATCTACTCAACGCTGATATTTTATAATAAATTAAAACTGTAAATTTAGACTCATACTAAAGGCTAAGAGAGAATTATTACCTCACCATGGTTGCACACGCCATTTTGTTAACAATAGCAATACCCCCTCCCCTGTCCCATACTATATTTAGTTGTAAAAAAAATTATTTTTTTGAGTTCCCCTTAACAGTGTGCAGGTGCAAACAGAACCAATGACATTAACTATGATTGTCAGGGACTGGCAAGATGCAGCAATGCCAGTTAGGCAGCTTCTCCGGGGTTTATAATAGACAGAAATGCCAGATTTGTGCTATCTCCAGGCAAGAGTGTTGAAAAACAAGACGGCCTCCCTGAAAGCTTTTAAAGGTTACTTGATTATAGATTACCTTTTACAAAACTGAAAGCTAATTTTATAAAGACTTGAAGAAAAGCCACTCTGAACTTGTCACAATTGTCAACAATGTCTTGTCACATTCTTTCTGTGTTACTATTGTAGTGGCTGTCAACATCCATAGTTTGTTTCACTACATGAATGTGACAATGTAAATGATATCAGCATGCACATAGATGTATAACAGCAATTGAAATAATGATGCAGGTTAGTGTGAAAGTTGGGAATATGAGACATGTGTGATTGTTAGAGTATATAGAGCATAAAACATGAAGTTAACATTTCCGAATTGTTTATGAATACTCTGTGGCTGGTTCATCACACCAGGCATATGTAAAAACCATGCTGGTCTATGTATTCACAATTACAACAGTAAATTCAGTCATGGACATTTAACTCTACTGTGATGTTAGTACAGCTCTCTAGAGCAGAAAGACGGATAATAACTAACATTTTTACCAGTAAGACAGAAACATTCATTAACTGACCCCTACTGCAGAAAAGATGGCATTAAATGGTATGACAGAACCACTAATGTAGAGCTTTTAGGAGAGAAGTAAAGAATTTCAGTGAATCGAGAGGTAAGGAAAAGTTAACTGTGCTGGACAGAATACACATTGAGAAAATTTGATATCAGTAGAATAAAAAAAAAAACAATAATGTCCCTAGAGTGGAACCAACAGGATAAAATCAATAAATGGAAACCAAGAAACATGTCAAGAAGAGAGCTGGAGACAGAGGTGATGGAGTTGTGAGAACAGAGTGAGCTGCATGAGATGGCAAAGGACATAAATCTTTGGCATGGGGGAGGTAAAAGGCCTATGCTTCACAGGGAAATGTTGGAGTGATGTTGGAAAAGTTTTCCTATGCTCAAGTCCTGATATAAATTATGAACTATGAAACAAAATATTTTTATTGAACCGAATATTGATTTAATGATTAAAGAATTGAAATCATAGTACACCGGGCATACCCAAAGGTGCACCGTCTCCCTCAGAAAATGTAATTGTGCAGACCAGCATCATCTTTACATATAAGAAGTGTGACACATACAAATTTGTTTTTCTTTGATATCCCATGCAATCAGAGTTTGAATAACCAATGACAAGAAAACTCAAACAGAACTCAGATGAAATCAATACACAATGGTGATAAAGCCAATGATATGCAAAGCTGTGCATAATTAATTATATGTGCTTGAAACTTATCTATACACAAAAGCTCAAACATGCATTCAATGTAGTATTCATAATATACAGTCAACACTGCTAGTAATAAACATCACATACAGACATAATGGTCACAGGCACTTGTGTACACAAACATGTGGGTGTCATATGTATGAGTATCATAGGCTGCTAGCACTCAATACTGTACTGATACACTACACTACACACACTAATCACAGTGTGTGTTTCTGCATGTGCATGTGGGTGTGTGAGCATATGTGCATGTGTGTGCGTGCATGTGTGTGTGCATGCATGTTTGTAAGTATGGCTGACTAGCTGGGGAAGGATGCTTCAGTGTGTGAAATGTATAACACGCAACAATACTGCTTTCAAATGTATATAATGCAAACATCCATACATATGTTTACAGATTTGTGTAAATAGGATGTGAAATATACATTTATTTCTAGCCAGGAATGATGCATACCAACATTGATGATAGAAATAGACAGTCTTGTACACACACACACACATACACACAGGCACAGACAATATATAAAAGCATTGCTGTGCCATGCACTGTCCACATTAGGATCCTACAGGTAAGCAAAATAGAGAACCCCTTTCATGCCAGTGACACATCAAGCACACAGTCCTCAATGGGTGATGTGGTCAAAATCACACCAACTGCCTTTACTACCCAAGATAATTCCTGATACACACTTTAGGCTTGATCAGCCTGGCTACCAAGGCATTTTATTTTTTCTAAATCTGCTCGTTGCAGACTTGAAAAAAACAAAGGACTTTAGGGTCACCAGGTAAACACGTAGCCATTACGTTCATGTGGCTCCGACAAGCAAATAAGCAGCATTCTTCAACAGTAACAAAACACATAACTAAGCCTTATGCAGATTTACATCTTCTTCCTTCAAAGACCTGTAAGAAGCTATTGTAACATCAATGCCAACAATTCAAATGTGATTAGTACAAAGTTACTTCCATCAATGCTCCAGGCTCCTTGCATACAGTGCATGAACTGCAAGTCTACTGTCTATTGCCTGGCCCCAGGTAAATATATATCTATCTTACTAGTCTACTTGTCATTAACTGTAAGGGTCTGTAGAGCTACGAAGGGTATTTAGAGCTGCGCCAGCATTCCAAGGCCAGATATAGGGCTTTGCTGCATTATTTTCATATTTGCTTAGAATACTCATCAGGTTGTCACTCTTCTATTTCCTTTGGCCTTCTCTGCCTCTATTCTACATCTTCATTACTGTGTGCTTTTATTTGTAATTGATAAGGGTTTCATTCTCATAAAACACTGAAATTATTTCATTTGTTGTATTTCAATAAAATCAGTGCTTGATGTTCTGTACTATGTTTATGCTGGTCATTTGCTATTCTTTGTCTTCTAGAAACTGTCAGAAATTTAGGCAATCTCATTTGTGACAGGTTGTATCCAGTGTGACAATGGCAGGAACCAGATTTGACACTGTATATCACAGCAGTCTCTCAAAAATTTCACACAAACACAATGTTTCATATATATGGCAGATAGATTACAGTGTATAACTAACTGTGAAAGAGTAATACTATAAATAAATGTTTAAGAAAAAACATAATAAGCAGGAAGATGAAGTCCTACCCTTCGAGCCTCCTGGACAAACTGATGCCACTGAGATTTGAACTGTTTGCTGGAGATGACGTGTTGTTCCCAGGCTTCCCAGTACCTGGTCACAGAGTTCATGCGCTGGTCAGACAGGACTTGTTTCACTGTCTGCACAGCACTGTTGACATCCAGACTGGAGTCACCTTGAATCTACAATGAAGTTATCAACACAAGTAAATATTTATGTAACATAAAGGGACATGTGTCATGGAAAAAATAAAAATAATGTTTTATTAGTAACCAGCTGAGACAATAGCTTCAAGATGACTGGAGAATGAGATGCATTCATTCCCATAAGCATCTCTATCTGGAGCAGCCAGTTGAGACAATAGCTTAAAGATGACTAGAGAATAAGATGCGTTCATTCCCATAAGCATCTCTATCTGGAGCAGCCAGCTTAGACAATAGCTTCAAGATGACTGAAGAATGAGATGCATTCATTCCCATAAGCATCTCTATCTGGAGCAGCCAGTTGAGACAATAGCTTCAAGATGACTAGAGAATGAGATGCATTCATTCCCATAAGCATCTCTACCTGGAGCAGCCAGTTGAGACAATAGCTTCAAGATGACTGGCACTGATTCTCATGAGCATCTCTACCTGGAGCAGTCAGCAAAGAGTTTCAGTACCAATAGTTCCAGCTGGTCTGCTTAATACATCCAACTTGCTCTTCTACTGAGTATTAACCATTTCAGTAATAAACATAGTTTACTTTAACTCTGTTTATCCTAATCAAGCAATATATGTGTAGGTATAAGGAAGTTCAACAGAGACACTATGGGATAGAAGTAGATAAACTAATAATTCAGATACAAAGGGTTAATACCATATCTGTCTTTCATATAAGGTTTAAAAAAAAAAGAATATTATCTTTAGAAGGACCAAGAAACGTATGATGTATTGAGTGGGACTGAAAGATTTAAGAGTGAGTCAGATTCTCTGGTCTCTCTATTCTCCATCATTCTCTTTAGGCTAAACAGATCTATTAGCTCTCCGACATTGTTCACATGCTTCAAAAGGATGCTGACGACATCTGTCTGTTAGCAGCATCATTCCACCACTTATCAGTACAAGAAGAGAATATCTGTCTTTAATGTCTCAACAAATTTCTTTGATTGATTTGATTTGATTCAAGAAATGACGTCACATCACTCAGGGCATTTCCATAAGCGCTCCGTCCACATCTTCAGCAGAAAGCGAAGAGTTCTTTGATGAATTAGGACAGGCAATGCACTGGTAAAGGAGTGGCTGGTTGAGAATTTACAAAGCTGGTCTGTAATGTGGTACATCTAGGTTCAAATCCTTGATAAGCTTTATCTGTTGAGGGCAATAACAAATCTTAACCTGCACAGTCTGAGGCATCTGCTCTAAATATTTGACCCTAAATCATCAGGCTCAAGACCCCTATGTTCTACATTGCCTTATAAAGCTATAAATACTTGCATTAAAGACAGTTCAGTTCAATTTACAGGTAAGATGGCAAATTCTGATGATGGGGAGTGAACACTTTTCACATGCTAACTAGGAAGGGTGTTTAGTTCCCTTGCTTACCACTTTCACTTGCATAGCAATTCCTTTTAAACAGTCTGGTACTCAATTTGATGCCTCTGGGTAGACCTCAGAGACATGTGAGGGTAGACCTCAGAGGCATGTGAGGGTAGACCTCAGAGACATGTGAGGGTAGACCTCAGAGGCATGTGAGGGTAGACCTCAGAGACATGTGAGGGTAGACCTCAGAGACATGTGAGGGTAGACCTCAGAGACATGTGAGGGTAGACCCCAGAGACATGTGAAAGGGAAACACTAATCCTGCCAGACTAATGCAACCAAAAAATTGATATCACTGTATGGGGTTTGATCTTTTAAATGCTATAAGGCACGGTCTTTAATTTAAATCATGACAGTTTGTGTGTATGTGTCCAGGCCAAGTGTGTGTGGTACAAGGTCCTTACTTATTAAATGCCTTAAAGCAGAAGTAGTGTCACCATCTGACAGAAAAATAAAATAAATTTAAAAGTACTTTATGAAAAATATTCTACTCTACTGAAATGCTTTATGAGCCTATAGAAAACATGTCTCAATAATCACTTAAAATGTGTACATTTTATTTCTCCTGCATTCGCCCTAAGAAAGGTGGTGCACATAGTGTTGTGGCTTACAGCTAGGCTGTAATATTTGCACATTTAATCTCCAGAGCTCTTACTGCAGCAAACCCTTAACTAGTCACCTTTTAAAATATGCTTGTTAACAGGCAGTGGAATTTTTTCTTCCTAACCCCATTTCCACCTCTAAAGAGGGCATGAGAACTCACACAGGAATACACTTTGCCACTGCCACAAAAATCAAAGTAGACAAACAGGCAAGTTTATAAGTGACTTACTATATTTGCATTTTGCAAGAATTCGTTCCCCTTGAGGTTGAGGTCGTCGAAAATGTGTCTTGTGTTCGAAAACATGTCTCGCAGATTCTGTACAGCAGTGTCTGTGATCTCTTGTAGATCTTCTGTCTCAGATCGGACAATATGTTCCAGACCATCTAGATTGCTGGACAGCTGCAAAACACAAGTTTTAATGTGATCTCTTGAAACTGTTTCAACACACAATACATACATAAAAGAAAGTATGCAGGAGAATTAAATTGCCAGGATACAAAATGTAACACTATATTCTAGATAGACAATAACACTTCTATCTCATCAGAAGTTAATTAACAGCGTTTAAATAACATTTGCAGGATATTGCAGAACCAACCCCAGCATTTCCAGGTTGTTTTAGCTTCACGTGGCATTTCAAGTTCAGTAATTAGTCCCTAAATCCTGAATGGTCGGCACTCCATACAACTGTTGAGTCAATGAAAAGCAGTCTGCTGCCATATTGCCTGCAGCTGAATTGAACCAGGTATTTCAGAATTATAAAGAACATTTGCAACATCTAAGCCAGTGACAACCACAAATGTCTAGTAAAACCACAAATGTCTAGTAAAACCACAAATGTCTAGTAAAACCATAAATGTCTAGTAAAACCACAAATGTCTAGTAAAACCACAAATGTCTAGTAAAACCACAAATGTCTAGTAAAACCACAACAGAAGGTGGTGAGATACTGGCCAAAGAAATGCTAGTCTAAACAGAAGGTGAGATACTGTAGTCTAAACAGAAGGTGAATACTGTAGTCTAAACACAAGTTGACATACTGTAGTTAAACAAAGGATATGCAACTAACTTTTAATAAAGTGATCAAGACAGAAGGTGAGATACTGTAGTCGAAACAGAAGTTGAGATACTGTAGTCTAAACAGAAGGTGAGGTACTGTAGTCTAGACACAAGGTGAGATACTGTAGTCTTAGACAGAAGGTGAGATACTGTAGTCTAAACAGAAGGTGAGATACTGTAGTCTAGACAGAAAGTAACACTGTAATCTAAACAGAAGGTGAGATACTGTAGTCTAGACACAAGGTGATATACTGTAGTCTAAACAGAAGGTGAGATACTGTAGTCTAGACAAAAGTAACACTGCAATCTAAACAGAAGGTGAGATACTGTAGTCTAGACAGAAAGTAACACTGCAATCTAAACAGAAGGTGAGATACTGTAGTCTAGACACAAGGTGAGACACTGTAGTCTAAACAGAAGGTGAGATACTGGAGTCTACACAGAAAGTGACACTGTAATCTAGATTGAAAGTAACAATACCTTCTGCTTCTTGTTAGCATCCACCAGCTGGAAACTCTTGTGGAAAATTCTGGCTTTTTGTCCACTTTAGGACTTTAGTCTTGTTCCAGAATGAGAGCTTCGTGTGCACATTCCTTTTACAGATCTGACTTTTTGTAAACAGACTATTGGTTCCTCATCCCTCAGGTAGGTGCACTTAACTTTGAAGGAAACACCCCTAACTAGTAGGCTTTCATAACATGCCTGTTAGGTTGCAATGGGTCTATTCTCTCCCCCTCCTTCCCCAGAATGGTGCCCGGAACCCACACAGGGAAAAGTTAAAAACATAATATAGACAATAATAGATAATGTAGTCTAGACAGAAATAAACGATGTAATCCAGATGGAAAATTATACTGTAATCTACACAGAAATTATGACTAGAGACATTACAGCTGTGTACATACTTGCTGCGCTAGCCGATGAAATGAGATGTATATCAAGGCCAACTGAATACGGTTCTCAACCATGTGCTGAAGCTGCAGGTACTGCTGTTCCAGCTCATGTGCCCTGTCTGCAGCCTGCTGCGCCTCTTGGTCCCCTGACTTGACCAAGTTTGACGCAGCAGCAGACAAGGCTGATAACTCTTCACTCTTGTCCTGCAAAGTTAAAATGTGTGAATGATTTTGCAACAAAATAATGCAACAGTTTGTATTAAAACAGACTGCATAAAGGAAAAGGGTTCAACGTCAATGCATTTCGATATATTTCACAGGCACATTTTCTTCCTGCAGAGTGGCTGGTTTGCCTTTGCAATGTGCATACAGCACAAACTCCACAGCTCCAGTGACAACTACATCACCACCAAACAGTCTTTTCTAAGCTATCCACCATTGACACTGAACCTTGGCATGTCATGGGTTGTTATCCCCATTCACTAACCTCTTAGTCAAAAAGGACACATATGAAGACACTTATGTTCACTGAATGCTATCCTCCGAATAACGGGCAAAAAACAGAGCCTCAGTCACGAGTCAATTATATCCCATGCCGCTCACGCGGCGGTGTGGATTGGGGCTAAACTAGATGGCTGGGACTCACGAGCAGCAGCTTCTGCACCTCCTGCAGCTTTGCTTATGAGTCCCAGTCATTAGTTTAGCCCCAATCCATGCCGCGTGATGTATTTCAAAGGTGACACAAGTTCAAAAGCATAATCAGGAAGCAAGCAATGCAACTCATAGCAGATTAGAAGATACTAAATATTCTTCATTTTTATTTTTTATTGATCATGTAATCTTCTTCATGTTTACTGGCTGTAAACTCCAGCACAAAGTTCTAGTTGTTCATCCACATCTGGACCTTGTTCCAGAACTTGAGTTTTGCAAGCACATCAGAGATTTGACTTATATGTATGAAGCCCCCTGTTTCCTTGCCTCCCAGACAGATGCACTCTGAATTCAAAGGAAGCTCCCAGTTAGTTGACTTTTGCAACCAGCGGGTCCATTCTTATTTTCCCCACATTGGGGCCCCAGAACCCACAGATGGGGGTTTCATGTCATCAATCCCTAGCTTCAGATACCCATTTTCATTAATGGTAGATGTTTTTTATGCCATATGAGAGAACAAACTTACCCCGATATCTTCATTAAGTTGTTCATGAACTTCTAAAAAGTCTTTAGCACTGGCAAGTGTCGTTCCCAAGGAGTTGTGACGAGACACAATGTTTAGGCCAATTTGTTGAAGCCAGGTTTGCAGCTGTTGATAATTTCATTGATCATATCAGAAAAACATGATTATATAAAACAACATCAGGAAAACATTTAGGTGAAACAAAAATCACATTTTTGTTAAATGTGATTTCATAGGTCATAATAATCTTATTATGTTTTTTTTTTTTTTTTTTTGCTCCACATGGCTAAGTCAATAAATCAACGTCTATCATGGTCAAAGGGGAGGAAAGTAGTTAATTCTTTGCTCTGTTTGTATTTAGTAATTCTTCTTCTTTTATCGTTTCATTGTTTTCAGATTTTAACCCAGTGTCGTGGTTTTCTGTGTTTGTCTTGCGCTTCTCAGGTGGCTTGAGTATTGAATAATTTCCTTAAAATGATTATTTTGCTCATAATAATGAACAATAAACATTAACATGAATTACTTCAGCAATAATGTTGCAGTGGCCATCACGCTTGTCGGCATGGTGGTCTAGGGGTTTGACCTCCTGGATTTTTATACAAACTGACTAAGACTCCAAATTTCTTCTGCTTTTTCTTCTCTTCCTCTAATTTCTTAGGGTAGAGTTTTAGACAATTGTAAGACTGCATTTCTTTGTTACAAAATGTTGCAAATAATAAAGGTCCTTTTTAGTATTCTTAAGGGATAAATAGGTTAAAACATATCTACAAAAAAACAATCTTACATTTGAGATATGCAGCAGCAGCAGCTATTAACAATTAATTATACAAGATACGGGGGGTGGGCGGGACATTACCTCAACAAAGCAAAAACTCATAGTTAGGATATATTCTTGCCAGCAGTTGACCAAATAAAACCTGTAGAAGCAACTAATGATGATGGCATGAAATGGCTATTAATCAAAGGCAACTGGGAAACAAGTTTTTTTTTTTTTTTCTATGTCAGTGTGCCAGAAAAATAAGTATCCTTTTCATGCATATTAAGTATTTCTAACATACTATACCATGAGCCTCACATTTTTGTAGACTAATCAGTGCATGGTAGGCAATAAAGTCAACAGTACGCTGCCCGCCTTGATTTCTCTGGAAAATTCATGGAACCCATGACTGAGCAGATGTAAATAATAACCCATGCCCACATCAAGCTGGCAAGAAAATGTGATAGCCATTGCCCTACTCCCAATTCTACGAGGGACCTTCAGAAAGTAATACCCAGATTTTATTTCTCAGCAAATAATGAGGACAGACAAATGAATGTTAAAAGTCACTATTGTATTTTTGAAATGGTAACTCATTCTAACAAAAAAGAGCAGTTACATTAAATTATTAAAAAAGAGGGTAAAGACAATGTGCTATACACTCATTCTAACAAAAAAGAGCAGTTACATTAAAATAAAATAGAGGGTAAAGACAATGTGCTATACAAATAGCATATTGTTGTAATGTTTTTGTTTGTGGAAAAAGAAACCACAGCAAACATTCATCAATGTGTGTGTGCTATGTATGGTTTGCGCTGTCGATGGAAGCACTGTTTATCTTTGGGTTCAGAGAGTTAAAGGTTCAGAAAATGGAGAGATGGACTTGATAATAGTATTCATGCTGTGAAGAAATGTCTAAGCAAACAGGAACAACCTGACACAGGTGAGGTATGCATGCCCTAATTTCACTTTGGTGTCAGACCACAGAAGTGGGAAAAGATTATATAGAAAATTAGGATTTCTACATGGCATAACGAGTTAGTTATACTGTCAGGGAATTTCATATATTTTAAAGAAACAGTTTGTGAGAAAACAAAAACAGGTCATTACTCTCTGAATGTCCTTCACATATAAAGCAGATGTTTGTTATTCCACTTCCTTCTAGCAATCTTCAATATTCCATACTTTTAATTCTTCTAGGGTATCAGGGTTTCCTAAGGTTTTGTGCAAAATTTAACTTCCTCTGTTAATTTTCATTGCAGGTTAACTCTTTCCATCACCTTACCAAGGATTCAAACCTGCCTCTCCCATATGAGAGCCAAGCATCCTAAACAATACATTTGTTACCAATCACATTTAATACTCAGTGAAAATTCACAATTAAAATATGCTAATTCTATGTTAACTCTTTCAGTCCCAGTGGGTTTAGCATTGGGGCCCAAGGGGTAGTAAAGAGTTTAGAAAGAAATAATATACTGTAAAAGCCACAATATGTCATCGGACGTAAAGCAAAAGTACAAGTGAGTAATCTAAGTTGTTAACCAAAACAAAATGGCTAACCCAAAAAACAACAAAAATGGCTATCACTCGCTTGGCTAACACAACATGCACTCAGAAAACACAGCACTCACATTTAACTCTTTCAGTCCCAGGCAGGTATCAATGTAACTTATTGGTTCATAACTAGTTGTTACCTACACTAATATTTGTGGATCCAGAAGGGTTAAAATTAAAATAAAAATAAAGGACAAATTAAGTTCAAGTAACATTTGGGACAGCACTGGTTAACAGCTACATGGGGTAGAAAGTGTTTAGAGAAGCAATCTAGAAGTAGTGAGCTCATTGGTACTGAAGGAGTTAAACTATAATGGTTTCTTTGTGTTTTTTGTTTATTTTTTAATCTACGTTATTTCACTCTAGGATAACCTACAGATGATCCGTCTTTCTCAGTAAATGTCCTAATGTACAGATGAAGATTGGTCCAGTAATACAATGATTGCAAACACAACAGATTCATCCTCTCATGCGTCCCTCCTTGCAGCACAACACATAAATCCAAACTCAAGCATCCTGAAATATGAGGTTTCATCTGTTATTGGCTCTTCCTTTGACTAGTAGTGCTTCATAAATCATCAATCAATCAATCAGGTGTTGTTTCCACAATAAAGGGTATCTGCACTGGATCTTCAACATACTCCTTCTTCCACTCTGGATGTACATTCTCTTAGTCTGATATTTGTTACACTCTTTGTGTTTTCTTCCCATTTTTATCATTGTTTGTTTCTTGCTCACTTGCCTTCAACTTTTCGCTCCAGTAAGTTTTTAAAAAAAGTGGTAGGTCTTTTAATATGACCAAAACATTTCACTTGTTCTCATTTTCTTTTCTTTTTTAATTTCTTCATAAACAGTCTTCAGATCACTCCCCTTCTCCACAATGAGTGGCCCAGCTACCAGTTATCCTGCAGAAAAAAAGAGCCATATGCATTTTGCCCTTCAGCATGACCCAGACAGCACATCTCTGTAAGTCCATGTGAGAGAGAAGTGCTTGTATATAGCAACTATGCATACCATGTCTGTCCAATTTGAAATGTATACGTATTCTCTGCACTAGTCACTGAATTAACTGTTAGCCACATTCAAATAAATCCACTGTTTTCGTTTGGTTTATAAGAGAATAATCTATAAATGCTTCAGGCTCCTCCCATAGATGAGAAACAAGAATCTCGATACAGCGCAAACACTCATTAGCACCCATGACGATCCAGATGTGTTTAAACAACAATAATACATGTTATAAATATTCAGTTTCTGTAGGTATTTTTTTTTTTTTCAAAAGTGGTAGGGTTTCTTTTTTTCACCTCTTCTTTTCATTTTTCATTGCCAATAAATATTTTAAGGAGCTCAGCATGCACACGCATCCATCGAGTTTTGGGCCCTTCGCATGAATGTTGTTGAATTCAACACTGAAGACAAAGGCCAGAAACTGAGAAGGCAAGGCATCCTATGCACTATAAAGGTCATTGAAAATGCACACCATCTTTTTTTTCTTACTTTTTTGTTTGTTTTGTTTTTGCAACCATTAAACGGTCAAATCTGTGAGAAAATCTGGGACTGCTTGAGTCAAATGCAGACCTCATAGCCTCAGCTCTACCCCAATCATAAATCATCTACAAACACATAATTTCCCATAAACTGTTAACATAAATTCTAGTGTAACTTAAAACATTAAAACCACTGCATAGATGAAAACTTACGCTATTATATCTTTCTTGAAAAACCAGATAGTCCTGGCTTCTTTGCCATGCCTCGGCACGTCTAGCCTTGCACAGTGCTTCCAGTTGTGTGCACTTGGTTAAAAGCTCATCCATCTACAAACACAAATAGGCAGATGTGTGATTTACAAACTGAGCAAATTATCAGACCAACAACTGAAATCTCAAGATCAAGAAGCTAGCTAAAATAATTACAACAAGCAGCATTACCCACTCAGACAAGTAAACAACTAGCTGTGACAATAATCCTCATGGTAAATAAAGAATGTTCCAGAACTCTATTCTCATTATGGGTACACAAATTTGAACAGAAAATCAGGAAAGAAACTAGCTGTCGAAACAAAACAAGAACCTGCCATTATTGCCTCATTTACCATGGGGGGGGGGGGGGGGGATTTGGGGGAGGGGGGATGGGGGAGGGGGATGGCATTGAGCTTGAGGATTTAATTCTGCATGCTATTTCAGTCACCATGGACTGTACAGTTTAAAAACAAAATATAATTTTTCCTCCAACAGAAAAAACCTATAACCTTACTGATTCGAACCCGGGTCTCCTATATGATTGACTGGTACCTTTCCGTCTTTCAAGATGATAGTGTTATACTGCACTATGAGGAGGCATGGGACTCACAGCATATGGGGATGGCAAGTGTGACTAGCAAGACCCGCCCCAGGTTAAGAAAAGACTTCCACAATGATAGCATGGGATTTCAGGACCATTGTTGTAAGCATTTGTGTTTAGTTTGTTTCTTCTCAGATGCTCAGCTCTCATCGCTCCTGCAGTCATTTCTTCCTTCATTCTCATTCCCTTCCTGATGTGCCCCCTCCACACAACACGGTCCATGGCATTTTGTTCCCATGAGTCCACCTCAATACCTGTATCATTTATGGCATACGTCTTTATATCGCAGTAAAGGTCGTCCACATCTTCTATCCATCATTAATTCACCATAAAGCATGTCCTTGGGACTCTGCCATCCTTCATTCTCCAGGTGTGACCCAGCCACCTGAGCCTTCATAGTCTGAGCATTAAGACTGTTGTAGTACTTGATCTTTCCAATACCTCAGTGTTTGTGATCTTGTCCTACCACTTAATGCCATATTTTTCTTAGGAATCACATGTGAAAACTATTTAGCCGTTTCTTCTGGTGCAAATAAGCTGACCAAGTTTCACTACCATAAAGCAAAGTGCTCCTACATAAAAGCTCAGAATTCTTAACCGTTCAGGCAGCCACTTCTCAAAAAAGAATCTAAATTATATTTAAACATTTGCTAAATAAAACTGCTAATTTATCAGCCAGTTAGACAAATACAACAGTACATTCAGCATCCTTGCACACTTAAGAACTTTTTATTTTAAAAAACAGCTAAACAAACATGGCAGAAAAAAAAAGATGTTAAGTCATCTACAATTTTACTTGGGAGCCACTATGATGTAGCATGGAATCTGACCTTGAATGAATTTTGAATGTTGAATTAAGAATATCATAGCACTCGGGACACCTATAAGCGCTCTGTTTCCATCTTCAGCAGCAAACAAAGAGTTCAAATTCTGATGGCACCAGTAACTATCTGATTGTATATCCGTCTCCTTGACTGTTGAGCATCGGCCAGATCCCCTGGTAACTCCTTGCACCGCCATTCTCCTCAGACATAAATGATCTATTTGGGCTTTTGCACTGATTACTCTATCCCAGCGGGCTCTCACAATGTCTTACTTGTCATACATCAATTCCCCACCAAGTGGTGCAGAATTGGCCGTTTTCAAATACTACCTTGGCTCCCAGGTCCGATAAGCCTTAAATGGGTACCAATTAAAGTCCTGAAAAGTCAACAACAGATTGTGACGGTCCTGGTTGTCCTGAAAAGGAGCATTGTTTGAGACATTGTGACCCGGTGTTTGTTTGGCTTTTCCCGCCGGCTTCACAGAACGGCAGCCAAGCAGCAACAGGGCACCAGCACAGCGACCAGCACGAGGCAAGCCAAGCACCAGCAACAGTCAGCTAATACCCGTGGATATCATCACTAAGAGAACTGGACCACACCAGACGTAAAAACCACAAGCACCACACCGCAGCAAGGAAGCAAAGAACAGGAATATCAGGTGTGACTACACACCACTAATAAAAGGAAATAAAATAAGACTGCGAAGGAACCTTTCTTCCGGGCGGCTGAAAAAGGATCAAATTAGGAATTTTTGTTGGACAACTGGAATTGGAATTGGGGCCCTGAGAAGTGAAGTTGGCTGGCATGATGTTGACTGCATCACCAACTGAGTGCGATACATCTAACAAATGTAAGCCCAACACACCTTATGGTGTGCATAAGGGTCCTTTACATATGTTTTTTTTTGGACTTTTTTTTCAATATCTTACATAATAGCTACCCAGAACTAAAAGTTGAAAATTACAATAAAAACTTGGAATCACTTACCTTTCGTCTGACGCCATCCGCCCCAGGATCAACGCTACTGACCCTCTCAAGTAGCAGTCGCCCCTCATGGGTCGCTTCAGTTGAGTAATCAACGATGGCCTGAGACAAACGTGAATGATGCTCTGCCAACTCTGTGCTGTTTCTTGGGAGATCCATGTTGTTTAGCTGGAACTCCACCTCACCAAGTTTATTTAGAGCCTATTGAAGGAACAATTTCAGATGTCAGTTACACTGTAAGAGTGATAAAGTCCTGAAGCTGCACCAAACTGCAGTTAAAATAAACAGATCACATGTTTACATTAAAGAAAAGTCACAAGTCAAATCTGCTGAAATATTATCAATGGGTTATTTAACAAGTCAGTGACTAAAAACCCTATAAATACTGCTTTTTTCATTTCTTCTTCTTTTCTCTTTTCTTGGAATATCTCGTGGCATTAGGGCATGAAGAGATATCTGGAACAGCCCCTTCTGTTAACTTCATACAAAGTACTTTTCAGTGTATCTGATATTTCTGCAGTCCATATTCTGTGTGGTCATCTTTTGGATCTGTTACTGTTGTATCTGTATAACACTGATCTCTGTAGTGCCCTGCCTAATGCCGATAAATATTTTAACAGAATTGCTGCTGTGAAAGAACACTCCATCACAGATCAAATTTTTTCCCCTGTCTTGTGTCACAGAATGGAGCAAAGCTCTCCAATCAACTCTCAAGACCTCCTATTATTTGCTAGGTTTTGTAGCGCATATCAAGTTTTCATATTTTTCATCACTGGGCTTGGATAAAGAAGAGCTGCAAGAGAAGTTTAACTTGAAAGAAATTAAATCACAGTACACGAGGCAGAAAGCTGTGGAAAGCTTGATGACCAGAACTACACTGCATGGACAATAGGAAAGAGAAAACAGTCTTACCGTTTCTGCGAGTCTGAAGAAAGCTACAGCCATGGAGATATTTTTTCGTCTAATATCCAAGCGGCTTGAAAAGCTTTCTGCCTCGCGGTCCACTGCAATGAGGCGTTGACGGATTCCTTCTGCATCGACGCTTGCACGTCGCAGAAGACCATCAGCAGTCCGGAGTAGGCTGAGCATGCTCTCTTGTACCTCCTGTTGAGTGTAGAATGTAGATGTTAGAAGTAATTCCATTTTATATTCAACGTACAATAAACAAGATGAAGGTAGTTTAATTTTCTTCAGCCACAAACTGCTACTGGCACCACTGGTATTGGAACTCTGCACTGGCTGCTGGAGATGGGGACTGAGCACTTATGGGAATGCCCCAAGTGTTGTGATGTCAGTTCTTGAACCAACTCAACTGTGCACAGACTGATTTATTTTTTCCCCCCAACAGAAACAATCTACTTAGTTACCTATCCTTTACAGGATGTTGCAGAACCAACCCCAGCATTGTTTGGCAGTTATGGTCACTCTAAGCAAATTTTCCATTCAGTAGTTAGCCATTACTTCTGAATGGTCGGAACTTGATACTACTTTGAAACCAATGCAAGACGGTCTGCTGTCAAATCACCTGCAGGTGGGATACGAAGCGTGTTTGCAACGCCTAAGCCAAAGACACAGACAATCTTGCTAGTATAAGAACTGAATAATGTTCATTCAATTATAATTCATTAGGTCTAATGAGTGATTTTATAATTTCCTCCTTGTGTTCAACCTCCGCATGGCTTTAGGATACTAACACCAATGGATCACAAAAAAATTATAAAGGTCCCGCATCCAAAAATAAATTAGCCTAACATGAGAAAATGTTACATGTGCAAATGATGTAAAGGTTCTTGACTTACTCTGGCCTGAGCCTCAAAACGGTTGTGATCTTCCTGTATGTGCTGGGCTTCAGTGTAGGATGAACCCAGTTCTGTGTTATGTAAGTAATTGTTGCCAACTCCACGGTACCATTCTAAGATCTGAAATAACCATATGCACAGTAATGTTAGTGATGAACATTCAGTGGGATCACTTCAGGTAAGGCAAAGAAATAAGAGAAATGCCTGGACGGCCACTCATATCAAGTTACCTGACAAAGAAAATGATTTACTGTGAGCATTATAAGGAGAAGCAGGTAGAGAATCATTTAATATACAGTGATATAGGAAACAAATGGATTGAGGACATAATTTCTAGATCTAGTTATTTGTTTGCAAACTTCTGATCTTCACTTTTTCTGCAGATGCACTCCACAACTTAGAAGGAAAACCAACTAATTAGACACCTTTTATCATGTGTTGTTTGGGACTGGAGAGGGGAGGCAGTTATTCCATTTTTCAATTCAATCGCCACCCCCCCCCCTTCTCCCCCCCCCCCCCCCACCCCCCAACCTTTCTTAACCACACACAAAATGGGGGTCCCAGAACTCATACGGGAATGCATGTTATCTGATGTTGCTTTTAATGTGGTACTGCCTAGCAGTAGTCCACCCAAAAGGCAATATTTTACTCAATGATGATTTATAATCTTCATTAGTATCACAGTTAACATTACATAGACCTTAATATCATAAAGATCATTATGTTGACAACAGGCCAATCCTACAGTATGTGACTTTCCCTTCTGTTACTGGGAACCTTAAGCCTATCACTCCAAGAAGACTAACTCTAGTCACTTCCGGTTGTGAACAGTCCCACTGATGCTATTCTATGGCCTTCTTTGCAGTAACCTATTCTCGAAAAGTGTAGTTAAATTCCACTGATCTGCCCAGTGTTTAATATCCCAGAATATGTATACAGTAATTAAAAACAGCACTTTAGGAGGGTGTTCTTTATGACCCTAATAGCATTTTTGAAGCCAAATACACATCAAATGTTCCCATAAGCCTCAGGGATAGAGGTCATGGGATCATGGCATGAGTAACCTGATACATATTGTTTTTAGGCCCCTGAGAAGATATTCCATTTAATGTTTCATTCTGTTCATGTTTACTGACTATACACCTTTATATATTTTGAAGAAAAAACTTTAATGTAGATTAATACTTTTTTTTTCAAATTTATCAGTGACCTGTGTAATATTGTTGTTTGCAGGGCTATAGGGTTAAGGGAAGCATAGAAAGTACATGTCATTGAGGAGACTAGGGTGGGTTGGTGTTAGACTGGCTATCCCATCTTATAGAAAACTAGCCACAAAATGCAGTCAAACGTAAAGTCTACAAGTGGCTTGGTATAAGATGGTTGAGGACTTATACTAGAGGCTAAAGAAGAAGACAGAGAGCTCAATGACTTACCTTATTTACATCCTGGTCTAGTCGACACAGCTGCAAGCAGTGTTCCAAACGAATCTTGCGCTGGTTCCATAGTTCCTCTAGGTGACGTCTGCGATCATGCAGCAGCTCCAGCAGATGTTCAATGCCATAGCAAGCTGCAGTGGTGGCGTGGTAGTTGGCGAAGTCCGCATGCATACCCATTGCTTTAATCTGGTCTAGCAGGGACTGACCCATGTCCAAAGTTGCTTTGGATGTCTCCAAAATACCTTGATGGATAGTGTAAATAAGCAGAAGTTTTTTTAATGAAGATATATCTAATCTTCTCTGTCTTCACTGAAACATAATGATTGATTGGCACCTTTCCGTCTTTCCAAGCGATAGTGTTATATTGCGCTATGAGGAGGCATGGGCCTCACAGCCCATGGCGATGGCGAGTGTGACTGGCAAGACCCGCCCGTGTCAAGACTAGTTTTCCACAATGATAGCATGGGATTTCAGGACCATTGTTGTCAACATTTGTGTTTAATCCGTTTCTTTTCAGACCCTCAGCTCTCATCCTTTCTGCAATCTTGTCTTCCTTCATTCTCATTCCTTTCCTGATATGCCCTTTCCACACAACATGGTCCATGGCATTTTGTTCCCATGAGTCCACCTCAATACCTGTATCATTCATGGCACTGAAAAATATCCAGTAGGCAAATACCTGTTTCCACACCGAGGCATATAGGGCATATATTGCCAGCCCTACATTTGTATACACCAATCAGTACTTGATGTCAGCCACTTTAACTTGCCAGAATATGTTTTGCTGTTCGTTTTAGGCTGGGTCACCTTTCAACCCTAGTTCAGTCACAAATTATTGTGATCAAAGCACTTGTTGCAAAAGGTATGTATATGTGTATGTGTGCATGTGTATACATGTGTGTGTTTGTGTGTGTGTTGCTGTGGGTAGGTGTGCGCGCATATGCATGCATGTATGCATGCGGACATATGTGTGCGCTCTTCACTAACTACATATTTTTTCCCAAGCCAATTGTGAAAATGATTCAATACCAATTTTATAAGGCTGAATTCATTCCTGAGAAACACAATTCACAGAAAAACAACAAACTTTGCTGGGGTTTAAACCCAGATCACCATCTTGACTAACCATTGCACCACCATGTCTCAGACAGTGGAAAATGAATAGGCATAAAAGATATGTTCTATAGCCACACACAAAACAAATAGCATAAATAAGAAAGGAAGCAACGTATACATTGACATGACAGTCTGAGAAGTGTTTTCTAAGACTGGAGGTGCACCTCGTCCAGAGTAACTTACTGTTTTTCATGTCTAAGTGTTGCTGTAGAAGTTTCTGTGCTGTTTCCACATCTGTAGCCAAGGGAACTTTGCTGAAGTTTCTTTGGGCCTGTTCCATTGTTGAGGATAACTGCAGGAAACAAAACAATAAGATGAAAAATACAGTCTGGCAAACATCCATGTTTTTTTTGTTCAAATATGGATTTAGATTACTGGAAACAACGCATACTGACTTCAGGAGCCACTGTCGTGTAGCGGCTAGATGCTCACCTGTGGATCTGAGGGTCAAGGATTCAAACTGGAAAAAGCTGAAATTTATTTATTTGTTCATGATCTTGGCTCCCAGGTGATGCAGGTAAAAGTCCTAAGCAGTAAAGATAGCGGCATGATGCTGACCACATCACCCACCGAATGTCAACTGGTCTATAAAATACAAGTCTAACTAACCCCATATGCCCAATACACCTAAAGGCATGGAAAGGGGTCCTTTTACAAAATGGTTTCAGTGAATTAATGACTATACTGTTGGGTGGGTCACTTCAATACACATTTCCAGTCACTGTCTTTTACAAAATGGTATCAGTGAATTAATGACTATACTGTTGGCTGGGTCACTTCAATACACATTTCCAGTCACTGTCTTTTACAAAATGGTTTCAGTGAAATAATGATTATACTGTTGGCTGGGTCACTTCAATACACATTTCCAGTCACTGTCTTTTACAAAATGGTTTCAGTGAATTAATGACTATACTGTTGGCTGGGTCACTTCAATACACATTTCCAGTCACTGTCTTTTACAAAATGGTTTCAGTGAAATAATGATTATACTGTTGGCTGGGTCACTTCAATACACATTTCCAGTCACTGTCTTTTACAAAATGGTTTCAGTGAATTAATGACTATACTGTTGGCTGGGTCACTTCAATACACATTTCCAGTCACTGTCTTTTATCAAAATAAACAATCAAGACAAGACAAACATCAAGGATTATCATCAACATCCTGCTATGCTGTTATACATCAGGTTTGGTGGCAGTGAATCCACATCACTCGCCAGAATGGCAGACTTGGGAATTAAGATCGGCACAGCAAAAAACGAGACGCACACCGGACACATCAGAAAACTTGTTAATCAACATAGAACTGGTACTATTAGCCATCGGACGTTGGGGTTCATACTGAGGGGAAGATCTGAGCACCTATGGACATGTCCGGAGTGCAATGATGATAACCCAACTAAGTAACTAACTAACTAACATCAGGTAAGGCTCCAGTCTAGTTCTCTATTCTGTTCTATGCTGTGCGATCCTTCAGCATCATGGATGTTGTCCAGTCCAGCTCGTTCGATCGCTCTCAAAAGTTTGTGTCTGAGGGTTTCTCTTGAATGATCTAGTTTCCCAGATCCATCTGTTATCTATTCACTGCCTGCTTAGTGATTCTATGTCCACCTCTCCTCAAGATGTACCCAACATACTGCCATCTTCATTTTCTTAAAACTGTTGATACTAATGGTTGTCCAGACATGAATGAATGAAAGATGTTTCTGACTGCCTTGATAAGTTGTCCTCTCCAGGCCGCTGAACGAAGGTTTTCCATCAGTGACCTAATTAGCTACATCTTGGATATCAATCCAGTATCCAATCCCTGACACCTCATTAAACCACCTAGGATGTGACATCCTGTGGTCCTCTACGCTGCCCCGGTGGGTAGCGGTGTGGTTTTACTGTTTCAAGATTGAAGTTACATGAGCAATGTTTGCTAACAGTACTGTATTATCAACACTTTATGTTTAAGGAAGACTGGTAGATAAATAGCATCTTGTCTCAGAAGATAAAATATTTTGGCTATATCAAGCTCCACAGAAGGCATGTTACCAGGAAGGAGGGACATGGGGCCGACCAACACAAAGATGCGCACTGTATATAAGTGACTCCTTGGGTATGAAAGATGGTGAAAGACTTTTCTTTCAGGCAAACATCCTGATGAACATGATGTTCCAAAAAGGGACCAACAGTTTTTTCCGCCAGGGTTTACAGCTGGTTAACACAAATAAAAAACAACAATAGTGCTGTGGACATTTCCATTAAGTGCTCCGTCCTCTCCCTCTAGCCACCAGTGAAGAGTTCCAATTCCTTCTTCATTTTAACAACATAACTGTTATTATGACAGCATGTTATAAGAACCACCATCCCCTTGCCAATACAGCTGTCTCATATCCCTAATGTAAAGTAAAGATACCTTTTTACGCCTTAGGTGAATCAGGCATATTGGAAGAGCATCCCATATTTTTACAGACCAATTGGCACTAGGTGGGTAATGTGGTCAGCATTACACTGGCCCTCTTTACTTCGACAGGACAGCCATCCTGGTACCCATTTTAGACTGGATCGATCTGCGACACCCCACACCATGATAAAAACCCATGCAGCCAGCAGTGGGTTTCGATCGTGGTACCTAGGAATTGCGAGTCAGGCTCGCAACGCCTAAGCCACGGATGGTCCCTAATGTTTTGTGTCTATAATTGTTGCAGACTGACCCCACAGAATACCAGGATTAGAATTTATCTAGTGAATCAGCAAGCAGTTCTATTCTAGACGACACAGCAATAGGTTTTTTGAGTCCTGTTAAATCAAAAATGTTAGTTGCATATCCTTTACACGATGAGGCAAAGCAGCCTCCAGGATTTTTGGGCTGTTGTGGTTTTTCTAGGCACAACTTATGTTCAGTAGTTTGCCACTGCTTTTGAAACAATCAGCACTTGATACTACTATCAAAACCAAGTGAAGACACACTGTCCACAGCTGGGATTTAAACCAGGCACCCTAGCATTACAAAGCAGGTTAGCAACACCTAAGCCACACACAATGACCCAGCTAAATACACTTGCATCAAAAGAAAATACTCTTAAAAACTCACATCCTGTGCACTCTGATGAAAGGCCACACTTTGGTCCAGCAGTGTCCCTCTGTAGGCCAGTTTGTCATTGAGGTCTCTCCAAGCCTCAGCCAGGGTGTCCGCCATAGCATTGTGAACATCAACCTGGGATCTGTTCTGGTCAGCTTGGGCATCCAGAGACCGCAGGAGTTGTTGAACTTCATCTTCTTTGGCCTATTAATTTTTTATTTTTGAAAAAAAGTACAAGCTTGAACATATGCAAAATGAAAAGTATCCTCATTTCTATTATAATAACTAAAATTGTGTCTAAACCCACCCATGTGTTATTGCAGCAAACTGATGAAACAAAGAATGGTAACACCATAATCTGTCATAAATGTCATAAGAGGCAAATCAGAATGGCTAATGTGTTATTAGCTACATCATTCTGCCGAAAACTTTCAGTTGTAAATTCCAACAAACAACATTCTCTCTCTCTCTCTCTCTCTCTCTCTCTCTCTCTCTCTCTCTCTCTCTCTCTCTCTCTCTCTCTCTCTCTATCCCTGACCAACCAGTCAGTATACAACAGGTGAAGTGGCTAAAAACAGGTCGGTTGCTTTTATATAGCATAATATATGTAGGTTCTGTTCTAGAAAGTCCCTTATGCTGCCCACTCAGTCGATATTTGATTGTATCCCTTTATATTTCAAACGAGTGTCACTTCAACTCATTATAAGCCATAAAACTGTTGTTTTAAAGTAACAAATGTTTGGGTTAAAAAAGTACCAACATTGGCAAAATACTCTGAGAGAGAGAGAGAAAGAGAGAGAGAGAGAGAGAGAGAGAGAGAGAGAGAGAGAGAGAGAGAGAGAGAGAGGTTAGGTTAGTTAGCTACGTATCCTTTAAAAGAGAACAGCGGAGGGCTGTTGTGTAGTCTGTCTAGGCAAATTTACATCAACTTTGCCATTGCTTTCTCCTAAATATTCTTGATTGTCTTTTCACAAGTTTCATGGCCCACAGCTGGGATCGAACCTGTCATTATTCGAAGTTGATCGGACTAGCCACAGAGCCGACGAAAGAGAGAGAGAGAGAGTAAGAGAGAAGAGAGAGAGAGAGAGAGAGAGAGAGAGAGAGAGAGAGATGTTAAAAGAGAGCGGAGGGTGTGTCTGTCAGGGTTAAATCACTCTTTAGTAATTATTCTAAATTCTTCTTCCTTTTCTATTCTTTTTCGACGTCTATTCTCGTTGACTTTTACTTGTAATAAGGTCGTGTAATGGAACTGTGTTTACCGCCGCCCACCCCCTAAACTCACGCCGGCTAGTGCTGAATAAATTCTTTAGTGGCAATGCTCACGCTTTCCCCCAGAAACTTCGGATCTTTTTTTATTTCCCACATGTCCTTAAGTAGGCTCTCACAGAAGCGGCATTCCTAACGACCACTGTGGTGGCTAGGATATGCTATTCCTCTCTCTCCGTATTTAAATTTTAACTTTCTTGTGTATATCTAAGCGCGTTAATCAAACGCTGATGCAGTGGTTATCTTCCACAGTTCCTACGTGTCTTTCTCTCTTATACAAGGGGATATATAGACATTATCGTTACTGATAACAGTCGAGAGGAATAACTTCATTGCTCCGGGTTTTATACCATATGGTTCGGTCTGTCTCGGCAAAACGGCAAGCCTCCTGCCGAGAACGTCGCAGAGAGCACGAATTCCGTAAGACGAACTCGGGAAATTCAGAGCGCTATGCAAACGGCTTCACCACTATGCCACGGAGTTCAATTGAAGTGAATCAGCAAGCAGAGATCGCCCCTACAGTTATTGAGTGTTCACAGTTCCTATTCGCTATCCCAAGAGGTGTACCCTATCACCCTGTGCTGCTAACGATTGTGTTAAAACGGTAGGTACGTTCTATCGACTGAATTGTATTAAAGCACCCACCTATAACAGGTAACGCCCTGGGAAGTAAATGCGACCGGGCTGATGTTGAACACATCACCCATCAAAGTCTTTTTTTTTTTTCTTGTGTTGTTTGTCCAAAGTCTAGACACAATTTGTATGAAAGGAAAGTGGGCGCAAGGACTTTTTAAGCCACCAATTCACGACCTTCCTTGAATGTCCATCTTGATCCAATGAGAATAGACGATTCACATGGACTAAGGTGCAGGGACCAAGGTGTCTCCCTTGCTGGAAGCTCTCCTCAGAGCCTGCCCTTTTTTCAGCAGCAAGAGGTTTCAAGGCTCAATCCACTGTCCAGGATAGTCTAGCACCATTTGTATCAATTGGGACCCTTTACCCACCCTAACTACTAGCTATGTCACGTGTCAATTCAGGTATTCACATACTGGGATCTATGACTACAAAGTTAGTGTACTAAGCTTAGTTGTTCAAAGAGGTGGCTAGGTTCATTTCATGGACTGCATCTTTGGGTTAACACGTGAAATTCTTACGGATATCTATGAAGATTGTAGCTGGGGCTACAGAGTTGTGCTTAATGAGTACGCTGTTGATGTGGCTGATTTTATTCCAAAGCTGCCAGATCTGTAATATTTAATAAATCCCACCTGGTGTGATATCTGAGCCCTCGGTGTGAAAATCAGCTGGCAAGTGCGTTGACTAGCCCTTCTTCCTTCTTTCTTCTTCTTCTTCTTCTTCTTCTTCTTCTTCTTCTTCTTCTTCTTCTTCTTCTTCTTCTTCTTCTTCTTCTTCTTCTTCTTGTCCTACCGCTTATGCGGTAAAGCTTCACAGAGAGAAGTGAGATAGTTTCCTTTGCTTGTGTTAAAGTCATATTTCGTTTCTGCAGTGTCTCTTTTACTCCCTCCACCCATCTCTTTCTTGGTCGGCCTTTTTGCCTTGTGGCCTCCTGTTCTCATGTAATACACTTTAGCTGCTGGCTGATCAGATGACCAAACCATTTGAGTCTTTGATGTTCTATGAAATCATTCACCTATATACCGTTATTCTTAGTTCTTCGTTGGTGACTCAGACTTTTCTCTTCTGGTATTTTTCGCCGCATTGCTTTTAGATCTCATCTCAAATGTCGTTATTTTAGGTTTGTGTGTGTGTGTGTTTTTTTTCTAGGACTGTTCATGACTAACACTGATAGCACAAAGTTGATACAAATAGCACAGCTGCTTTTAATATTATCTGTATGTATGACATCCATTATTATTGTCAAAAGATATATGTACTAAAAGTTAACACGTTATGATGCCTGCATTCGTGTATTGATGTACAATACACAAGTAGTAGATTCACTTGCCCCAAACGTGTCTATATATTCCAAGGGGTAGACTGGCAACACATGGCGGTGATAAGAATACGGCAAAGCCTTACCGAAAGGGTAGTAGGACAACAGTGTGTTGTCTACGAACGCACAGTCTCTGGAAATTTAATATAAGATTCTGGAAGTGGAGCATCTCTCTCTATCTATCTCTCTCTCTCTCTCTCTCACTCTCTCTTTCTCTCTCTCTATCTATCTCTATCTGTGTGTGTGTGTGCGCGCGTGCGTGCGTGCGCGCGCGCGTTTGTGTGCGTTGTCTGCCATCGCCTGATCCGTGGTTATACACAAGAAAACTGGTCTAAAATCGGCATACAGTGAACATTAGAACATTTCATTGGAATTAAACGAGATCAGTGTGAAACTGACCGGACATATCCTCCCCTCCCCTCCCCTCTCCCTTTCCCATTTTGTTTCACCCGGAGGCAGATATGTCCAAAAATGTGGGGCTTGTAGCCAACATACCTCGTACAAAGACAAAAGATCCGTTACTGTTTTATCTATCACTTGATGGTTGGTTTTTATTTTATCTTCCTACCTACCGGATTCTTTGCATTCCTTAAGGAAATAAAATCGCAATGTAGTGGGCAGACATTAAAACAATTCACTATAACTTGTGCACCGTCAACTGTCAGCCTTTCTGAAGTAAAGCGTTTCACTGACAGAAGAAACTAATAAAAACAGAAACATCTAAGATCCCCAATGCTCTTTGTTGTTTATTTATATCTTCAGTTTTTAATTATTCAGTACATCGGGAGTCGTATGTTTTTTCTTCTTCTGTCTTTCATCCCCAAATGCAACATATGCTCTCAATTAAACCCAGCGCCTCTCTCCTTCCTACGTCTGTCTGTTTCATGCCAGGATTTCATTTCTGCAACTCTATGACCTTTAACTCTCGCATGCCTACTCACCTTTAATCGTCCAATCAACTGGTCGTGCTCTTGTTTTAACTGCAGAGCTTCTTCGAGATTGGAACCCACATCCATGAGATCGGGCTCCATTTGGTGCACGCGGACACGTACCCATTCTGAGCTCTGTAGAAGAGACAATGATACCATGTTCAGACAAACCTACAGTTGGTATGCTACAGATCAGTGTAACAAGCCTGCAGAACAGGACACAAGGAGAGATGGTTATCATACTTTATTCAATGTTTTCCGAATATAACACAAACTACTCATAGTTGTTACTTTTTCCTTTACAGTAAACGAGACGGCAGCGAGAGAGAGAGAGAGAGAGGGAGGGAGGGAGAGAACGAGAGAGAGACAGAGAGAGAGAACGAGAGAGAGAGAGAGAGAGAGAGAAAACGAGAGAGAGAGGGAGAGAACGAGAGAGAGAACGAGAGAGAGAGAGAGAGAGAGAGAGAGAGAGAGAGAGAGAGAGAGAGAGAGAGAGAGAGGGAGGGAGAGAACGAGAGAGAGACAGAGAGAGAGAACGAGAGAGAGAGAGAGAGAGAGAGAGAGAAAACGAGAGAGAGAGGGAGAGAACGAGAGAGAGAACGAGAGAGAGAGAGAGAGAGAGAGAGAGAGAGAGAGAGAGAGAGAGAGAGAGAGAGAGAGAGAATAGATGGTCTGTTTAATACTGTCCAGGTTTTGTGGTATAGAGGAGGGAGATATCCAACCCTGGCCATAACTGATCACGGAATCAAAGCAAGGCTAGAGCCATGAGTTAGAATGCGAATGCTTCCCTACAGCTACAACACAACGTAATACTGGCCACTGGAAACACAGCAAGGTGCCAACATTTGCAGATGAACACACGAAATGGAGACTTGTTAGTATAATCAGGCAACGAATGTAATGCAGACAGTAATAAGTGTACAACTTGAAATTTGCTTAATTACGATAAAAGATACTAGAAGCATAACAGAATGTGGGTGGGGGAGGGGAGGGGGTGGTGGGAGAGTGTGAGAAATGTGAACCAGCATTAACTAAATATACAGCCAGACGCAATAAGTCTATGACAATTGGAAAATGTGTAAATGGGTGAAATATTTTATTTAGAATAAAGAATGTTTAATTTCTGACACAGCTAAGAGGTTAGTTAGTTGCGTATTCTTTACAGGACGTTGAATAACAAATTTTACGTTCAGTAGTTTGCCATTGCCCTGAACGGTCAGCGCTTGGTACCACTGTCGAAACCAACGCAAGACAAATCGCTTGCAGCTGGGATCGAACCCGGCACCTCGACATTACGAAGCGCGTTCGCAACACCTAAGCCACAGACGCCGACCGCTAAGAAGTATACACATTTGAACTGGCACAAAGGTAAGGTAATCCAGGTCAGGCTGTATATAGGTCCTTCCGGCTAAATCACGGTACATTTTGGAGGAGACCCCTCGAAAATAGGTTACTGGAAGCGTTTACGTGTTGCATTGTGTGACATTTTAATATGCTTACAAAGTCCTGTGTTCTAAATGTATTCGTATTACAAATCTACAAGCGGATATTGTGAAGTGGATATACAGCAATTTTAATTTTAATTCACGGCAGACAGTCGTGTTGTGATGTGTGTCACTGTTTCTAGTCAGTGGTTTGGATTTTTGGGAACTGGTTGTTTATTCTTTTTCTACTTTGAATGTAGAAATCTTAATTTTAGGCAAAATACAACAGGTAATTTAGAAGCCATATCGACAGTTGTCAGGTGCAAACTATCTTGTGTTGGAAGAAAACTATTGCTTTCATACTGACTGCATAAATGGTGCAACCACACTGTGGATAAATTGTGTCAAGATAGTTCGGAGCTCTGGGTCAGTGCATAAAAACTATATTTTATTTACTAACTAACCTCTCACAGCAAGTCACTCATTGCCTCTTTACTAATTGTTGACTAACAGTATAATTATATGTTGTAGAAGTACACTAATAATATTATTATTATTTTTTTTTTTTTTTTTTGTGAATTTTCTGCTTCGCGAATACTGGCTGTAAACGCTGGCAGAAACTTAAGGTTGTTTATCTACTTTTTATGTACATTTGCAGTTGTATGGTATGTGTTCATTTTTGCGAATTTTCTGCTTAACGAACACTGGCAGAAACTTCTGGTTGTTCATCTACTTCTTATGCACATTTGCAATTGTACGGTCTGTGTTCATTTTTGTGAATTTTCTGCTTCGCAAACACTGGCTGTAAACTTCTGGTTGTTCATCTAATTCTGGACTTTAGTCTGGTGTATTTGCACAGCAGTATTTTTATGTGTTAAATTTGATAAAGTGCAAATGTCAACAGTAGTTTTGAGCTTCACCCGCGCAACAGTAGTCTCACTCAAGTACCCTTATGGTGGAAGTTCAAAACAGTTTTTTTTTAAATATATAACAGTGTTTAAAAAAAAAAAAATTACATTGTCAAGGTATACAATTATGTGCACGACTAACTGCCGGTTAGTTGGTGACAATGTAAGTATAATCAGCACCATGCATCATGCGCAAGCGAGACAGACAGCGCAGACACGATAAGTCTGTTCTTCGTGCATTAGCCAACACAGAAGAACATAACACAAAAAGGTTCTCTGAGAGGCTCAGTAAACCATCAATGTGGTTAAAACAAACGGGCATCTTGTGTGGGCAGGCAACAGAAAATTGCAAGAGGAATTGCTGGAAGAAAAGAAAAAGCAGCAACAGTTTTTCGTTTCTGAAGACTTATTTTGTGGTTACTTGGATTTTGCAGCAATCTAATGGTAGGGTCATCTTAGTCTAAGTGGCTTTCACGGCAGTAGGGTGCATGCGACCCTCAGTCAGTTCTTCTTCTTCTTCTTCTTCATCATCATCATCAATATCGTCATCTTACTGATTTGTCCAAGTGATGTAAATCCGTTGTGCTTATTTACAGCATAGAAGCGATATTTGCGACTTTTGACCGCATTATCTAACTAAGAAATGTTAGCCTTCCCGGTGTCAGCTCTTATTCTTCTTCCTTCCTTCTATCTCGCCATATTACTCTAATGGATGCATACCTAAACGCTCATTCTTACCTAGGAAAACAGGTAAGAATGAAAGAGACAGCGATGCTTGAAACAAATTTGACAGAAGTAATAGGAAGGAGATAGACCAGAAAGGGCGGTAAGAGATCACAGAATGAAGTGTGAATCTGGAAGAGAGCTGATAATCCTCAAGGAGACGGGGATTAGACAAACATAAGAGAAGAAGCCAAGTCGGTAAAGGCAAGATGCCAGAACACAGAGGCGGTTTATTTTGATAACAATCTGATAAGGGAGCGCCTGTCTGGAAGCTGCAGAAAGACAGCGAGTGTTACTTGTGCTGGTTGCATGTTGAATTGTAAAAGAACCTAACGTAAAGAAAATAAGGTGAATATAACAGTGCTGCGTGTACATTCTCAAACACCGTGACTGGTTCATCTGGCTGAACCCTAATAAAGGCGCCAATGTCTGGGCTTCTCAACCAATCAACAGTGTGGACATTATGTCCGGAATGACATCGAAGCTGAGGGCAGGCTTGTCTACCGGACCAAGGTCATCTGCTCCAATCTCAATGCGGCATTTTTTTTTCCTCCCAGTTTAACTGGTCAGAGGTTGATCCAACCACGGCCAACTCTAGATATAAATAGCCTGAAGATGGGCGTGATCCAACCTAACGATTGGTTATCAGGAAACATTCTGGGAAGTAAAGGTATCCGATGCGCTGTTGACCACATCATCCATCGAGTGCCAACTGATTGTGAAAATATGAGACAAGCACCCTGCAACTAATTCTAATCACTGCGTGGAAACGGTTCCCTTACTTTACCTACATGTCCCCGCTGTCAGCTACTGTAGAAAGTCTAGTGTAGAATCTTTTGTCCGGACTCTGTCACTGGTCAAATGACCGCCCATTTCCAGTAAGGAGTGGAAGACGGATACTGAAGCTTCACATCTGCACTAAGGCATACTAGGATGTAGCCAGCTCATGGTTCACACCGCCAACCGCCAATACAGACTAGCTGATATCAGGCATGGGTCAGTAAAGCTTCTTCTATGGGCTTTAGGTATTGCTGTAATTCAGTTTACAGTAGACATCTCTAGTTAAAAAACTGCTGCAGTTCTTCTGGGTGTCTATTAGATATCTCACTCTTTGTTGATAAATTTTCTACAGTTCTTGGTGTCTTGTAGATTTCCTAGTCTTTGTTAATAATAATAAGTCTTCTACACAGTTCTCGTTGTCTATTAGATTTCTCACTCTTTGTTGATAAATACTCCACAGTTCTCCGTGTCTATTAGATTTCTCACTCTTTGTTGATAAATACTCCACAGTTCTCGGTGTCTATTAGATTTCTCACTATTTGTTGATAAATACTCCACAGTTCTCGGTTGTCTATTAGATTTCTCACTCTCTTCTTTTTTTTTTCTTTTTTTTTTTGTTGTTGTTGTTGTTGTTGTTGTGATAAATCTTCTACAGTTCTTGTTGTCTATTAGATTTCTCACTCTTTTTTTTTTTTTTAAATCTTCTACAGTTCTCGTTGTCTATGAGATTTCTCAGTATTTGTTGATAAATCTTCTACAATTCTCGGTGTCTATTAGATTTCTCACTCCTTGTTGATAAATCTTCTACAGTTCTTGGTGTCTATAAGATGTCTCAGTCTTTGAAGATAGTCTCTCGTAGCCTGATGAACTGTCTATCAACCCATCAATTCATAAAAAAGCACGCATTTACATAGCGGTCATATTTGTTTACACTTGTAACAGTTGGTTGACCTATAATTCTCCCCCACCCAACCCCCCCCCCCCCCCCGGCCACCCTCTCTTTCTTTCTTTGTATATTTCTTTATATCTTTATATCTTTTTTTTTTGTGTTTGTTCGTTTTCTCTCTCTCTCTCTCTCTCTCTCTCTCTCTCTCTCTCTCTCTATATATATATATATATATATATATATATATATATATATATATATATATATATATATATCCCCTCTCTCTCTCCCTTCTCTCTCTCTCTCTATATATATATATATATATATATATATATATATATATATATATCCCCTCTCTCTCTCCCTCTCTCTCTCTCTCTCTCTCTCTCTATATATATATATATAT